GTCCTGGTCCAACACACCCATCAAAATGACAGCCAGAGAAGTGAAGGCCAAGTTGAAGAGGGTGATGTATGTGATGTGGTATAAATAGCTGATATCGAAGTCGCAAAAGATCTGGTACCAGAACAGCGAGAACGTCCACACAATATTCTTGTAGAAGAAGTTCGCAATCGTCTCTCCCAACCTACGATACGACCAGCGGCCGTGAACGAGGACAAGCCTCTGCAAGTAACGGAATTGCCCAATAGCGTAATCAGACGACATGACGGCTTGACGACCCTCCTCTCCTGCAATACCAACGCCAATATCGGCCTTTTGGATCATAGCAACATCGTTGGCTCCGTCACCAATAGACAGCGTGATGACGTCCAGGCCAAGTTTGACCATAGACACGACAGCGGCTTTCTGCGCGGGACTGACACGGCAGCAGAGAACAGATTTGCACTGCTTGCAGAGGAGCAGGAATTTCTGTCGTAGCTGATCATCCAGGACGAGTTTGAGGGAGTCTCCATCAATGACGATGGCGTGCGTTGGTGCAGGGGGTTCGTGGTTCTTCTTGGCGGCCTTGAGTTCTTCGTCAGAGCCTGTAATACCGAACGACGCGAGGTGCTTGTCGAGCTCTGCCTCAGCTGTAGACAACTGCTCGTCCTCAAACTTGAACACGATAAGCTCCATGTCGTTGTTCAGGAGGTTACACGAGAATCCAATATTAATAGCAGTCTCCACCTTATCACCCGTGAGGACCCAAAGCTTAATACCCGCATTAGCAAGGAGCGCAATAGTATCAGGCACACCCTCCTGCAGCCTATCTTCAATAGCCGTGCCACCCAACAGTGTCAAATCACGCTCTATCGAATCCGCCACCGCCTCCATCTTATCCTCACGATTCGTAATCGCAAATGAGGCAACCTCGTACTCCTGGTTCCACCTGCTATACTCGGCCGGATCGAGCTCTCTCTCCGCAATACACAGAGTCCTCAACCCCTCTCTCGCGAACATCTCCAGATGCTCTGCCGTCTCCCTGCGCAGCTCGGGTTGCTCGCCGCGCTTGAGACGGGAGTAGATCATGCTATCTGCGCCCTTGCAGAAGAGCACAATTTTTCCGTCGGGCATCTCGATGATAGCGCTCATACGCTTACGTGTGGAGTTGAACTCCAGGGTGTTTAGGATCTTGTAGGATCTCTCCTCTCCCTGGACGTTAAGACGGATCCCATCCATGGAATTCCCAAGAACGGTGTACCCGACATCTCTCGCGGTAGCAACCAGGGCCGCCTCATCAGGCGACTGGGCCTTGAACTCGATGCGGGGAGGATCTCCGGGGGTGGTCTCGGAGATGACAGTATGGCAAAGGGCGAGGGCGAGCATGAATTTCTCGCAGGCAAGTTGTTGCTCCCTGGTAGATTCGCCAGCTAGATCGGTGACGAAATCAGGTGCGATGAAGGTCAGTTCGTCGTCGTGGAGGTAGGGGTTGTTGTGTAGTTTGCGGAGTCCAGCCAACATCCTCTTTCGTGCGTCTTCGATTTCAGCACGCACTCTCTCACCCTCTTTCGCAACATCGATACCCTGCCTCTTCTGCATGCCGGCCTGGGCCTCGGTGTACGCTTCTCCGTAGGGGTGGCCGTTGATAGTAGCCTTCTTGAACTCCATCACGTTCTGGGTCAGCGTACCCGTCTTGTCGGAGAAGATATATTCGATTTGTCCGAGATCATCTGAGATATTCCAAGATTTAGGTGTGCAAGGATAGTCGAGCCTCTCGTAGTACATCTCGGTGTCGCTGTAAATGAAGAACGCCTGTAGCGTCTTGATAATCTCCAGCGAAATGTATAAAGAAATAGGAACCAAATTCTGGAAATGGATGAGCGCCGCAAAGAAAGTGATGAATCCATTCGTCCCTGGCGAACCTCCAATAGAGCCGAACTCGAAATGCTTAATACTCGTCCCATCCTTGCTAAACGCCACACCCTCCACCAACGCCGCAATCAAGCACATAAAGAACAGGATGCCGAAATTGTAAACAACGTTCCAGTTGAGCTCGCGCGTAATGCGAGAGCGCTTGCTTGGCGTGAATCCGGAGTTGATCATGATCTTGGTGTCGAAACCGGTGAAGACTACCACCGCGAGGACCCATTCGGTATTCCTCAAGTTGCAGCCTCTAAGCAGCATATTGTTGATGCCAATCGGCTCGACCATGGGCTCGCCCATGGAATCGGGGTTCTTCTCGTTGTACTGTGTCCAGCGCGCCGCGGCGCTGTACTGGTAGAGGTTGGCGTGCGGCGGCTCGCTCTCGATGACGAACTCGGTTCTCTCGCAGTCGCGAGCGTGTCTGATCTGCTTCCCGCTTTGGAGAGCGTGCCTCACCTTCAGATTTGTCTCTCCGTCCAAGTTCTTGGTCTCGACGTAACATGCGCCATCTGGGTCGGAAGTCGACAGGATAACCACGTCTGCGGGTAATTGATCGTCGTTGTAGATACGCACGAAATCACCGACTTGGACGTTCTTCCAGTAATCTTTGTGGAAACGAGCCTTGCCCGAAGCTGGTCTGTTGGGGTTGATCAGGCTGCCGAAGTTCTTCCTCTGCGGTGGAGTCTGTCCCTCAAATGACATTGCTGTGGTTGGACGCTCATCCGAAGACGGAACAGCCAGGCCTGCCTCCCTAGGTAAAGGTGAGGGAACTGGCGTCATCTGAATATCCTCACCCGCATCGGCATACGATACGCGCTTGTCACTACGTGTCGAGTAGGTAGACGCTCTCCTCGTGGCAATAGTTTCGAAAGACCCTCTCGGCGCAGCCGGCTTGTCTTCTTCATCTGATTCCTTCTTCTTCGCCCAGAGGGCTGATATCGCCTTCCACACAGCCGATATGAATCGGGTCGTGGCCTTCTTTATTCTCCTCCACAGCGACACATCGTCGGTGTCCACATTCACATTATTCCACTCGACTAGGCGGTGTACCGCCGAGTTGTTCAATTCATCGTCGAGATTCGACCGCCTGTAATCTTCAACTCCATCCTTGATCGCCGTGACGAACACAATAACAATCAGCGGCGCCGCATTAAGTCCCGGATCCGTCGCGCCAAAGATGGTGAAAATCTGCCTTGCTTAGCTGAGAGTTAAAAAGACACTCGTTCGTATAAAAACTTACTGTTAAAATAATCAAGATAAAAAAGTAAACATTCGCAATATTGTGAAATTGCAGCCAAATATTTTTCGGCAGGAAACTCAACGGCGTATACTTCGCCGTCCGGATCTTATTCCTGGGATACGTCGTCGCGGGCGATCCGTCCTCGTCTAGCGCATCCGGCGGCAGCGGGATGTTGAAGTGCACCTTCCTCTGACCTTCGCCCTCCCCCTGTGTCTCGGCCTCCTCAGGGTCCTCCCTCATATCCCCATTATCCCCGCCTACGCTCGTAGTATCGCTCACGCCCGACTCCCTTTTCTTCTCCATCCGCGACGGCCGGCGGTTCAGACGATCCAATATCGACCCCCGCGTGCGATTCGCCTGCTTCCCCTTCTTGTGCTGTGTCGCCCATCTCAATCGCTTCGTGGGTACCGGTGCCAGCGGTGGCATGGGCGGCTCAGCAGGTAGCGCGGCCTCAAGGTCTGCGGCGGCGTCGGTGGCCATGGTGACGGGTTGGCGGCGACGTCGAGACCGGGGCAACGAATCCTCGTCGTCGTCGTCGTCTAGAAGGTGGTCGACGAAAGGGAGGAGGAGGAGGAGGTGACAGCGAGGCCGTTTGGAAGCGTCAGCCGAAAGAGCATTCGGACGGCCGTGGATCTTGTCCCTACTTAGACCTTAGCATTTTGGGGCGAATGGAATTGATTCGCGACGCCGGAACAGCCGGGGCAGGGCGCGTTTGTCAGCGCCACATTTGCAATTATGCAGTACTAATACGGTACTATACACTACATAACCCCGTTCTTTATTATTCATACGAGCCGAGGACTTAAATTACTCGTAACCGCACCGGATTGGACTGTAGCGCACTGTTTAGACTGTTACTGGGCGCTGCTACTGGACTGTTTGGGCTGTTACTGGGCTGTTTAGACTCCTTCTGTACCCTTTTTCCTGCTGATTAACTTAACCCGTGCACGCCACAACGCTTTCAAACGCTTTCAAATGGTACAATCAGCAGCCAAAAATTGGTTTCGGAGAGAGATTTGCGTTACAGGTGTCAGCCCTGCGCTGGGATAGCTGAGATGAGTGAGATGGCTGAGATGGCTGAGATTTGGTGGTACGCAACACAGCACTTACGGAGGAGTACAGCACTTACGGAGTATTCAACCCTGCCGTGGCTTAGACATGCGATGATAATATGCGTGTATGCGAATAATGCTGTGTAATGTATGTATGTCCTCTATTCTTACAGTATAGTATGTATGAAGAAGGCTTTGTTCTCTTTGTTCTCTCTTTATTCTCGATATTCCCCCCATGTACTATCCATGTACCACGCCCCCCATCCCTACATAAGCAACGGCGTGAATCATGCTTCCTGCATAAAGAAGGGATATGCGGTTTGGCCCGCTAGATATTTTTTAATGTGGGGTACAGTTTAGAAAAGAGACTGCTAACGAAGGGACTATGAAGGGACTATGAAGGGACTAAATAACGTGACTATTTTGGTTCAGGGACTGCCCAGGAACTGCCCAGGGACTGCCTAGGGACTGCAAATTAGACCCGCCGTTAGTGAGAAGTAGGTTAGGAGTACACGAGGAGTACATGACGACTAAAACACGATATCACACGTTACTATATAAATGCATAAATTTCACTCTTGGGGATTGTGATGGATTAGGTTACTATATCATTTCAGTGTTTGGGATTTGTGATGGTAGGACTCATTTGGCTGGAGGCTGGATGTTTAGCTGTAGCCTGGATATTTAGCTGCAGGTTGGAAATTTAGTTGCAGGCTGGAGCCTGGACTTTAACACGACTTCACATCAGCTATATCGTCTATAACATACTACAAATCTCACATATCCCATTACAGCGACATAAAAACTAAATGCCGTCCGGCCCCCGAGATGGCCTCCGCGCCGCCGTATCTCCGGAGATTATGGCCACCGAGACCACCGAAGAAGCCGCCCCTCCCGCGCACGCCACTATCGATATCCGTGGTACCGCAACACCACTAGACCCTTCATCCCCCAACCCTCACTCCGGGAGAAATCCAAACCCAAAGCCCGGCGCTAATCCTCCCCTGCTGAACCTCCCGCCCGAGATCCGACATCAGATCTGGGCCGAAATCCTCAGTGGCAATACCATCCACCTCGAGGTCGAAAGGGGTTCTCTACGCGGCACAAAATGCATAGCCCGAGACCCGAGTAAATGCCATGACGCCCCCTTCACTCGCGGATGTCAAGCATCACGGGATCTAGAAAGGAGCCAGAAGACGAAGCCAGCAGCGGGGGGGAAGCTAAACCTTCTACCCCTCTTACTGACCTGTAAGCTAATGTATGTATGCACCATCTTCTTTCTCGCCCACATCCGCCCCCGCCCCCGAATGCGAGCTTAACAGCAGCACCTAGATACACCGAAGCAATCACCCTCATCTACACCACCAACACCTTCACCCTCCTCAACCTCAGCACCCTCCACTCCCTCCCCCTCCTCCTCCCCTCCCACCTCCACAGCATCCGCACCCTCCTCCTCATCACCGGCATCTCCCCCGGCACAAACCACTCCATCCTCCCTCCCCGCCGCCATCCCGGCTCGGTCCTCGAGCTCGACGACGACTACGTGGCCGAGTGGGCGGTAGTATGGCGGATGCTAGCTAGTATGCAGGGGCTGCGGGCGCTAGATGTGGAGTTTGTGCCTGTTAATCATGCGGGTTTCTTCTCACGCAGGGAGAGTAGCGAGATGGTGCTGGAGAAGGTGGGGGGAGGGGAGGGGGGGAGGGCGAGTATTCATCTCCCGAGGAGGAGGGGCTTGTGGTGGAGGTCGACGGTGGCGAGGTCAGCGTTGGCGGCGTTGGAGGGGGTTTACGGGGGTGGTGGGGTGGAGGGGCCGGTTGGGGATGTGGCGGGGTGGGCGGAGGAGGGTGGTGAGATGTAGAGAGGGGTGTTGGGTTGACGTGAAGTTGGTCCGGGGTTATGTCAATAGGCGTTAGATAGCTTGAAGCGGGGTAGCTAGGTGGAGGCGTATGGTGTGTGGATATATGATAATGGTGACATAGATCGATCTGGACAAGGCGTCGTGGAGTTTTTATCGGAGCCGGGTGTGGATTTTAGAAGGCCGCTGGACGTGGGAAGTTTTTAGAAGGGCCGGATGGAGGAGCCTAGATTTATTGACAACGGGAGAAGTTGTTGAAGTCTGTTCTTTTTCTATATATATTCATGGTTATAGCACCTATCATGTCCAACTGGCCATTCTAACTTATTGCCCAAGGATAGCAGACCAATCCTCCTTCTTCATATATTCCTCAAGACTCGTCATAGGGCAGTCAATCCCAGCCTATATATCAAGTCAATAACAATCCCAGAATAAGAAATAGGTCGAAAACTTCCTTACCTTCCTAATATCTTCCGCCCTCAAAAGCGTCTCATCACCCCCATCATACCCCGGATCCGAAGAGTAGGCAAACATATCCCCCGCCTCCGCACCAAACTCCTTATCCGGAACCATCTCAATGAACTGCTCGAGCGTGACCTCCTTGTATGCCGCAGATACCCCAGTCTCATTACTCCACAGCCTAATAAATTCACTCCAGCTGCATTCGGTTCCTGCCGCCATGTAGCTCTTCCCAGGCGGCATTTGGGAGACGGCGTAAACGAAATTCCCCATATCGGCGTTGACAGCGAGATGAGGAACCGATGCATTTGGCGCGGTTGGGAAACTCATTTGGAAAGTCCCATCAGATTGCTAAGATGCCATCCATCAGTCAGTCTCGATATCCCAACTCACCTCCTGCTCCTCCCAACCCAGGAAATTGAAAACTCTCACCTTCCCAAGATACGCATCCGGCAACAGCTTATAACTCGACATAAAATACCCCGTCTGCACACACGACATCTTTCCCCCCAACTCCCCCCACCTCTCCCCCACATACCCCGGAAACACCTCCGCCTTCCCATCAAAATGATACAACTCCCCGAACGCCCCCCCACTACACACCCCCGCATGACTCAGCGTCGAAGCAATAAACCCATTCTCCCCCAACGTCTCCACCGTCCTCACCGCTGCATCAGCAATATTCCTCCCCTGCCTTACCTCGACTTCATACGCGTACTTTCTGCACCCGATACCCAGCTCGGCGGCTTTGGAGCGGCAGTCGGGCCGGAAAAAAGGCTCCCAGTAGTTCGTGACGCTGAAGATGAGGTGGGCGCCTGCGAAGGCGGGGATGAGGGTGTCTACATCGTCCAGGTCGCCGAAGACGATTTCGACGCCGAGGGAGGAGAGGGACTGGGCTGCAGGGGAGGCGGGGTTGCGTGTGATGCCGCGGACGCGGTAGGTGGGGTCGAGGAGGAAGCGGCGGGCGACGGAGCCGCCTTGGTTGCCGGTTATACCGATGATGCAGATTAGTTTTGTCATTTCTCTAGGTAGGGGGTTTGCAAGAAACTTAATCTATGTATGAGGTTTGGGGATTGAGGGGTCATTGATGCTGGTGGGGCTCGATTTCATATAATCTGCTTAGTAAGTGTGCATTGCATGGGAAGATTGAAGATACTCTACTCTATTCAAGTAGAGAAAATTTGGAAGTCTGAGCTCTTTAGGAAGGAACGATCAGCTAAAGTAGAGAAGGCATGAACGTAGGGAAGATACGAAGTAGTGAATAAGGAAAGAACGACGGGTTGTTGAAGAAGAGGAAGGAACAACTAGCTGGTAACGGAAATAACGACCTACCAGAGTAAAGGGGAAGGAACGGTGATCAAGGGAAGGAAAGAGCGATTGGCCCAGTAACTAATAGCAAGTGAAGAGCGGAATGCTCTTTTTGAAACTATAGGGTTGTAGCAAGCCTCTGAGGATTAACGACGCAATAGCTGGCGATCAGAGTCTGATATATCACACGAACGACCCTGACACAGACAGACACGCGCATAGTAATATGTAATACCAACACTGCTTTAATCAACTCCCCACAAACTATCTATCCCCAACTCCAAAAACTCCCCCTCCATCTGCCCTCCAATCCCATCCACTCACTGCCCTCCCCTCGCACTCCCCACCTTCTCCATCTCCCTCACATACGCCTCCCACGTCTCAATCGCCTCCCCATAAAACCCCACATGCGCATCCGCCAACGCCCCAAACTGCGTCTTAAACTCGATCCTCTTAATCCTCTCAAAGTCCGCCACCTCCCTAATAACCTCCTCATCAAACGCCTCCGTCATCCTCTTCGCCCCCTCCACCGCAGCAGTCAACTCCTCGATCTTCAGCTCCGCCTCGCGCACCCTCTTCCGCCTCGCCTGCTCGTGGTCCACGCCTCGCACATCCTCGAGTTTGGAGCGTAAAAAGCCGCCGGGGCCGCTGGAAGCGCCGTGCGAGCCGGCGAGGCGGTCGCGTTGTTGCGTTGTGTCGGCGAGGAGGAGGGCGGTTTGCTCGAAGTCGACTTGTTTTGTGTCGCGCAACTTTAGGAGGGCTTTGACGGCTGTGCTGTAGGATTGCATGTCGCGCAGGCTGCCGAGGTAGTCGTGATCCGTCTTATCCTTGAGAATCTTCATCTCGGCAGAGGTATCCTCGATACTCGCCGTGAAAGCATGAACCGGCCCTTCGACGCCAGGCTCGAGGGTAATAAGCTTCTGGAAATTCTCGCCCAGCTCGTGGAAATCCTTAGCCAGCTCATCCTCGCGGCGCGCTACGCGCACGACGACTTTCTCAATATGGCCCAGGTCCTCGTCCAGCTTATCCGACTTCTCGCGCACCTCGATGAAGCGGCGGTCCGGCTTATGGACTTTAGTAAACGCATTAATGAAAGTCTCCGTAATCCCATCAAAGACCCCCGATCCCTGATCCCCATTCGACGGGGTCCTATTCGGGCGTCCCCTCATCGTAGCATTCCAGTCCTGGCTCTCGAGGAAGATAATAAGGAGCGCTGAGCGGCGCAGGACGGGATGCAGAGTCAGTCGGCGCAGGAAGCGCTTCAGCGAGTTTGTGCGGCGCTGCATGAATTCCGTGCTGAATCGGTCGCCTGTGACGTACATCATGCTGTGCTTGTCTGGCAGAGGCGGGACTGCACATTGCGGGTATTCCGCGAAGAGGGTGTTATACAGGAAGACAAAATCTGTGAATCGTCTTCGCACGGATGTTGTTGGCTTTTGGAAGGATGGGAAATCGGTCTAGATCCTGTCAGCTTCGCCCTCTTCCTCTTTCCTCTTCCCCTCCAATGTAGGGCGCGGGGGGATACACACATTAGTAGTAACAAGATAAGAAACATAAGAATCCTTCGACCCATCGCCCTCCTTCAGCGGCGCCGTAACCGTACACTCAAGAGTCCCATTCCCAATACCCGCATTATCCAACGGATCCGCCCGCGGCGTCTCCTCCATCCCATCCGCTATCCTATCAGCGTGACTAGGCTGCGCTTCTCCCGCCGCAGCCCTCGAACTCGATCCTGCAGCGCCCTCCGTATTCCCCCTCGGCGGCGACTGCCATGAGACGTCCGCGAAGTCGTCGTTCTCCATCGCACCGGGATTGGCGGGGTTGGTCGGCGAAGAGATGCGAAACCACTATGACCTAGCCAAGTTCGTGGAGTGGAATTGCGTAGGTTAGTATATCAATGCTTCGTGGGAGTTTAGAAGTAGTGGGATTGATATCACAGCTTCGTGAGTTGTCGAGGTAGTGTTAATAATCCGATTTTGTGGTTTTGGGAGCCTGATGGTGACAGGGGCGCGTCATCAGAAGCGGATGCGCAACCTGGATCGGTCAGGTCCCACCAAGGCAGAGATGGGAGCTTGTAGCCGCGATGCACGTGACATATCGATCACAATTTTAGTCAACGAAAAAGGGATCAGTGGATATTAAACGTCTTTTGATATTTTTATGTTTTTATCACATTCTCGCAGTTTCACGAGCTACCCCCCTACTATTTTACAAAAAAAAGTTAATTCTAAAACATCTAATGGTGAAGTGGACCCATTTCTATAGTAGTGTACATCCGTCCCTATGCCCACAATGTGTACCCCCATCCAGCAGCGCCTGGAGACCTAATCATGCCATACAAACGAAATGTGAAAGGCGCAAAGTAGCAACCCTTTAATTACTCCTTCTTCCCTTTCCCCTCATCAACGGACTCAGCCAGTTTCTGGTCCTTCTCCGCATCGATCGCCTCACTGACCTGATCCGTGTCCTTGCCATTAGCGACCGCATCCGCGCGACGCTGCTCCTCCTCATCGATATTCTCGTGATCGCGGGGAGTGGCAAGTCCAGACTCCTTGTTCTCCTCATCCTGCTCGTTCTCCTCCTCAATCAGCTCCTGCTGCTCCTTGAGGACCTCAAGACGCTGCTTGTTAGTCGCAGCACCCTCGGCGTTGTGGACTTCAAGCTCGATCTCGTGGAAGAGCTCCTCGGGGATGGAAGACAGGACACCGGTGAGGGCGTCGATTTGGCTGCTGATCTCCGAATCTTGTCCCTGGGCGTACATGAAGGCGTTGCTCAGGACCAGGAGGGTCGAGGGAACACCGTACTTGAGACGGAGCTCCAACCAGGACTCGAGGTCGTCACGTAGGCGGCCGGGAGACACGCCATGGGTGCGGATTCCACGGCTCGCGCAAGCGGTCTGGAGTTCTGGCACTGAAAGGCTCTCGACGCCCTCGAAGCTGATCGCCCTGTCATCTCTCTTGATCTGGCGCATCCGGTGGCGGACCTGGTAACGAAGCATCATGTCCGTGCCGAATGTGTTCAGGTTCATGTAGCGGCACATGCCGACCAGTTGTGGGCGAGACAAGTTGTCAAGGGTCAAGTCATCCTTGAAGATCTTGCACACCTTGATCACGTCTGCTGCTGTTGGCGTCTCGCCGGTGGCGCGAACCTTGCGGAAGAATTCCGAGAACTCCTCGCGCTGCGCTATGGCCGAGTTCAACGGAAGCCCGGTCTCTTTAAGGGTGTCGCTGAGGAAGCTGCTGACCTCCTTCCTCGTGGCCCTCAGGGTGGACATCTTGGTGTCCTTTGACTTCTGGCCCTCGTAGGTGCTAGGAAGCATGTTGGGGAAGATCTTCAGAGCGACTGGGAGGAGTAACTCGGCGAAAGGCACGATGAGGAAGACCGAAAATGGCACCAGGCGGCCAAGATCTTGCACTGTGCGCTTCAGCTGCCTGTTCTCCCTGCGACTAAGCTCGTAACCAGCTGCCATCTTCAACGCCAAACGAGTACTGATCTTGACCTCCGTTGCCAGCAGCTTCGTTCCATCCCAGTAATGTGCCAGTTCCTTCTTGATCTTCTGACCAATGGTCAACTTCTTCTCCTGCTTCTTCACCTCCGACGTGTCGATGGACTTCTCCTTTTCGCCTGCGAGCTCGGAGAAAGTCAGCGCCTCGACCGCATCAGTCTTGGGCACCGCAGTCGGGGAGGTCCTCGACACAGAGTCGATATCGCCTTTGTTTTCGACGGCATCCGAAGCCTTATCAAGCGTTTTTGACGTGGGCTTGGCGCTGCCAGCCGGGAGTGGCTTCTTGGCCTGCTCGGCATTGAAGCCTGGTGGCGGACCACCCGATGTGGTTGTGTTTGTGTGCGTGTCGGTTGACGCATATCTGGAGTGGGGGACGAGGATGGCCAGAGCGGTCATCTGGGTTGGGAGGTTGCGGCCATTGCGACGGAGATAGGCCGTATACGCCGACGAGGGGCCAAACGAGGATCTAGGGAAAGCACGAGCTGTTATCGAAAGTCAGTCTTCGCGCATATAGTAGATGTCGTCGCCAGACTGCGTATACATACCAGCACTCAAAACCGAAGTCCGGGCAGCCGCATTGCGAACCAAGCTTGAGGATGCGCTCATCACGGATGCCGAGGAGACGAAGGGCTTGCTGTGCCTCTAGGGAAGGGGCGAGAGCGTCGAAAAAGAGTATCAAGGCAGGCGGTAATGCGCCGCCTATAAATAATAGATTCGTCGGGGATGCAGTTGTGGTTGAGGTGATGGTGAAGTCGTAGTGTTTGATATGGAAAGAGGGAGAAATTATCACCAACTCATGCGTTTTCCATGGAGAATCCCCGAACCCGAGCCCCCGGGCGCCCCGGGTCCGGGTTCACGTGACAAGGATGCGAACGGAGAGTGACGTTGACTGGAGGGACTAAAGAGGGTCCAGAAGGTGCCACGCACGCACGATATGTGTAGGTAGTAGCATAGGAGTTCAAAGCAGGAATACATTTAATAGGTTGGCAAAGGTGAGGAAATATGATAAGAATAAATTTTAGTACAGTACCACTGACTATTTTGTATCTCATAGTATTTTTAAATATATTTTTGAGCATATATACGATTTAATATGAATTTTGACAATATTCTAGTATTTTCGGAGAATACATGTGAGCACACTTGCCCAAAGAAGACTAACGTCCCCTCTCAACAAGCCCCGACATGTCCGTTTATCCCCGCCGATTTCGGCCTTAGCGCCCCTCAACCAAGATCTCCCAAGACTCCCTACTGCACCGTGCTCTGCCACACACCTACCACTACACCTACCACCAAACATCTTATCGGGACTCCTCGGTACCTTTCGCCCAGTTCAACGCTTATACTCGCAGCTCTTTCCCATCCCATCCCACTTCCACATGCTTATACACATGCGCCTACTTGTATCAACATCTCCATCATCATCCCCGATCGCTTTCGCCACGGTCTCTTCCTTGTGATTCTCGGACATATAAGCTATCTCGCATCTCGCGCCCGAGCCCGCTCCTTCCTCAACCTCTTTTTTTCTTTCAAAAAACATCGATATCCCCCCCCATTCAACACCTTCACCATGCGTCACTCTTGAATAACGCAGTTGCGGTTGGGCTTCAGGACGGATTGTTCATCATTTTACAACCGACGGACGGATATTAGCGGACTATTATTATCATCTTTCGGCTACTCTGCAATACATTCATTCTTATAATTACCTTCAACCACCACCTCAACACGCCTCTCCGTCGCGTCATTCATTAAACAACATCCCACAATGAAGCTCTCCAAAGCAGCCCGCATCATCCTCGTCGGCGCCCCAGGTTCGTCCCCCCTCCTCCTCCTCCTTCATCCGCCTTCCCCCCAAACCACGCCACAAAACGAAAACGCTCAAGCTAACCACCTCCCCCCCAGGCGTCGGCAAAGGCACCCAATCCGCGCGCCTCCTAACCGCCTTCCCCCAACTCTCCGCCATCTCCTCGGGCGACCTCCTGCGCACCCACGTCCAAAACCGCACCCCCCTCGGCATCCGCGCCGAATCCGCCATCAAAGCCGGCTCTCTCGTCCCCGACGCCATGATCCTGCGCCTCATCCTCGCCGAGCTCAAGGACCGCAACTGGCTCTTCCCCGGCCGTCCGGAGCAACCGTACACGCTGAACAGTAGCTCCGACGCGGGGGGAGAAGACGCCGCGTTCGTTGCCGGGGATATGTTAGATACGCCGTCGCTGCTGGCGAGCTTTCCGGAGCCGAGGACTTGCGACAGGCCGGAGTCGTCGTTTATTCTTGATGGGTTCCCCAGGACGGCGGAGCAGGCGGTGCAGTTGGATAATCTCGTCCCCATCAACCTTGTCGTGCACCTCGATACGCCATTCAGCGTCATCATGGACCGGATCGCGGGGCGCTGGGTCCACGCGCCGTCGGGACGGAGTTACAATACGAGTTTCAATGCGCCGCGCGTGCCGGGACGCGATGATGTGACGGGGGAGAGGCTGACGAAGCGCGCGGATGATGATGAGGGGGTTTGGTTGGAGAGGTTGGAGAAGTTCAAGGAGACGAGTGAGCCGCTGCTGGAGCATTATGCGAGGAAGGGGGTGTTGTGGAGGGTGGAGGGCGAGACGAGTGATGAGATTACGCCGAAGTTGCATAAGGAGTTTGCGAGGCGTTTCGCGCTCAGGGACTGAGTGGCTGGATATAATAATGGGGCGGTTGATGCAAGGCGCGTGATACCCTGAGATGGGCGACGCGGTGGATATTACGTGAACCAGACACGTACGAGGAAGGGAGGATGTTTTTGAAAACCGAGTAACGGCCGCACATGCGGGGCTACGGTTGGAGGGGTTTTCTGTAGGATATATAGTCCATGAGGGAGGGATATTATCAGCGCGGATCGAATGGGAATTGGGCGTTTTTATTTATTTATGATTATTACAGCTTTCGAGATTATATGATTCGAAATGCAAATATGGGAGGTTATTTCTCTGATTACTCTCCTGTTTACTGTCTACTGGACTTGTGCTCGCCTGAGGATTTGGATCTTTCTGGGGGATATCTCACTCGGTATTTAGGATATATAGTCGCCAATAACCCGACAAACTGCGTGGTCTTCAGGCGACGGATACTGATACTACATTATGCCATTGGGGGGACAGTCATCCTGGCAGGTAACATGTTTTGACCGTATGCTCATTGCAATGCGGAGGGCGCCACTGCTTCTGATGATGTCTTTCCTCTTCTCACCTCTTACAATGTAGTTGTCGCTATCCCTTTCTCACCACTTCCGGCCGTCCCGCTGTCGCCGGATTTTCTCATCACCGTTGCTTCTACTGTCACCACCATCATCTTCCCGCCGGTCTAGGGGGATTTGACTCTGCACCATTGGGTTGATCCTCACAGCAAACGAAGAAGATGATATCTTTAGCATATTTGCTTGCTTTGTCCCTTGGAAAATCTTGATATCGCGCCAAGTCAGGAATCTTTGATGTCGATGATGGCATAGTTTGTGGCGTTTTGATCCGAGTACTCGCGACGAACTGCGCATGTCTGATCAAGGCACTATGTGAAGTAGTATATTTCTACGGTGGGAAGTGGCGGGTTCGGTGTGTGGTGAGATCGATGAATTGTGATATTTCATTAGGGCTGATATGTGTCAATACTCAGATAGGGGGGGATTATATTTTTGGGCCGCGAAAAAGGAGAATTTCTGTCATACTATTAAATAGCTTTCGAGATTATATATTACGAGCAATGGGTCGAAATACACCATGAGAAATTCTTCTCTAGTATTTCCGCTCTCCTCTACTCGTATTGCTCAAAGTCTAAAATTTCCGAGAAGATCGACTATTGAAATTCTATAACATAAGCTCCATGATACAGGCCGCAGAGTCTCCCGCAAAATTTCTATTTGGCTTCAAGCCATGTTTCATACCTACCCAGAGACTTAGCTGTTGATGAGGCCATTCCAGAAGAAATGTTCGTCACAATGGCCCTCACCCTCCCGCGTCGACGAACCCTGTTTGAGGAAATCAATAAGATAACTGTCACGACTAATGATGATTACGTCCTGGAACTGAAGGCAGAGCTCAACGAGCTCAAGGCGAGTTGTGTCTTCTCACCGACCGCGCCCCCACCGTCGTATTCTCACCGCCACCGTCCGTCTCGCTGTCGCTAAACATTCTCGCCATCGACTGTTCTCGTCGTCGCCGGATGGTCATCTCGACGTTTTCTGGGGTCCAGAGCTCAGCTTTGCTTGGATGATGGAGATCCTGCAAATAACTCTGCGTCTGTAGAACTTGGAGGGACTCTCTAATGACTTTGTTATGATCTGCAGGGTCCTTTGACGCATATGTGCACCGTATCAGGCAACACTTCTAGTCTCACACTGGCTCTTTCCCTGGAGGTCAGATATCTACCAAGCCACCAGGAAGAAAGCACTGGGTTTACTGCATGTCGAGCTCAATAAACTGGACAATCTCTGGGGGGTTGGCGTGTGTGTTGCTAAGATCACCATATAGTGGAATATTAAACTTTTGGATGGCAAAGCAGAGAACTCCTGTAATGGTTTTGTATAATACGAGCGCTCGTGGTGCTTCTATTTCTCGGGGTCGATGGCATATGTTTGTGGTCGATTGGAAAAAGGCAGTCGAATTGGCACGACGTTCATTTTCTGAGTCGAACTTCCGTCACAGCAATAGGATATCGAAGGGCATGTCATACTTCGGTGCATTACACACGATGATGCCACACTTGGAGAAATATTACTGACGACGATTTGCTGGGCTTATACTGCGGAAGGTGATGGCTCTGAGAGAGAATGTAGTTAGCCAATGATGTCGAGCGCCTCCGCCTTCTCACCACCGCAGGCCATCCCACCCACTATCGCTAGCTATCCTTCTGTCGCCAACCGTTCTCGTCACCGCCGCCTCTACTGCCGCCGCTAGCTGTCTTTTTCTGCGGTAGTTCTTCCATTCGCGTGGTGATCCGAGCGCGGGAGTGTTCGGATCTGCTGTCATGAATGCCGTGATAGCCTCATTTAACACAAACCCGCAGATAGATCGGATTTCTTCAGCCGCAAGCGCGGTTGTCGAGAGGCCACATAGCAACTGAGTGTCTGTAATAAGTGCCAGGGATCCTTCAGTGGAAATTATAAGGAAACCACATGTTATCACTTGCTGCCATGACGAAGTCATGTGGGCATGTGAAAGTTATATTTTTTACATTATTATAATAGCCCATACCGGGCACCAGGCGCTCATTTATTTCCCCGTGTATATATCCCTAATACGCCTTTGATGGTATCTACATAACGCTGGTACAGTATGACTTCGCCGCCCAATGTGTGCTTTGTTTCCTCTAGATCGAGAGGAACCCACAACATAGGGGATGGTTTCCAGACCATCTGGCACCGCACGTTGCTCTTGGATACCGACTTTCGAACTCGGTATTCTTGGCCTGGCTTTGGATTTTCCGTTCGGGTTGGTAGCACGTACAAGTCCGTATCCGCAACCTGCTGCCGCCACCAACCATATCATGCCCCTCAATGCATATGTCCCCTCCCCCTCTGCCTCCTCGCATCTCCCCCAAACCCACCGCCACCTCTTCCCATCCATCTTCCTCCTCTTCCCCCCCTCCCTCCCCCAAATCTCTCCCTTTCCCTCTCCTCCTCCCTCTCCGCCTCCTCCCTCTTCAACCTTATCTCCTCCTCCACCTCCGCCGGATCCCTCACAACCCTCACCTTCAACTCCTCCAAATCCCCCTCCGCCTTCCACCTCGCATGCGCCCCCTCCGGACACTTCTTCCCCTCTGGACAAAACCCCGCCAAATAAAACCGACATAAATCCCTCCTCACATGCCTCCTCGCACACCTCGGCCCCAGCGGACAAAACCCCCTATCATACCACCCACACGCGGGTAACCTGCTCTCTGGATCGACATGGAGATACAGGCACTCCTCGCCATTACTGCAATACCCGTTCCTGGCGAAGAAGCTGCACTCCGGCATGCGCCGCAGGTTGTACTCGTGCAGGAACTCGCAGTGCTCCCCCTTCTTGCACAGCCCGCGCAGCCAATGTTTGCACACTAGGTTATTGTAGTTCGAGCCTGTCGGCGCGGCGATGTGGCGGTCGGGACACGACGCGCCGAGCGGGCAGTGGCCGGCGGCGTAGGCTTTGCAGGGGGGGCGCGAGGGGTCGACTCCGAAGCGGTAGGTGCGGAGGAGGAAGGGGGAGAAGGCGAATGTGTATGGCGCCATGGGGGGGGCGGCGACGTCGGGGGAGGGCGCTGCTGTGGCCATGGTGGATGTGGATGGGAGTTAGAGAGGTGATCGGAATAGATTGTGTTGGAGAGAAACACGTCGCCTTATTGCGCTCTCTTGGGCCTGGCGCGGTCGAGGGTGTGATGGCGTGGCGCAAAGATCAGGGTATGCAGGTGTGTGTGACTGATAGCTTGATAGGTGCAGTCGAGGCGAATCAGGGTTCTGGGGAGTTCGTGGCGCCCGTGAGAGTGCGGGGTACGTAGGCGGTGTATATCTTTAGTGCTGGGATGGATGCTTTTGCTCTGCTGCAGCTTGCTGTCGGCAGGGTTTACAATGTGTTGGTTGGGGTATCGGGGAAGCTGAGATGATATTTGCTTTTTCAATCGATCGTTGCTCAGTTGGAGCTCGCGAGGCTGGAGCTTGGGTGTTATTGTGCTTACAAATCAGGAATGGCGTTTGATAGGCGTGAGCACGTGACTCAAGCTGATATGCGGGCGTCCCGGTGCATGTGCAGTAGCAGTTTCTCGTAGTAAGAACTGAGAAATGAGTTCGGATACGCCGGTGCTCAAGTACGAGTACGAACCTTGTACTAACAAACCAACAGCGCTGAAGATTTGGCAGCTTTGACAGTCTGATACTCGTTTTCTGAAGCTAGTGATGAAGTCGCCTTGTCTGTGCGTCGGGGACAACTGTGATTGCGCCCCGGCGCGTGGGGGCCCTGTGGTGGTACCATTCGATAACAAAAGTAGCTATTGCTCAGCTCACCCTTGCCCTTGGGGTCACCGTGTTGGCTTGTCCAGAAGAGTTGGCTATTTACAAGGACGAGGGAGGTTGAGATACTGATAACTAACTGCCGAATTCTTATATTGCAAGTGCTATATGTTGAAGCTTTACCCTCCATGCACATCGGGGTCACATTGTTTAAAACATGTACGACTCAATGGAGATTCCGGTACGGACATGAGTCCATCTTTGGCGCGAGGCCCTGGTATTCCCATCAGGACTGGCCCAATGCGGAAGTGCATAGTAGCATTCCAGTGGGATCCTGCTGTTGCGATGGCCAAGTTTGTATGCCCCCGCATACGCATTGGGACATTGGGGAAGATATGCAAAGGGACGAGCGGTGATAATGTCCGTCTTCCCTGATATCACATCACCCTGGGCGTTGCGATCCACTCTCTCGGTATCGATACGTTTCTTCGCAGAGAGTCATGGACAGCGTCTCTGTACGACGCTCCAACTCGAACGCCGTACCTCGTATAGAGGAGTGAGACACGGATGGGGGTCAAGATTGGATGTGCTAGGGTTGTGGGAATTGCGAGGCGCGAAGGATTCCAGACGAGGAGTTCTCATACGGCCAGCTTCAGCCCGCCTTGAAGCCATGTCTGAGGCGTGTACAGCCGCCACTCGAAGCCTCGAATCTGCCGAGGAGAGTAATTATTGGCGGTCCAACAGCGACAGCCCGTATACTTGTTGTACAGAACGGTACATATGATATCGGACGGATATACTCTTGCGCAGGGTAGTTTTGACAGCTGTTGTCCCGCGAGAAGGTATGGATGGCACAGGCTATGGCGGGCGGAGACGACGACGAGGACGACAAGGAAGATGACGAGGAGGGTGACGAGGATGGCGAGCATGAATGGGGAACGAGGAAGAATTCTCCGAACCAGCGTCACATCTGTTCTTTATCGTCGCTCACTGTCGTCCATGACTCCGCAAGCCAATATCCAACGCAGCTAGTATTCGGCATGGGCCGTTGCCATAGTGCTACCCTGCTGTATACTCTGCAGTATCCTCTGAGATATACAATATTGACGGTACTCTGTTAGGGTCTCATCTGAGCTTTGGTAAGGGTGGCAAGACGGCAGTGGGTGGATGGCAGGCTGTAGCTAGTACACAGCACTGGAAACAGCACTGTTAGATCGCCATCCCCCACTCGTTCCTCCTTCCATGCCCCATCAACTTCACAACCCCCGTCCCCGTTGATACAGCTGCATATCATAGTATGGCCTGTCCCTGCCTGGTCTTTGGTAGAGAGTGTGGAGTGGTACTTCTTCGTTGCCATGTTCTAGAGTGGTGTTATACTTACTATATGGTGCTGTAGCACTATTCTGCTGTGCTTCTGTCCTACTGCGGGACAGTAATTTACTGGCTACTTTCTGTCGTACTGTCCTACATCTTGATTTCTGTGCTCGCCTTACTCGTTGCTGTTCGCCGTTGTCCGTCCAGACTGTAGCGCATCTTCTGCACCTCGGACGTCCTTCAAACAGGCCCGGCATTTCATCGGTTGAGGCATCGCTGATCTGACCTTGTTCGCTCACCATTCCCACGATCTCCACAGCCGCTGGCCGCCCTGTTCCTAGTCTTGGTCTTGGTCTTGGTTATGACTGACTGGCAGTAGTGTGTGTCTCGTTGTCACTGCATGCTCAGAGCAGGGGTTATAGCCGTCCGATGTCCATGGCGTTTAGAGCATTCAACCGGCTTGGTTTCTCAGAACCCAGCACGCAAAGTACAGACACCCTTCATCTCATCCATCCCACCCGCCCGCCGTCCTTCATCCTTCCCGATCCAAGCTCGGATCGTCTGAAAAAGAGACAGTTTCAGCGTGCACACGGCGCCTTCTTGGTCGGTGCGCTGAGTGCGCTGGGATTACTCCGCATGTAGATTGGCCCATCGGCTGCCATGTGTACTAGAGTGCGCTGCCAAGAGGAACGAGGGACTTTTCATCTTCTGCATGTACTACACAGCACGGCGGGTGAGCATGTACTTTATGTAAGTTGTACATGCAGAAATGACTGTAAATCCATTTAACGGCAGCAAGCTCATTTAGGTCAGTAAATGGTATTTCAAGGAAAAATAAATACGAAGAGGGTATTATACGTACGTCTACTCCACTTGTGCTCCACGAAAGAGACGCTATTAGCACAATCACGGCGGCTAGATAGCAGTTGCCGCATGGGGACAAGCACGTTGCGTGAGGCGGTCTACTTCGTTCCACTTCAGTAACTTGAAATATGATCCCCAGCATCTTTGCCTCCACTGTGGCCTTTACCTCTACTCCACTATGACCGCATTTTGGTCCCTAGTTGTGGCCTAATCGGCGCCCAGCATCGTTCTTTATGTACGAGATACTCGGGGTCATGCTTCAAGTACAACAACCAACGTGCATGCGTTGCGGGACGTCGGCTGCGCTTGCTCCTCCTGTGCATTTCTCTGGGGTCTGCAACCTGTCTCTGAAGCCTGTGGTTGGAAGCTGCACTGTACTGCACAGCAGCAATACAGCACAGGCCTCGGAGTCCCACGAGGCAGATAGCATTCCTTCCTCCGCATTCCGCCTTGTATGTGTTAAGGGTTAAAGCAGATAGGTGTGGCACCACTGGCAGACACACTCACACTTCCCCAGTGCAGTATTACAGTGCAGGCAGTGGAGTACAGTCGTATATGGCTATGCCTGGTTCAAGATGCCTTCTAATCTTCCTCGGCCAATAACTTGTGCTCTAGTAAGTCAGGGAGCGAAGAAGCCTCCACTCTCTTCTCTTATTCCGTCTCCCTCCGGCTTCTCTCCCATCCTGCACAGAATTATGATCACTATAAGAGCTCACAAAGCATGATTTTCCCTGGCTGAAACATGCCGGCAAAAGCATCACTACTGGTGGAAAACCCACCACTAAACCTTGGACTGCTACCATAAGGGCCGATGCAGATACATGACATACATGGCATCCTGCATGTCATCCATGAGATACTCTACTCCGTACATACATACATACAATACTCCCACCTGGCCTGCTTTAGTCGATCTTTCTCACGATGATCCACCCTGCGTCTGTCTCTCAGGCTTGTCCTCCACCACTTACTAGCCCTTGCTACAGCAATAAACTTGTCCGATCCCGCAGACCCACGGACACTGACGGACCCTACATATTTACAGATTTACATATAAAGACGGTACGTACTTTCATATTCTGTCCCCAACTGTTTCAATCGACCTACTTGGCACATATGCAGGCCTACAGGTATACAGCAGCAAAGCCTTGCAAGCTTACGCCTTCCTAGCTGCTCGCCTCTCGGACCTTCCTCCTCGCTGCCCTGCTTCTGATTCTCACGCGAGCATACAAAGGTCTTGTGGCACCCGGCCAGCCCTCAGCCATAGATCATAGACACCCCAATCCGGTCGTCACAAACGTCGTTTGCGCGTGGGTGCATAGCATAATTCTCGTCGCTAAAGTAAGTTCTTCCTCATGTCCCCCAGCATTGCATTATCAATATTTCCCAGGAGGCGGTTCTTCCGGGCCTCCTCATGCAAGACGCAGGCATTGTCGGCCTACCTGGGCCGGCTCACCCAACTTCCATTTTTTATTTACTGGCCAGCCTCATCTCATACCGCCTTTCAATGTTCTCGGCCCGGGGGGTCAGCATGCACACCTCTTCCAAATAGGCAACGCTCCTTCTCAGATCGCTCCATGGGAGGAATGCGGCTGGCTGGCCACACTCCCTTGGCCGTGCCGATTGAGTATATTGTCCCAAGGTTGTGTCCCGATCAGCTCAGATGGTCTGCACCCAGACCGACTCCCCTACGCCCTCCCAAAGACGTATCAGCCGTGGCCTTGCCCAATCATCCCCACCCACAATTTCTACTCCCCTGCATCTCCAAGTGGAGTATAAGCGGTGACCTTTCCATTGAGCATCCAACAGCATAAGACTGTCTTTTACTGAACAGTCATAGCATACCATAACAATCCATCAACAAGTTCACATGTTTAAGGCAATTAGCCGATCACTCTCGCCCAAGTTATTCGCCTGGGAGACTGGAATTCGTGGTTTGAAAGAGAGAATACCCGGCTGCACCAGTACTCTCCACACTGGCTTTCCGTCCAGTTAAGGGGCCCCTGCAAATTACCAGCAGACCAAGAAAGGCTTATATACACCTTCGATACGTACACAAACTTTTTCTCAAGACGAAACATTATACCACCTCTCGCAGATGTCAAGGACCCCGTTCGGTCCCGTCCCACCCCCTATTCCATATGGACGGAAGCCACCAGAGCCACCACGAAGGCCGTCTCTGGCTGACACCGCCGAAATAATGTCTGTCAATGCCGTCTACTACCCGAATTACCGTGCCTACCGTGGAGAGACGCCGGCGACTCTGAACTACAAGTGCATCAGTCATGTCTACTACGCTTATGCACATGTCAACGCCGACGGTTTCGTCTTTGCAAGTACTCCGGAATACAGTACTGGCCTGCGTGCTAATTCCTGCCTCAGTTGAGCGACGAGTTGGCGGATGGGACGATGGAGGTCGATGGCGTGAACGGCTGCCTGGGGTCATTCATGGTTCTGAAAGACAAGTTTCCTCACCTGAAGGTGCTTCTGTCGATTGGTGGTGTCGACTCGAGCCAAAGCTTCCGGATCCTGTCAGAAACGGCAGCACGAAGAGACAACTTCGCCAAGTCAGCGAATCTGCTTGTTCGAGAGGCACGGCTCGATGGCATCGACAGTATGTTCCAAAGCAGCTACTATAAACTACGTACTAATGTGAGCTTTAGTCGACTGGCAGCATCCAGATGATGCACAGCAGGGAAGCAATTTCCTCTCTCTCCTAGCAACCGTTCGGCTCTATCTTCCATCAGAGGATTTCATGGTAGTCGTGCCGCTCCCTACCAACAGCTGGGCCTTACAGCACATCGACCTGCCCAAGATTGAAGAATACGTCGACCTGGTCAACCTCACGGCCTATGACTTCTCTGGCCCCTGGCGCCCCACTGCCGGCCATCACGCACAGCTCTACCGCGCGCAGGAGGGTGAGAACTCAGGCTCTGCGGCCGTTGAGTACATCCTTGCCACCGGCTTTCCAGCGAAGAAGATCCTCTTAGGAATCCCCGTGTATGGACGCTCGTTCATCGGCGCAGCGGCCCCAGGAGACCAGTACCACAGTAACGGCGGCGAGGATGGCATTTTCGAGTACAAATCACTACCGCGCCCAGGCACGCAGGAGGTTGTCGACACGGAGCGCTGCGCAGCGGTGTGTGTCGGTGGGGACGGTGGCTTCGTCACTTACGATAACCCCGAGACGGTGGCTATGAAAGGGCGCTATTGCAAAGAGCAGGGCCTTGGTGTTAGTTTCCTTTACTTATTCCTTCTATGGCGGTGTGCCAGTCGCATTGCACGGTTTACTGATGTGTTGGCAGGGCCTCTTTTACTGGACTGGGACGGCGGATATCACTAATGGGCCACGCAGCTTGGTTGAGTCCGGCTTTCGAGCGCTACATGGTTCGTGATGATGGGGTCTTGGGGATCGCTCACGTAGCTCCTCGTAATCATGAAGGGACTAGTGGAGACGTGGAATTGGGTTTGGGGGTTTGGTCCGGTGATGATGGATCGGGCTCGTATCGGGAGCGTGTGTGGGGGGGCTCGAAAGGGGGTTGGTAATGACAGACTGGGTGAGGGGTTATTATCCGGATTCCATTACTTCTCAGATGATGCTCGAATTTTTCCATTTCCATTTTTAAGGCGTGCTTACTCACTCACTTACAATACTTGTACCAGCCTACGATTGTGTTAGTTTTCTCATAGTTCCAGAAATTAGATAGATGCAGTACCAATACAGAACAGATCAAGCTTATCTCACTCACCGTCCCTACCTACCTACCCCTCTTACCCCTCCTTCCTCATCTTACAACAAAATCATCACATCTCAACAAGCACCCCCACCACACCACCCCGCCAACATAAACCCGACAACACATTGATTGACCCGAGGAGCCCAGCAACCTTCCCAGACCGCTCAAACACCCCCCACCCCCCACATTCATGCCCGTCACATCCGTCCCCTGCCCCAAGCGGGTCCTCCTGCCCGTCATCCACAACGCTGTAACGCCGGTTTCCGCCGCTACGGCGCGTCACCACCATCCATCCCCTAGCTCCACCAGCATGACCTCGTACCCTATCTCCCGCCCCTGCGCTGCGGCGGACGAATAGAATACAAGGCCTATAATTCACAAAGGTAACAGCCAGCCAGTCAATACCACCGCGTATCACACGCCTGCCCCCACCACGCCTCTTCCGTCACCGCTGCGATGGCGGTGGGAGCGCTGGTGGGGTGTTGGATTCCGCTGTCCGGGAAGGGGGGATTTTGAAGGGGGGGTGAGAGGGGGACGGTATGGCTGTTTTGGGGATTGTGCAGTTGGGAACAAGGAGATGGGTTAATATTGAGATGGACCGATCTTATTTTAATCTGTGTTTGGAGGGGTTCGCGGGTTTGCTGGGACGGGATGGTGGGATGGGTGGGATGCTTGGTGGGGTTGGAAGGAGGGGTCGAGTTTCGCTTGGTTTTCTCGCTTAATTCCTGTCGCTGATGGGACTAAGCGAGAGTTTGAGGTGCTGTCAGTGCAGGCACGGAGACACAGAGGCGTGGAAAGAGCGACATTGTGTAATCTCAGCCCCTATCTAAGACAAGTAAAAAAAAATCAACCACATCATCAGCATGCAATTGTGATTCTCAGTTCAGAGAAACAAAAGGCAAAAAAAATATAATCAATGACAACTGTGGGATTCGAACCCACGCTCTTTCGAACCAGTAGTTTGATGAATCAGGTGAACCTGAAACTGGCGCCATAACCGCTCGGCCAAGTTGCCTGTTTGATTGGAATGGGGAGTGGTAATTGGTACTAACAACACCGCTCGGGCTCTAGGGATACTAAACCTCGACATATCATGGATGGTACTCGGGGATAACTCCTTCCTAAATTTGCCTCCAGAGAACGTGCAATCACACAATCGAATTCGATTCACCGATGAATGAGGGGGAGAATATTAAAGTGACCAGATGATTTCGGCGCTCGTTCCTGTTGTGGAACTTCGAGACCTCCTACGTGAGTTTAACGATAGCAAAATGCTGTTGGGGTAGATTCTTGCTACCAGAAGTTCCTGCTGTCGAGGCTTTCTGTTGTCATAAAAATTTCTGTTGCCGCGAGTTGCTGCTGTCGTCGAAGATTTCCCCTGTCGGGAGCATGAATAGTTCGCTTGCCTGAACTTTTTCTCTCCCTCCGGCGCTATGCCCCATGATCCAACGAGCATGGTCTAAGCCAACTTGCTCTGTGAGATCTGTTCGATGCGCCGCCGAATAGCATAAAACGTAATGGTTCTAGAATATCCCATACCCTTCCCACGTTCTCGGGGGTACTCAGTAAGGGATGCAGAGCTAGCTGGCTTATCAGAGGCTTCTAGGCCTCGAGGTGTGCTCCCGTTCATGGGGACGTCGAAGTGAAACAGCCCAACTTCGGGAGAATGACCATGGATGCAATAATTTGTAGTAGTTGTCTGAATTTCGGCGATCCATGGTCGATTTAGAATAATGTATGCATAGTCTATATTTTGTTGTAATTGGTTGATGGATTTTCTACTAGAGCTAATATAATATCTATGAGTCTCTTTGTAGATACATATTTATTTTTTATAGAAGCGTGCATTTTGTTTTTTAGTTTTACATAATTAACAAACATTTTTTTCCCCTAAGTACCATTTAAGTATTATCAAAAGTGCAATTATCATTTCTCACGTCCAAACAGTTTCAGCGTCAGTGATGTTACTCATGACTGACGCTGATTCAAGCACACAACTATGTGCTCCGTTGCGGAACTTCAAACTCATAGTGACTCCCCGTCTATCCCTTTAAATCTTCACATCCCCCCCTAAATTCCTCATCGCCTCCATCCTCCCATCTCGGATCCAAACCACACAATCCCCCCTCAATATCAACACAAACACTACCATCAAAGAACAAAATGTCAATCCCCTACTCCACCGGCCAGCCCGCCAACCCCCCTCCTCCTCCCTCCTCCCACCAGAACCTCTCAAACGGCGTCGGCGCCCTCACAAACCACGTCCACCCCCCTTCCCCCACAGTCACCATCACGCTCTCCCACCTCCCCAGTCTCGGAACCACCTCCCCGACACCACAGGCACCAAACCCCCTCACACGCCCCTCAGGCTTCACACCGGCAACAACCGGGCAACATCACTCACAGCCGCGCGCCATGGCTGGGGCACCGATAGCGGTTTCTTTCGCGAGAAGAATTGGCGAGATGGATGACCCGACAGCGGTTTATATGCGGGAACTCATTGAGAGTGTTGAGACGGCGAGGATTGGTTGAGAGGCGCTGGGGGCTGAGAGAAGGGAGGATGGTGCTTGAGAGATGGTTAGGGGAAGGAGGATGGCGGTGGAGGGTGGTTGTGATGAAAGGACCCCTTTTCGTGAACGGAGGGGAAGTGGTGTCTGGGAGTCTGGGAAGAAGTTATCAGTGTCTCTGTCCATTTGTGAGGGATAAAAAGCCAGATAATCGCCTATAGCAATTAATCACATCGCATGGTATAACAAGCTAGAGAAATGTTCAGAGGAGGAGAAGTTGGATTGCAAGAAAGCGACAGATGAAGAGAGTTGCGAGTTAGTCTTCATAACTCGGAATGAGATATTCGCAACAAACTTCCCTGCTTCTGCCCCTCGAAATATACTTATATCTCGCTACGGTAAGGGCCTTCCCGAGCAAGCATACCTTGCAATAACACGGGTAGCTGCTGCATTCAAGCAAGCATACCTTACAACAACACAGATGTTGGCGGTGTCCCCGCTGCTGAATGAGGCAAAGCCCTATTCATTTCTTGCTGTCACCTACTGTTTCTTACCACCTCCCATTTTTCTCACCACCCTTCCTGTTTCTCGCTATTGCTCCTTCTTGTCACTACGTTTCTTGTCACCTTGCTCGATAATCCCACGTTCCAAACCTCATCATTCGCGGGGTCTAACAGGGCCTTTATGCCGAGGACTTGCCAGATCTTAAATGCCATAATTGACATCATAGCCGGGATGTAAGGATGAACGGAGTCTAGATTGCCCAAGAAAACACAATCTTTAATATAACAAAATCTCTGGGGAAAATTCTCCAATGCCTGGGACATGCACTTTTGCACCCGCAGCCCCTGGAAAAAAGGGTGTGAAAAGGGACATCTATGACATTAGCACGCTGACACGCGATGAAGAATATGGAGATAATAAGTGTACAGGAAGAGAAAAATAATAAACATAGGTGTCTTCCCCACACCTCCCAAACCCCGCCCACCGCTCCGCCGCATAGCAGCATGCAGCTAACCGTCATCAACCATATCATCAGTCTTTCTTTCATCACGGATCATTCCACAAACCTAAGCCTTCCTCCTCGGCGACTTCCTGATAGAAGACGCACCGCTCATCGACGCACCACTCGCCTCGGCCTCCTCCACGCTACCATTCAACTTAATAGTCGGCACATTGACCCCAGTAATACTGCTCAACTCCTTCTTCTCTCTCTCCGCGCGCTCCTTCTCATCACGCAACTCGCGGTCATACTCCTCGTCATCCTCAGCGTCGCTGCGCTCATCAGACAGCGCATTGAAGAAGAGGAAGCGGTATGCGATGCGCAGGATCGAGAACAGCCAGAAAAGGTTGAGGCATTGCAGACAGCTGAGTAGGGCCGCGGTGATGTAGTGCGAGAGGTCGCACTTGTATTGCTCTGTTTCCCAGTTGAGCTCGTAGGGGCCGACGGTCTTGAACTCGAAGAAGAGGGAGAGGAGGATGCGGAGGTTGAGGTAGTGGCGCATGTAGATCCAGACGAAAGTGAAGAGGCCGAAGTAGGGGCCCACGAGGGGATGGTCGATGTAGTTCAGTGTCTTGGATGTCTGTTGGTTGTTAGTAGTGGTCTTGAGAACGTATGAGGAGGACTTACAGCAAGGAAGAAATCACTAATGTCGTGGGTGGTATACACAGCCAGCCCGATATAGGTGAAGTGAAAGCGGTAGCTGAGCCCAATAAGCAACAAGCTAACAATATGGTGTCCCACCAGCTCCTTAAAGTCCTTGCGCGGCTTCTCCATTCCCAGCAGCAGCACGATAGCCTGCTGCGCCCAGTACGCCGCCTGGAAGAGATAGTAGAACTTGAAGTCTGCCGCGAGAGTGCGGTGGGGGAACCCCTCGTACATGCCGGGGATGTTAAAGTACCACACTGGCGTGCGACTCATAACATACATGCCAGCCGGTCCCGAACACGCAAAGTAGATGGCCGTGTACACCTGCTCCATGAAGCGGGATTGCTTGGCGCGCGAGCGTAGCCCGCAGTATACCGCGAGGGGGCGCAGCAGCATCTGCATGATAAACTCGCGCGTGAAGGAGAGAACCACAATGTAGAAAGACAGGAACGCGTAGTCCCAGTATCCCTTGCCGTATTTGTGCTCGGTACCGGGGGGGCTGCCAGCGGGGATGGGACGCTTGTAGGAGAGCCAGATGAAGCGGTTGATGATGTTGGACTCGGTGGGGTTGACGGCGTAGAGGGCAGCGAAGACGCCGAGGATGGCGAGAGGTGTCACCCAGGTGTATTTCAGGGCGACGGTCTTGCACCTTCTCAATAGTGACTTGGCCTTCCTCCGCTTAGAGTACGGGCGCGCCTTGCGGTCGCGTTCACTCTTTGCCTATAACGACGTCAGTATGTCTTCACGACGATATACCCCGCCACAATCAGCACAGAATCTCACCCTCGACAACGCCGCACTCTGCGTCTTCAGTTCCATCGTCGCAATGGCCGGCACACCCGTATCACCCGCCCTGATCTCTCCTCCCAACCCACTGCTCTTCCTCCTCCTCTGGACCTTCTTCTGGACGCTCGCGCCCGTCGTCTCCTCTGGCAAAAGCCTATTCACCTGCTCATCCAGCGCTGGGAAAGGCTCCGTCTTCTCCATCGTCGTGTAGCTCTGTGTTCCTCCGGGGCTTTACAGTCTGTCCTCGGGACGACCGAGGTGTTCCCAAGGGAAAAAAAGGGGGGGTTGTGTAATCGCGCGGCGAAAAGTCGCACGGGCGGCGCTTCGACGGGTAGCGCGTGTCGAAAGCTCAGACGCAGGGGCGTGTAAGCATATAGGGCGTGAACCTGCGCAAATGAGGGGTTATAGGTGTAATTGCAGGTGATGTTGTACAAGGAGTGAAGGTGTTCAGCCGTTGATTTCACAAGCAACGCCGAAAAGTTGCCGGGTCGCGGGGAAACTGTTACTCCGGTGGTGGGGTCACCGTCATCACTACGTCGGACATTGATTTTGGAATTTTAAGGGTTTAGAACCGAACGGGGATATCATGCCACTATGGAATGGTGTGCAAAAGTAAATAGGGGACCTGAACTAGAACACCAGAAGCCGGTAGTCAAGATTCTAGAAAGTCAAAGGGTTTAAGGTCAATGATCTAGCGTACATATATATCCCCGCGCGCTACGGCACCGAAAAAAAGTCCACGCATGAATCAACCAGAAACCTTCCCCAACTCGAGAATGGGTAAAACGAAGTACACAAAGTAAGATATAGAAGGTATATGCTCCGTGAAAACCCTAAGATCCAAAATAGAAGTCGCTAAATCCGACATCCAAATCCTTTCCCCGCAGTTTTTCTTTTGACAACCGGAAGCCTGTAGAAGAAACGCCTTCGTACGAGCCCAGTTTACTGCTCCAAATCCATACTTCCCAAGCACTTTGTCCCATTCGCCGTTCCCCGGCCAGGCACATCTCCATCCCAACTCCCACAACGACTCTGCAATGCTGCTCAAAAACAATTTCTTCACCAAACACGTCACACCCACCCCCTTATTTATTTATCCTTAGATAATCCCCCCTGGTGGCTCATATGCCTGCTGGACCCTCTGCCCATTGCCCCTCAGCGGCAACCTGCCGTCCAAACCCCCACTCCCTGGTGGCTCGGACCCTGGCCCCTCAGGATGTGTCTTTCTCAGCATGAACATGGGCTTCTTCCCCTCCTTATCCAGCTGCTTAAACAGAATCAAGGGCTTCTCGTCCCTCTCGAGACAGCGTTCTTGGTCACCGAACACAATATATAGCGCGTACTGCTCAGCCGGAGCGTTGATGTTGTACTTCTTTAGCGCAGCGGGGAGCACCTTCCAGCACGGATCCTCCATGCTCACCCGGAAGGACTTGAAGATCTCAACTGACGATGATTGTGCGTCTAGTGCGGGGGTTGGGGCGCGCCGAGGTTGTCCTCCAGGCTTCATGCTGTCGCGCGGATAAGATTGGTAGGAGTTAAGGGTGTCGGTCTCGTTGCCGGTGAATGTGCTACGGCCAGAGGGGGTGTTGATCTCGTTGCGGTAAGAGCGGGAGGCGAGGGTCGAGCCGGAGAGAGTCTTGAGTTGGTGAGGTGGCGAGGTGGGGGAGGGAATGTTGGGAGATAGTCCTGGAGAGGTCTGTGGTTGTCCGCCGTTCATCGCTGCGAGGTGTGATGAGGATAGGACGGCTCGCTCAGCTGCTGCAGATGGGTCGAGAGCCTGCTCCATCATTGTGCGCTCCTGGGATTGATGGGTAGGCGATGCGTTCTTTGGAGTGGAGCCGAGGAAAAATTGCTTCGTCGAGAATTTCCGCTGGAGTCCGCCTCCTGACTGGCCTGATGATGGACCGGGTGCTGGAGGAGATATAGTCGCAGATGTGTCATATGCGGCGTATTGCTGGTTGTAGTTCTGGTTACTTGGTGCGTTGGGGTGGTATGGGAGCGGCTGTCCCTCCTTCGCCATTCGGAACACGGGTAGCAGGTCTTCTCGTAGTCGACGGTATTCTTCTGTGATCTTTCGCATCTCAGCCTCTGCGATGCTCATCCGCTCGTCCCGCAGCCGCAACTGCTCCACCAGTTGTCTGATATCCTTCAGCGTCGCTGTGGCATACTGTGCTTCTGCATCGGCAGCTTCTAAAAGTTAGCACAACACTCTGTAATAACATCCCCGGCCAACATCAGATGGAATTTAGACTTACATAACGGCACATAGTGATCGCTCTCGATCCTCACATCCTGCTTGATCTTGATTTCGTATACGCTCTTCAGAATCGTCAACCGATGTCCCACACTCCCAATCCCCATCTCCTTCAAATCCTCATGCAGCAGTGCCACCAGACTCTGTCCCGTAATGTCGTTCTCTGCAGCACACCGTTAGCCCTTATTTCTCCCCCTCATCTCCGCCCCCACCCTCTCTCCCCTCAGGAAAAACTCACCCAAAAAGATTCCAGTATAGACACTCAACCCCAACCCGCCCACAAAGTCCGCACACTCCTCCGCCGTCCAGTCGACGATTCCCCCTCCCCTCTCCCCTCCGCTCATCCTTCCATATGTAGTCGGTGTGTGCTCGCTGCCGCTCCCCGACTCATCGTCCTCGCTGCCGCTATCCACACTGTCGTCGTCGGTAACCTGCACAGGGCTACTCGCATGCACACTGCGCTCATACTCGTCGTCGGCGTCGGACTCGGGGTACGCGGTGCCAGACTCAAAGGCCATTTTCGTGGTGGGTGGGTGGGTGGTGGTCCCCTCCGTCTGTGCTGATCTGTTCTCGTTGCGGGTTTGACTCCGCTGTACGCCCTGTACTCTGCTCCTCTCGATCTGCTCGTCTCGGGTCGCTCAGTCGCGGTGAATTTGTACGTTGCTCTGCCTTCCTTTTCCTTTCGATTTCCGATCCTGTAGTCGTGAGGTCGAGACGCTTCAAGAACAGACTGGTAGAGCGGCTCCAGCTGCAGCGTCTGGGTTTGGCTAGCACGGGTCGGCGCTAAACCGGCTAGGGGTGCGAACAAGGGTTGGTGGACGAGGAAGGGGGCTAGCGGGCGGCTTGTTCCGCCAGGTACGGGGTGGGCGACGCCAAGAACTGCTGCTTTGGGATTGGAGGGGGTACGGGGAGAACGGGGGATGGGGACGACGGTTGGCTTTTGTTGTGGAGGCTGACAGTGGCTGTGCATGGGGGATGGGGGGATGAGGGGGGTACGAGGAATCTGAGGAGTACGACTGAGACTTGTTACGTTGCAGGCGGCTGTGTTAGGGGAGAAAACCCCCTTTCCTCAACATCCTTTTTTCTTTTCTTCATCCCTTGTTGAAGAGATTTTGTTTACTCTTTAATCTATCTATTTAATGATATTTTAGCAAGGAAGCCGTTGGAAATCTCCCTTGCCCACTTTTTAAATACTCTCGCATCACGGATAATCACCGCCCGTCCGGTCATGGGCATCACGGACGTTGCGATTTCCTTAAAATAAAGCTAGAAGTGGGGAACTGTAATTGTGCATGGAATTGTGATATAGGGAGTATCGCCGACATATATGAGCCCTATCCAGCTGTGAAGGTTAGACCTACCGGATCCATCTAGTTTTTCCTTTTATTTTTCTGTCATATTGGAATCGGGACATTGACTGTTGCCTTCAATATTCTCATTCATGCTATCTCCATCTAACAGCAGCTACACGTCCGTGCTGGCCGTAGGTAGCCGATTATAACAATGTCGGCACTTTCGATGCCGCTCCATGTATCACCCGCCAGCACCCTCGCCGAGATCCATACCCCTTTTCAAGCTGCAGGTGGGAAAAGACAATAAATTAAGAAGTCACTCTTCATTGCGAGGTTGTTACAATTTGATCCTTCCTGTTCCTACATCATATTTTCTTACATTACTAATACTATTCTGCATCACCCCCTCTTAAAATACCAGTACATTCCTAAATCTCGGCTTGCCCGCCTTCAAGCTATCAACAGCTTCCTGTACCTTATCAAAAGGATACTTCTCAATCATGCACTTAACCCCATGAACCGACGCAAACTTGATCGCCTCCTCACTATCTAAAGCATGCCCGCTCGCCCACCCCGTAACACTCGCCGCCTTCGTAAGCAGCGTCACCGTATCTAACTCAACCAGCCCAGCCGGAGCCAAACTAAGCAGCGTTCCCAACGGCGCCAAACCACTGATCAGATTCGAAACTGCCTTCGGGTTCGGCGCAGTCTGCACAATGATAGAAGCACCACCAAGCTTCATCAGCTCCGCCCCAACATCCTTCGTCTTCGTATTGATAAAATGATCCGCCCCTAGCTTCTTCGCAAACTCCTCCTTATCATCGCTCGTAGACAGCGCAACGACCTCATAACCCATCTTCTTCGCATACTGCACCGCCAAGTGCCCCAACCCACCCAGACCCTGAACAGCAACAATCGCGCCCTGCTCAACATGCAACTTGCGAATGCCATTGAACACCGTCACACCCGCACACAACAACGGCGCCACCTCCGCCGGATCAAGCTCCTTCGGAACCCTCACTACCGCCTCCGCGCGCAGGAGCACGTACTCCGCAAACCCCCCAGGGCGACTGAGACCATTAGCCTCCTGGTTATCGCAGAGCTGGAACTGCGAGCGCTGACACTGGCGACATGTGCCATCGTGTCCGCCGTGCCAGGGGCCGCCGACGCGGTCGCCGTTCTTGAGGTGTGTGACGTTGGAGCCGACGGAGACGATGTCACCGATGACTTCGTGGCCGGGGGTGCATGGGAAGCAGTCCCCGAAGTGGCCGCTGGCCATGCCGACGTCGGTGAAGCAGACGCCGCAGGCGAGGGATTTGATGAGGACTTCGTTGGCGGAGGGTTGTTTGAGGTCGACGGTTTTGAGGGTGTAGGGACCGTCGGCTTTGTCGACGACGACGGCCTTGTAGGACTTGGGGAGGGAAGAAGACATTGTTGGTATCGAGGTACAAGCTACTTGGTAGGTTGCTTTGAGATAATGAGGATATGTGAGAATGTATGAATGTGTGTTAAGGAAAAAAATATAAACATATATCGAGAGGAAACCTATACCTTAAGTAGGTCCAACCTCATATCCCCAACGGCATGTGAACTTGATTTTGTAATCCAATAATTACACATCACGCTGCTGCTAATTGGCCGATAAGTAGAAGGTGGGTGATATCCCCAAATGCGAACCGCTTTTCTATGATATCACCGTCAAACAGTGACGACATGGTGTTTATGGAGTTAGTTGCCTCTATCGGATTTACCGTTCGTCGTGGCATCGCACTTATCATTCAGCCGCTAGCGGCCGCTTCAGTCGCATATGCGGATCCCAAGCCTGGACAGTATTTGTAGCATACACCCACTTGCTTACATACTCTAGTATGTATAGCTATAAGAAAGCTTCATTTCATCTTTTTTATAAGGATAGATCAGCGTTTGACCTCGGTTGGTGATTTAAGTCCGCTAATGCCGACCCTACTACGGAGGGTCGGTAGCGATTATGCGGGGTCGAGCGGCCGCTGGTGAATAATATGGAGCCAGCCACATATTGAAACAGCTCCACGATTGCAAAGCAACAGAAGGTTCTCCAAACAATATTCTCCCAAAAATGACTTCAACTGCCGATAAAGTCCGCGGAGCCTGCAACTGCGGCGCAATCAACGTAGCCATCGAATCCTCCTCCTTCCCCAAAATCGGAGGACTCTGCCACTGTCTCAATTGCCAAGCCTCATGCGGTTCACTGTGAGTATCATAATCATCCCACACAATCCCATCTCACAACCACCGACCAGCTTCTCCTACAACCTCCCCACCCCAATCGCCGCAATCTCCATCACAGGAACCCCCAAGATCTTCACCGAGACAACGAATAAGGGAACCACTGCACATAGACACTTTTGCGGGGACTGCGGATCGTATGATAACCCCCCAGGAAGGACTGGGCCTGGCTAATGTGAAGCACAAACAGACCTATCATGACGACCGTTGTCGAGAAACCAGAAACTGCGTATGTGAAGGGGGGTTTATTCCGTAAGTCTGGGGTTGAGCTGCCGAAGCCGGCGGCGCAGATTTATATGCTGAGGGCCGGGGAGTGGGAGGTGCCGCTTGAGGGGGTGCATTCCGCCGATCTTGATCTCGAGTAAAGAGACAAGTGAATGAAGGTTTGTCATTTAGGAAGTCAATATATCGTTTCTTTGATCATAGTTGTGCGTGGACTTGTGGACGCAACTGCCAAGGAACCTGTGCTGCGACGTGGCATGGTGGCTGAGACTGTCTTGCTTATACTGATCTTCAATTGCTGTCTACCTTCCTTTACTGCCCGTGTAGGGGACAGGTCACATCCCCCTCGGCGTCTGCCTAACACCCCTCAGAAGATAATGCAATCAATCAATCAATCAACACATTCATTCTTCAATTCCTCAACTCATTCCTCAATCACCCAACCCCTCACAGACACAAACCACCCTCCCTAAACCCAGACATACCGTAGTACCCATACCCGTAAACCCTCAAGGTCTACATGCCTACAAAGAAGCAAACCCCCTAAATACAACCAACCCTCTTCACCAATCCACCCTCACTAACCCTTTCCTCCCCTCCCGAAACAGAAAACAATATGCCTCCTTAAACCATAGAAACCATGCCATAAACGCCATTCCTGCATCCCCACCACATCGCGCGCGTCGCAACCAAATCGAAATATACACATTCATCGCGCGCGCGTGCGTTGCTCAAAAAAAATATTGAAGAAAAAGAAAAACATAGACCCTTCAAGCGCGCTCGTGAGCGTGGGACTTGGAAGGGGGGTGTTCATGACTATCGTACTCATCCCGTCTGTCGGTCTGGCTGTTGCGTTGTTGGGCGTTCAGTGTGCCGACCCCTTGCTCCGTGGAGACAACGGAGGAGAAATGAGGGGATGCGAACCCCCTACCGCGTTGTTACGGTCCTCTTCCGTGCCAGCCAGTCGCCGAGCATATTATCCAGCCGCTGTATCTCATTAGTCTCACATCACTTCAAAAATAGAACCATCAAAACTCACCAATCCCAAATCCCTAACCCTCGCCTCCTCCGCCCTAAACAGCCCCCCAACAAGCGGGTGCTCCGGCCCCGCCGGCTCCACCCCCGTCTTATCATACACCACGACCAGCAAATCCCTCACATCCGCGCCATCATCAAAGAACGACCTCAGCTGCGAATCACTCCACGTGCTCGCACTCGTCCTCGTGCTCGCCGGCGCCGCAGTATCAGAACTCTTCATCATTGCATCGCTCGTCCCCAGCTCCGGCGAGGGTGAGGACTCGGGACTACTCGCGTCCCCTGCCACGAGCGCAGGCGGGTGTGCGCGCGACAACGGCTCGACTTCCGCGGTAGGAGCGGTAAGTGTGTCGTCTGAGCGCGTCGAGGCGTAGCTGTCGGGGAATGCGCCGGGAACAGGACGCACGGGCTTGGTGGTGACTTCGACGGGACTATCCGAGTCGTCGAGTTCGAGGCGCGCTTTCGCCTTCTTGAGGCGCTCGGGCTTGGGTTCAGAGTCGCTGCGCGAGCGGAGGATCTTGGTGATTGCGCCAACGGCCGTGGTTTTCGGTGTGTCATTGGCGCCCTTGGGCGCGTCGCTCGTGATGGTCGTGGTGGTTGTGGCGGTGGGCGCGAGGACGGTGGCGCCCTCGGGTTGGACGAGGCGCATTGTCTCTTTGCCGGCTGCGCTGGCGGAGCGCTCAAGTGTTGCTTGGGGCTCGGTCTGCGAGATGTCTTCGTTTTCGTGCTTGCCGAGCTTCGAGGGCGCTTCGGCGCGCATCTTCTGCAGTTTGCTTGGGTTACGCTGTGGGGAGCCGTTGCGACCGCGTGCCGATGCCGTGTCATCAATAGTCGCAGCTGTAACCTCTTCCGAGTCTCTGCTTGGCGCGGGTGAGGTGGTGCGCTCGCTCGAGGCTTTGCCGGGGCCGATGATGAGGTCGTCGGGGTCTTCGTCTGCGGACTTCGATTTCTTGTCCTTGCGCTTGAAGAGACCACTGAGCATGCCTGGCTTCTTGTCCTTGTCCTTTTTATCCTTCTTATCCTTCTTGTCCTTGGCCTTGTCCGATGTCGAATCTTTCTCCAGCTTGTCCAGGCTGCGGCGCTCGCGGATCTCTTTGGACTCGTTCGACGTCCTCGCCGTCGATGCGCTCGAGTCGTCTCGGAGAAGGTTAGGGGTAATGGTGATCTTGCGCGTCTCTACCGTATCGTCCTTGAAGAACGAATCGGTGTTCCGGACCGTGCCGTTGCGCGACTTCGACGTGCCCTCGGGCCGTCCCTCGAATATCTCGTCGCTCGTCCGCGTGACCTCTCCACTCGGATCTGCATCATCGTCGGAGTCGTCGCCGTCGTCTGTAGTTCCAGCCTTAACCTCGCGTGTTGCCGCCTTCTCGGAGTCTGGCTCCGTAGACGTGGCATCCTCTTCCTTCGCCGCTGCGTTCTCCTCTTCCGTCTTCTCGTCGTGGTAAGCGAAGTAGGCGTTCTCGCCATCCTCTTCGTCGCTGGAGTATTCGACGTCAGACGCCTCAACATATGTGTGAGTCTGGTTGAAAGTGACGTTCTTTGCGTTACGTCTGCGGATAGCCTTCTTCAATGGATTCTTGGGCTTATCGGCTTGATCACCTAGCATGGTTGCAGAGAGCTGCAGTTGTCAGTACGAGGTCATGTGAGAGGTAGATTGTCATACATCAATGTTTCTGTGCTTATTTAATCGTGCCAGTCGTTCTGTCGGGGTTTCGATATGTTCTGCTGGTAAGTAGCCTAGAGAAGTGTGAGAAATTGTAATTCCAATAGATGCCAATTAACTCACCAATGCTGCTGTCCTTGACGACCCTGACCAGCCACCAGTAGCTGTTGCTGTCATCCAGAAGCACCATCGTATCGCCCTTTGTCGCATTTGCTTGTCCCTCGACCGTCGCCACGAAAGTGTGTAAGGCGTAAACGAATTCGAAATCGATGTCCTCTGTATCTTGTAAGCATTCTGCGCCCCACCCAGAATCAATGAACCTCGGATCTTCAGGATAGGGGAACTCATCGTCTCCCTCATCCGAACTTTCGCAGGGGAAACACAAGTTATCGTCGTAGGAATCTTCGCTGCCCTCGGAACTGTCCGAGGCAGACTCGGGATGCACTGCAAACACGTCGTCGGAATTGTAGGGATCGTAGTCATCATCGTAGGCTTCAATTTCGCCCGGGTCAGAGGCCTCATAGCTGCTCTCTTCTTCCCAGACACGAGCGATCGCTGTCAAACTGTTGACTGACACTTGTAGATGGCTGTCGCCAAGGCGATGCGCAAATGATGGCTCGATGAATAACGGAACGGAAGGTAGAAACGCAGGGTGGTCCTGGTATGGCGAAGAAGAAACCATGCTGGTCTCGTCGGCCAGGGAAGAGTAGCTCATGGAGGTGGTTGTAGAATTGTTATATCCGAGGGGCCAGGAGCTGAGAGGAGAAGAATACCCACCATCGTCAATGGAAGGGGAGCTCGAGATCTTGTCCATCATATCGTCCTCGTCCATGCTGTCGTCGCCCTCCGCATCCGCCATATCTGCATCCTCTGCATTGGATCCGCCATTCTGCGACCCATGTGCGCCGTGCTGGTTGTGGTATCCCCCATTCGCAACGGGCTCGATCGCGTCCGAATCGTCGTACTCCGAGTCGTCGGCATTGGCCCAATTGGACGAGGTATCAGGGTGCTGTCGTCTCTCGTTCTCCTCGACCACGCTCCGAATGGCACCTGCCTGGTGCGGCGCGGGCGGTCCAGCTCCAATCGCGGATGGATGTGTGGGTTGTCGGGTGTGGTCTTTCGCAGAGGGCGCGTCCTGATCCTGGAGGTCAATTGTGTCTGTAGAGGTCTCGTTAGCCATTGAGGGTATAATCCGTGATCGCGCCAATACGAACCCGCACGAATGATTTGTGGTCGCGTCATTGTTGGACGTGGGAGGGTCGTGAGTCGCTCGGAAAGTCGTCAGGAGTCTTTGAGGGTTCGGTCGAAGGAATCTTGGTGCGGGACCCCGTCGCGACGTTTGGCGCCGATGTCATGTGCATAGAAGGGTTCGCAGACAGACGAAGAAGTGATCGGATTGCGCAGCGTCGTAAGGTCCAGCGATAATTTTCCTCAGGAGGGTTCGCCTTTGTCGTTTTGGGGCGATGGGCGGTGGTTGGGAAAGAGGGTCGCGATAGAGTCGGGTAATTCGAAAGCCGGGGGGGTCTCTTGACAGCGGGAGCGATAGCCAGATGGACTTTTTTAAATTTTTGTTACAGCGGCACGCACAGCGGACCGCGGAGATCACGATGAAACTTGTTTGGACTGTGAAGCAGCGAATATCGCCAGCGTTTGTCGCTATGTTTTGGTGAAATCAAGAGAGCGTGGTGTTGTTGAAATGGTCGATGCTGTTGGAAGATTGTTGGAGGTGGAGGGTGAAATGTGGAGGGCGGGAGTTGAATGAAACGAGAGATTGACAGGGACAAAAATGTCCCAGGCGGGAATGGCTGACTCCTGAGATTCAACAAGTACACTACAGGTGTGTTTTGCATACAAATGGTACTTCTATGCAATGCAAGACAACACAACGCGACAGCACAACACACGATATCTGTGTATATTATTAGATATTATTGGGGTATTGGGGATGTTATGATATTATTTAGTAAATGGAATTTTGTTGTATTTTATTTCAATTTATTACGTGCATTTATTGCAGAGTACAGCATATTGTAATTTTAGACCACTGTGGTGTAGGAATACTGTACCCTACCGCGACTGCGTAATACGCGTATGCTGTGTGTGGGTTAGAAGTACTATACGAGTACCTTTTCTCTAACTTTTCAAGCGACAGAGACATACAACACTGCTCTGTGCTAGTAGTCAACATCACCACTATGGTGCAATACAGCAAATATATAACAAATATATAACAATATAACCCTAAATGTAAAGAACTAGCATCAATTATCAGTTATGAGCTTTAACTGAATGATCACGAATTCTTATTTAAAACCAGACTTTAGTTACCATTAACAGCGACGACCAGAACTTATAAAAAGTCACCCCCCTTCCCTCGTATAGTATTCCACTTCGCGCCCGCGTACTATTACATTACACCCCTTTTCTCTTTTCTACTTATAATAGTAGTACATACAAACAGAGTACAGTTTTAAATATCTACTTACTAACTTCCTGCTGTACTGTCACTCCTAAACATGCATACTACGCTGCTAGACAGACTCTAATCATCCTTTAATCCTCCTCTAACAACCTCCCAAGTGCTTTCCAAGTGTCTTGTGCTGGTGGCAGCTCCTTGGCTACCTCGACTCTTGGCCACCTTCCACCCAAAAAAGCTTGGTTTAGGGACCGAGAATGGGTAAGCTTTCTCCCCCATCTAATCCCACCATCTAGAACACTTCTCCGCCGAAACCCTATATCTACGATAAATCGTCTAATTGCCTATTTATTGTCTATTTATTATATAGAATCACTAGTTGACATGATCTGAAATCCCAAATCCTTCCAAAAGACCGAGTCATCAACGGCCATTCGCTGGGTCGTGCTCGGCCGGCCAAAAGTCCACACTAGGGTAAACTTTACTGGTGGTAAGATTGCCCCGCGGGTCGGATACCACCAAGTCAGGGCCAGAAGTGGCTAATGCTAATGCTTGAGTGTTGAAGGAAGGACATCTCTTCCTCATCCCGCCTCCACCAATACACACTACCCATCGAACATCAAAGCCTCGACGACCGCGATACCCTCACTCGACACACTCTCCAACGAATACGACGACGCCGACTGTCCCATCCACTGCGGTCAACCCGCCACGTCCTCCCGACTCAATAGCGACAATCCGCGACCTCACATATTGAAACCCTCCCACAACACGCGAAAGACCCTGATTTATGCCCGCCATCAACCTCCACCACCCCAAGCACCGCGGGAGATAGGCTGCGTCAAACAAACGCTGCTGCCAGCAATCATCCGCGCCATGAGATGGCCGACCGCGACCACATAACTGCGGCTCAGACATAATCTTCGTCAACGGTTGCGCCACGACTGTTGCGCCGCGACTTCCTACCCCCACCGCCTCACCATGGAGGTTCGCGCCTTCTGGGACCAGGCCCACCAGCCCACACCTACCTCGTCCTCGTCCACGACGGTGTCGGTGTCGAGTTGCACACCGTTTGTCCTACCATCGAATGGCATCATCGAGTTCAACAGCACTGTAGACGTGCTGACCCAGGTCACCCTCGGTGCCGACGCGCACTTCTACCCCAACTGCACCGGCGCCATAGCCCCAGACGTTACTGTGATCAATGGAAATGTACCGGAGGCAGATACTGCAGAGCGAGACCCGTTTTATGCCTCGTCGCTGTCCGTAATATACGCCCTGGCCTCTACGACAGTGACGGCATATATGCTTGTCATCCTTCTGTGTATCACACCGCGCTCGTTCGTATCGGGCGGGACAGTCGTCCTCGGCAGCCGGGGAGGCTTCACCGGCAGCACTTCTGTGCGAGAAACAGGCGTTGGCATTGGAGGTCGCCCTCTGCTACAAAAAGTGGCAGCCATAAGCGTGGCCATCTCGCTCAGCATCGCTACCGCGAATACCTTCAATATCGCCGAGCAACAATATAATGCCGGATATATGGACGCTGTGATGCTGCAGACAGAGGTGCTTGGCAGCCGCGAACTCAAGGTCATCATGGTCATCTCGGACACCTTCCTCTGGCTGGCACAGGCGCAGACGCTCATCCGTCTTTTCCCCAGGCAAAGGGAGAAGGTCATTATCAAGTGGACAGCCCTAGCTCTCATCACCCTCTCCGTCATCTTCAGCATCCTCGACGACTTCGTCTACGCAGGCTACACCCGCCCCGCCGCCTTCGTCGACGCCATCCCGGCACTCAGCTACCTCTTCCAGATCGCCCTCAGCCTCCTCTACTCCGCCTGGGTCATCTACTACGCGCTCACCAAAAAACAATACGCCTTCTACCACCCCCGCATGCGCAACATGTGCCTCGTAGCACTCATCTCCCTCGTCTCCATCCTCGTCCCCGTCGTCTTCTTCGTCGTCGACATCTCCATGCCTGACGTCGCCAGCTGGGGAGACTACGTCCGCTGGGTCGGCGCCGCAGCCGCCAGCGCGGTAGTCTGGGAATGGGTCGAGCGCATCGAAGCCCTCGAGCGCAACGAGAAGAAAGACGGCGTCCTCGGCCGTGAAGTCTTCGACGGCGACGAAATGCTCGAAGTCACCCCCTCCACCGTCCTCACCACCGACCACCGCGGCGGCGGCGGAGGCGGAGGAGCCGGGGGTGGAGGTAGAGGCGGTGACCGCGACGGCTCTGGCGCAGCAACCAAAGCCTCCGGTGCAGGAGACCGCTGGCCAGGCCTAGGCGCCACAGCCCGTCACCGCATTCCCCACCCCCCTCGTCGACGCGCAACATCCAACCCCATCCCCCCACAAACACCATCCACAACAACAAACCCACAAAACCACCCCACCTGGCCCGCCCGCCCCCAGCCCGCCGCCACACCCGGCCCGCGCACCGACACCGCAAGCGCTGAGAGTACCGTCTACGCCATTCGATACCATCCCATCGGCGATGCGCGCTCCGTGCGCGGTGCCAGCTTCGATGTTGAAGCACAGCATGAAGCGGTCCCTGTGGTCACCGGGAACGAAGATTCCACCTCCGTCTCGACCTCAAAATCCGAAGGTGCTACCAGCGCACCACGGCCACAGCAGCAACAGCCGCCACAAGGAACATGGCGCATCTGGTCCGCGATCGAAGCACTAAACCCCTTCGCGCGCTCCCGCCAGCGTCCACCACCGGAAGTCTCAGCAATGACAGTCCGTCGTCTCCCCCCGCCCTCGCGCCGCCGTCCTGAACCCACAGAAGAGGGAGGAGGGAAGTGGGACTGGGACGTCCTCGGCAAGCTTGAGGATTTCGCGAGTAAGCGCGCCGAGAGGGTTCGGGAGATTAGAGGCGGTGGTGGGGGACCGGAGAAGTTACCGGTTATGCGAATCCCAGCGCCGGCTACGAGGAGGGTTGTCCCGGAGTCGGTGGCCGTGCCGGATGGTGAATCGGAGGCGGTAGCGTCGACGTGGCCGTTGCCTTCGCCGGCGCCGTTACCGCCTGATCCGAATCCGACATCGCCGGTCATAGATCCAGATGTGCAGCCCCCCTCACCAGCTCCGTCGCCTGTGCAGCGCGTGAGAGAGGCGCATGAGCAGGCGATGGCGAGGAATGTTACTATGGGTGGGGGATCTGTTACGAGCGGGGAGAGATCGGCGACGACGACGGTTGATAGATCGTCTACTACGCGGTCGGGGAGTAGTGGAACGGGGGGTTTGCCAGTTTTGAGAATCCCGGCACCGCCTTTGAGGGGGAGTGGGGGGGTGAGTTGAGTAGAGAGCGTCTGCGCGGAGTTTTTTGGTTTGACTTGAGCATGGTTGAATTGGGCGGCGGAGTGTATAACCTATTACTAACTACTATTACTGTGACGAACTTTCCTTTTTGTTCTGTTCTGCTTTTTTGGAAGGCATAGCGCGGCGTTTGGGAAAGGGAAAATCTTGGGGGTGAGGGGATGGGAGATGGGGCGCTCTGGTGGTGATGGGAGAGCGTTGGCGTTTTTGGGGAACCGGGGTGGGTGTGGGGGCATATATATACCACAAGTTACGGACAGATATTATGGAGGGATATATCTATGCTATTATCTATCTTGGCTTTTGTGATTTTGGGGATTCACGTGCTGTTTATCTGAGTTGATCTCTGGCACTGTTTTTGGGTAGATGAGTGATGGTGGTAATGTAGAATGAGAACAGGTTTTGAAATGCAGTTTCTCAGAGTTGAACGCTAATACTGGAGTTTTGTTAGATGGGTGATGATGCAAATGTAGAATGAGATTGGTTCCTGAGAAATGAATCACTCATGATAGTAGCTGTAATGCCAAAAGCTAATAGTTAGCCACGGAGCCGAATAGATGCTAGATTGGTGCCTTTACTCTAACTTGTACGCTAAAATGGCGGGGGAGTATCGTACGGCGGCAGTGACTCCACGAAGGCAATAAAGCCAGCTAATTATTATAAGATGATCCCATATTCACAGATCCCATCTTGCACAACTACGGTTTCAATCACGCACCTCATCCTCAACTAATATGGCATCTCACAGTGCCACAGCGGCTTCAGAGCACATCACCCTCCCCTTCGACCTCCGAACTCACCCTAGAGCGTTATACAAACCAGAGAACACAAAGTTGCTAGAAAACTTATTCCCGGGGACCTATGAGCTATCGACGGATGGCATGTTCATTTACTTCCTCCAGACAGAGATGCCACCGAAGCCGTGGCCAAAATCAGTTGCCGGACTCACCCCTTACTTCGCGCTGAGGATGAGTCGGCAATATACGCCTTGTCTCATTGGATTTCAAGTACCGATGAGAAATAGAGCGATTGCTGAGAGTGTGGTGGAAGGGAGGGATATGGCGGACTGGGAACTGCTGTTTATTATCATCCGGAACTACTTTCGACAGGTAGAGATATCGATTACGGAGGTTATGTACTGGAGCAATTCTGTGGTTGTTATACTTCAGCACAGGGATATTAATATAAGGAAGCTTCCCTGGAAAGTGTCGAATATAGGGGTATTCTACCGCTATGAAGATGAGATGGACAGGCCATCCACGCCTCAATCTCGCTGTGAAACCGACACAAGGCTAGAGAACCAGGTCCTGCTCCAGAGACTAACTCCTGCTAAGGGTCGACGAACTGGCGAATTCCTTTTCTTGGTCGCATCTGATACAGATCTCATAGAGGGAAGCTTCAAGGTCACCTCGTTCCAGCGAGTTGAGGAACAGTGGGTATTCACGATTTGGTTGTACATGGGACAGGATTCGTCAGATACCGTGTCTCCGGTATATGGGACTGCTATTTGGACATCTGATGGGGATGTTCTGGGCTTCGTTCGATACGCCCCAACAGTGGGGTTGATGAAAGATTGGTGCGCGGGGATCGCGGCTGATGAATTTATTGATAGAGAAGGGTTGCTTCACAATTATTGATACAGCTAACTGATAAAAAACTAAATATAACACGGGCATAGCAGAAACAACAACTCCGCACACAGAAGACCGTTTCATTCCCACTTTTTATAATCCGAAAAGTACTCCTCATGCACCCTCTCCGCATACCCCATCAAATTCGGCAGCCCCTGAATTATCGCCTTCGTCTCGGGGTTCCTATATATGTATCATGTTAGAAATCTAAAACTAGTTTACTCATTCCACAGGGCAAAGACTCACGCAGAAGCAGTCAAAGACGAGACTAAAAACCCAAACAAACACGCATCTACATCCGTCGGCCCCTCACCCCCTAATACCCACCCCTCCCCCACCATCCCATCAAGCACCGTCCACGTCTCCAGCCTCAGTGCCGCGATCTCAGCAGGCGAGTAGCGTCCTGTGCCTTGCCCGTGGAGGGTGCGTATTGTTTTGCTATACACGATTTGGCCGATGATCAGGCGGGGGAGGTAGGGGATTGTGGAGAGGGGGCCGATGTCGCGCATGGTGTAGAAATTGGTGATCCAGCGTTCGTGGGCCTGGTGGCGGTTAGTGGGTGTGGGGGCGAGGGGGGAGGGGGGGTGGAAGGCTCACATTTAGGAAGTAGAGTTTATCTTCTAGTAGGGCGCGGATGGCTAGGTCAGTCGCTGCTTGTGCGGGGGATAGGCCTGCATTCAGGTCTGTGATGGTTCCGGATTTGATCAATGATTTTGTGATCAGTGCGGAGTCGCTGAGGAGAGAGGACTGCCCATCGCTCTCTTCTATCCGCACATATGGCAGTTTCCCCTTCGGCGACGCTGAGGGCGTCCCTGCCTGTGTGGTGTATGGTAGGTGAGAAAAGCGAAGGCGCGCTTCGAGCTTGACGACGAAGGGGGACCAGGTGTATGCACCTGGATCGTCGCGGTCGCGGAAGATGGTCAGGGTTGGGGATTTGGAGGGCATGGTTTTGTTTGGGGGGGCTGAAAAGAGGTTTGGGATGGAGGGTGTGGGGTAATGGTTGTTAGAGATGTTCACCTACATTGGATATGACATCGTGGGATATGTTCACTTTATAGACGGAGCTGAGTCGTCAAATACGGAATTCGGCCTGTAGGTATAAACCCGGTTGGCCGATCTGGAATCCTTTGCGCTTGATTTAGAAGGCGGTGAAGGCGACTTGTAAGTCACGGAAACTGGCAAGCTGATTGGCTAAATTGACGTTCATGGATGCGGTAATAAATATTGCTTGCCAGAGGAATAGTACAGTAAACAAATTAGAGATGTCCTATAGTCTAAGATTTTAATTTGTAGGGATTTCTCTTGCAAAGGGTTCATTTTCATTTAATCACATAAAAATTTAGAAACATATTACCAACTATTTGTTTGGGATTCTTATATTAAGGTTGTTTGACCCCCTTTATGACCAGCCAGAACAATCAATTCACGTGACTGTTCATTAAGATTTTAGAACACTGAGCGAAGCCGAACAGGGAGGTGGGGGAGGCCTTGGCGCGTCGGCCGGGAGTCATACTCGCAGTGCGGGGTGGCCAAGTTATCCCAGTGGCCGCTCGGCTGGACCGGATCGCCGAGGTGAAGGATATATATATATATTTCTTGTTTCGTTCGCCTTGAATTATTTATTCTCTAATTTTTCCTCCGTTTAAACCTTGCGCTAAGTGATTTCTTTTGACCAGTTCAGAAATTCTGCAAAGCCTATAACTTTTTGCCTCGGCCCCTGACTTACCCCACCACATCCATAATGGCAACATCAGACCTTCCCCCACAGACCCTGAAGATTGGGGAATACACGTTTACCATCTCCGAAGGAAAAGATGAGGATATCCCTGGCTTCGTCGACGCTTTCGATGCCGCTTTCGCGGATAATTTGCTTTTTAGTACTATGAGTGGGACTGCTGACCGCGCAGTGTTGAGGGAGAAAGATATTGCATTCTGGAAGGGACAGTGGACGATGAGCGGGCGGAAGCACTTCAAGGTTGTTGATGAGGCGAATGGGTAGGGTTATTTTTGTCTCTCACTCCCCAGTTTTATTCGTTTCCGTGATTTCTTCCCTTATCTGGATTCCAATTGCGGGTTTCGACTTTATTTTTGGTGCCCTTGAGACGCGATGTGATAGGTCTAACGTGTGACCAGCAAAATTGCAGCTATTACCCGCTGGTGGTTCCCACACACCCTGACGTCTGAGGAGGTAGCCAAAGCTGAGGAGGCCAAGAACGGCCCCCAGCCGGAGCCTGTGCCAGGGACGAATGCCGGGGCGACGAAGGAGTTCGTGAAGCAGTTAGTTGACTACCGGGATAAGTGGGTGAAGAATGATGATATGTACAGTACGTTTCCCCCCTCAATTGTTGATTTCCGGCCGACCCGTGTTTGCTGTAATAGGGGTATCAGCTAACCGTCTGTGTAGTGATGAACATTCTCGCCGTCGTCCCCGCGTACCAGCGGCTGGGTTTGGGGAAGGCGCTGCTGGTGCCCGTGCTAAAGATGGCCGATAAGGAGGGCAAGAAGACGTACATTGAAGCGTCTGCAGCAGGCGAGAAGCTGTATCGCAGGCTTGGCTGGGTGGAGACTGGAGATACGATTAGCCTTGATTTTACAAAGTATGGTGCGAAGGGGGGGGTTGATGTCAATCTTATGATGAGGGAACCAGGGGCAGGGATTGCGCTATGAGTTGTGACGAGTGGGAGCGATGAGAATAGGGGAAATATGAAGACTGCGTGAATATAGCGAGGAGACAAGTTGGATGGTTATTTACTGCATATATTTATTGTGATAGACAGTCTTATAAAATGAGATTATTAGCAGCCCCCTATATTCACCACGTTTGTCAGAGTTTCATAGCCACCAGCCCACTAATTAAGTTCCTCATGGTAGATTGATAGAATTTACGAAAAAGAAAAAATGAGGTCCTATCTCACACATAGACTATTATGAAATCGTTAAAATGCCGTTAAATGGTGTCGTTAAGATGAAACTGGGTGCGAAGCTTGATCTCTTAGTCGGCATATTGATGTCTTAGGTGGGATGCTCGAAACAGAGGATTTAGTTAGAACGTTTCTTCGTTACCGCTGGGCCGGTTGGCTCTCCCCGCTCTCGCTTCCCGTCGACATCCTTAGCAATGTCGAATTGTCTCCATATGCTACTACTCGGTGGTAATAAGTCTTCACCTATACCGTGATATTAGCGACGAGCTATGGTAAGTACTAGCTCAGAAAAGTGTTTCGTACCTGGGTTTCCGTCTTGTTAGTCATAAACGTTGCTATCTCGCTCCAATCTGTTCCAAAGTGCCGCAATAAAGCAGGGAAAATGCTCTGCTCCTGCAGACTCCAATAGCTACTCGTGGGATTCGGATCGGTGTTACGAAAGTCCTTGGAGGGGGGTGTAATCGAAGTTTTAATACGAACACGGCGAAATAAAGCCATTTCTTCATCGCCGTCGTCGATAGTTCTCGTCCTCTTCAGCCCAGTTGGCCCTATTTGCTCCCGCTCGACTTCGCCGGAAGAGAGGGTGTGATCCGTCGTCGAAAAGCTAGATAAAGGTTTAGGCGATATATTAGAGACAAAAGAGTGTCTATAAATCATTTTGCACTTGTGACATTCAATGTCCTTGTCCGTTGCAGAATCGCCTTTTAGGGGTTCGCGGCATTTTGGACAATACCAAGTCGAGCGGTAGGTAGAATCGAAAACCAGGCTCATTGCCACATACTGTCCAGGATAGAAGCACGTTTCCCAAGCCGAGCCAAGATTCACATCTCTATTTGATGCTACATCTGCAATGGCGAATTCGCCCCTTCCGATTTTTGCTGCGCCTGTTCCGATGTTCTTAAAATTGTCTTGGAGAACATAGGTAAAAGACTAGACATATTATCTTAGACAAACACTAGCAGACTGAAATATGGTATAAACGAACCTCTACTGATGTGATGAATTCTAGGAAAAATGGCATTTCCCTTCCTAAAGCGTCAATTAAATACACTGGCTGCTGACGCTCAATCTGCCCGGGTATTCTAGTAACAATGCTCTGGATATTAAGGACGACCTGGAAGATCCGCACGTTGGTTCTCCTATTACTAAGTTAGAACATAAAGAATATAAATCATCTGTTATAAAAACGCACAGGGTTTCTGATGTCATCTCTAGTAACTCTCTCCCCTGCCGTAAGCCACTAAAGATAGATTAGCTGGTGTTGCAAAGAAGCACAAGGAGCCCACCTACCTCGAAACATGCTCTAGAACGAGAGATAATCTCTGCATGCACCCAGAATGCAAGTCCTGTACCTTGCCTATTAACGTGCGATGGTTACCTTCATTCCTCGTGCTACTGATTCTCGTCGCACCCCTAAAATATTAGAACCTTGGCTAGCATAAACATACAAGCAACTCACATTTGCACTGCCATTAATAGCATTTCGATACTCTCGGTATGAGCCATCAAATCAGTCTTGAATCTTACTAAGTCCTCCTTCTGGCATAACGCCCATTTGACCTTCCTCCATGCATCCTTGATTGTCCTACCACTTCCTCCTGCCCTTAAACTCGGCTGATACTTCGTTATCTTCTCCAAAAATCCATCTATTGTCCTCTGGCACTGTGACGCTGCCTGCCGCAATGCGATAACCTCTGAGTGCTGCATATCATCTAGTTCGAGTCGTTTTACACGGAGGAGAGCAGTCTCAAGCGTATAAAGCTGTGATATAAGAGTCTGGTACTCGGTCGAGGAGTTCCCGCTTTCGCGCAAAGCACCAACTACTGTGGATACAAGCTCGACGGCTGCGATAAAATCGCCTGTAGAGAAGCCGAATCCGACAGACATGGCAGTTGGCGGCAGGTCAGGATACTGAAGTAGTTTTGCGATTGTAAAGGTCTGTTGTCGGTGAGGCTGTGCGAAGTTCCCTACACGAGGCTGGCTGATGGCCTTTGTCAGGCATTAAAGATCATTTTCACGCCTCACCACCCCCAGCCACAGTTTGCATGCAGCTTCACTTTGTTTAATTGGACAAGTGCCAGTTATGTAAGTTTCCAAGCGATTGACCATCTAACATCTCCATTTATGGTAAAAATGTACGTTTACATCTTTGAACCATGTGCGCTGTCGTATTATTGACTAGTACAACTGCTAAGCTATTATATTAAATATTATACGAAATATTATTTGGCACGAGGAAGTAGAATCAATAATTGAGCAAAATGCTTATATCTAATAATGTTATTGATATGGGTCGGATCCTAACGTATTTTTGCCGTGGATCCCTCAACTACTATTTGTATACCGTCTACCCATCGCATCTGAGCGAATGCCATAAATTCTCATAAACATACTGTAGTAATGACTAACACATCCGTTTTTATTCCACCTTGTTCTCCTTGCCATCTCCCTTGGGCTTGACATGTTTCCGCACAGTCGCCACCATCTTGCTGAACCAGAAGATGCTCAGAGACATGACTACCGTGTGGGTGCACATGAAGGCGACAGCGACCCACCATGGAGCGCGGTGCTCAAGCGCCAGAGGTGACTCCGAGAGGGAGTAGTCGTATAGCGTGAATGACGGTCTATCTGCTTGAACCGCAGTAAACACGTCGCCGAAGAAGGTGAAGGTCATGTAGGAACCCCAGAGCAGGCGACAGGAGGCAAAGGTGACCATGAGCACGATGCCGTTGACCATCTGGATCTTAGACCCAGCCAGACCCATCTTGCCGAGGAACCAATGGATGTTTACAAATGGCGTTGATAGCTCTACCAGGCCGTACTGGATGCCATAGTATGGACCGAAAGGCCGCTGTGGGGACAATAATGTATTAGCATGTGATAACACGAGGAAGCCAAGGAAAGGAAAGAGCGAAGACCACGCACGAATCCCAAAATGGAGATGCAGAACCCGACAACAGCGTGAAGCAGGTCCAAAGCACCTAGTGTGCTGGCGTTGGAAGCGCAAGTACCCAGGTCCCACATAAAGTAACCGGCGGTGAGAGCATGCACGAGCCCGCCGGCACCCGTGTATCCCCATATCCGGTCCTCCCAGGTGGCATTGGCACGTTCCTGGTCAGCCAGGATCACGTATGTCAAGGCGATGGAGAGAAAAGTCGAATTTACAAAGGATGTGACGTGCATGTCCCATTGAAGCTGTGTCCGCCGGGGTAGGCCACGGTATGTGGCTGGAAACAGACGCGCAGACAGGAACGGTGCTAACACGGAGTTGACGGTCGTGTAGAATACGAAACCGAAGAGCACCTCGTGCGCGTGGAGCGGGAGAGTGTTGAGGTGTAGTAGTTCGCACATAGGCTCGAGGGCTGTGCGAAGCCATAGCGGCGGAGCGAAAGGGTCTAACATCGCGTTCTGTATAGTGTTTCTGTTGTTGTAAGAATAAAGATGTGAAGGCTGGGAGATTAGGTTTCCCGTCCAGCCACGATCGTCGATTTAGGGATTTGCGACAGGGGTAGTTGACTGGTAAAAGCCTAACTGAACTTCATTTACGCGCTAAATTTTGTTGAAAACCCCTGGATCAGGGGCCGCAATCTGTTATCATTGATTGTTTGAATATGGGGTTTCACAAAAGAACAAAGCACGTGATCCAGGCTATACTATGACCGAGACCCCTACAAAGAGGTTGTGATCACCTCCCAAGGAATACTCGTCATATATCTCTAAAGGCCTATACTTTCTTCTCCGCCCAGAGTTGGAGATTACATGTAGTGTCAGATTCCTAGTCTCATTAGCGACGCTGTTGATCGGAAGTTTCGATAGCTAATACTGAGCCATGATAGTCGGTGAATGAATTATCACGACACCGAATTCGTTGTTGCATCCAATGGACCAAGCCGTTGTTTTCCCTTTAAGGTCGAGGCTGTCAGACGGAGAGTTATTATGCCTGTCTGCCGCCAAGAATGTGGATCAAAGATCCCGACGCAACCCCGCTTCTACTGTCACGGAAGAATGACAGTTGTACAAAAAATTGAAACGACTCTGTTGAGCTATAAATCACCTTTATTCTTGTCCAGGCCATAAAGGTGTACTACCGCCGTTGTCGCCGATTATCGTGACTGCGTTGGCTCTTCATAATTTCTCAGGTGCTACATCAGACTCCGCTCTAACGACGCCGACTCCGCTGGCTGGAACCTACTCCGCATTTTGTATACAGGCAATTTCCTTACAACATGGTGTCTCTTCAAGCTGGTCACGATACTAGACCTCCGGCCGATGCATGTAAGATCCACTTTCCCGCATATATTTCATGATATAGAATGGTCAACGTGCATTGCAAAATATGGATGGGTATCTCTCCCAATTCCGAGAATATCATACCATTATTTATCATTGGCACCGGGGGCGGGCTGAACTAAGTATATTAAGAGAGTATCTTCGATTTTGTTTTACTCGCAATCGAATACTGATATGTCAATCAATTTCAGACGAGCATATGATAACTACGTTGTTGCCCATGGACCCAGACCTTGAGATCGAACAACAGACTAGTCAGACCTGGCAGATACAGGACTGGAAGAAACTGGAAAAGAGAGTATATTGGCCAACCTTCGAATGTGGTGGATCAACATGGTGCGTCATAAATATTACATCCTGATTTGAGCTATGATCATTTATCTAACTATGCACAGGCGAGTACTAATGTATCCGTCGGGAAACAATGTGGAATTCGTGTCGATGTATCTTGAAGCTGGGCCCAAAATAGACAAAGAAGAAGACGATTGGTATGCCTGTGCCGAGTTTGCAATAGTCCTGTGGAACCCGAGCCAGCCATCGAAATATGTTTCAAATGGTAAGCCTCTTCCCATGGCTCGCTATGACAAGTTTCATTTGCCTGACGCATATCCAGTTGCCAAGCACCGTTTCCACACGGCGGAAAAAGATTGGGGGTTTACAAGATTCTCACAACTGAAGAGTCTATTTGGGGAGCCCGGGGGAGACCCCGAGTCGTTCCTCCTGCAGAACGGAGAAGCCAACATTACGGCCTATGTCCGCGTCTACAAGGACCCTACTGGGGTATTGTGGGAAAATTTCTTGAAGTACGTGCACTGTAATGTTACCAGAATCGTTCTGACTTAATATCTAGCTATGACTCAAAGAAGGCGACTGGAATGGTTGGCTTAAGAAACCAGGGCTCAACCGGCTATCTCAATGTGGTTTTGCAAGCGCTATACTTCATAACTGCCATCCGCAAGGTATACTTTATCACATAATATGATCTTTCTTGGGAACTAAACAATATAACTAGGTTGTGTATGAGATACCAACACGGGAGGGTGCAACGACCGACGTGGCGTGGGCACTTCAGCGTCTGTTCTACTCTTTACAGACAAGTGAGACGTTTGCTACGACGAAAGAACTCACCAATTCATTTGGCTGGAGCCCAATGATGGTCTTTCAACAGCAAGATGTTGTAGAGATGCTTCAAATACTAATATCTCAGCTCATGACAAGGGCAGAAGGGACCCGATCAGAAGACTTGCTGCTAGATCTATTCATAGGCAGGCAACGGTTTTTAACATCTAGCGCCAACGATGACCGTGTGACTTCCCGATCTGAAGATCTTTATATTCTATCATTGAACATCCATGGCCAGCGGACTCTCCAAGAAAGCTTAGCAGAATATGTGAAAGTTGACACATTTAATGCAGGAGCGCAAGATGGACCCCAAGAGATGAAACGCGGCATGATTGTCGACAAGTTCCCACCCATTCTTCATCTCCAGTTAAAGCGATTCCAGTACGATATCAGCGAAGATGCCATGGTAAAACTTGACGACTTCTTCGAGTTTCCAGACGAGATAGACCTCAGTCCGTACCTTGCTGCCAATGCCGACCGATCGGAACCATGGACATATGTTATCTATGGTGTTGTTGCACACAGTGGTGGAATAGCCGGAGGGCAGTACAGTGCGTTCTTGCGACCGGCCAAAGATGGCCAGTTTTACAAGTTTGATGATGAGAGGGTTACAAAAGCGACATTGAAAGAGGCAATCCACAATAACTTCGGAACAGAAGATGGACAGCCATCTAAGAAGCCTACCGCATACTTGCTGATATATATTCGGAAGTCGAGGTTAGGTGACCTGCTTGGAAATTTCACAAAGGATGACGTGCCACAACGTATCAGTATGGAGCATCTGAAGCTTTGAGATCGGAAGATGCTAACTGAGACGAAGTGCAAGAACTGACCATAGAAAGCGCGGAAAAGGCCCGTAAAGCAGAAGAAGAAGAAAAACGGCAGCTCTACGTGGAAATCAGCCTCATTTCAGATGAGACATTTCAACACCACCGCGGCCTCGACTTGTCGACCACCATCTCAAGCCCAACTGACCTTGCTTCTCCCAAGGCGTATAGTATTCTTGGTGCCGCGACGCTTGCCGAGTTTATCTTGAAGATTGCCGCAGAGAAAGGATTGAAGTCTAAGAAGATCCGATTCTGGTTGATGGCGAACCGTCAAAATAAGACGATTAGGCCGCAGTACCCTCTCGAAAACCACACTGAGACTTTTGACCAGATCATAAAGAAACAGAATATCAACGATCGTAAAATTCGCTTGTATGCCGAGGAAATGGAACCGGAGAAATCCATTTGGCCTCTGAGAGAGGGTTTGAATGGCGAAATTTTACTATTCCTGAAGCACTATAATCCACTGCAGGAACAGGTACTAGAAGAGCCGATGAGAGGGGTCTGCCATATCTACGTCCGCAAGAATGACAAAGCTAGCGAACTGTCTGCGCGCATTAATAGGATAATGAATTGGCCGGCCGCGGTGCAAATGATACTATTCGAGGTATTTGTTTGAATCCAAATGCAACGTCGAAATGCTAATATGCGTTTAATAGGAAATAAAACCAGGGATGACCACGATGATGGATCCCTCTGAAACCTTCCAAGGCTTGGAACTTCAGGACGGGGATATCGTTCGGTTCCAGAGGACTACTGAGTCATTGATACTGTCTTCATCACTGGCCGACAATGTGGCTGAGATCCGTATTTAAGTACAGGCCGCTGCATTTTACCGTTCGATTATTATATTTCATATAACACGGGTTTAAATGTTATGTAACCTCTATATACTACTCACTGATTGAAGATACACCGAAGCCGCTCTCAATGCTACGCACCCTCTAATTGACAAAAAGTCCCCTAAAATCTAAGCGCAGCACTTCCGCAAGAAGAAGAACGTGAAGAAGTATGGCCTTGATCTGATTTACGCTTGAGATCTGCTGCTAACCTGTCTGTTTCCTTCAATTGTTTCCCCATACCCCGTGGAAACCAAAACCAGCAACAAGTGGCATCCTATGTAAAGGATTAGTAGGTAATACGTAATACGGGGTGCTGGAATGGACACTTACTCGGCGCGTGCAATCTCCTTCATGTTCTTTGCGTCAATTACAACTAGAACACTTTGTTTGCGATTGGCATCAAGTGCCATAGTTAGGAGAACACCGTCATCCTCGCATGTACCTTTTGGGTTGGCAACAAAGACTGGCTCGGAGGGCAGATGGGGTGTGCGGGGCTTCCAGATAGTTGTCCGTCTTGTGTGTGTATCAACTTTTACGAGGGAATCGGTGAAGAATCCTCGCTCCTTGATGTGGATCCCATAACTAAAGAAGTCAAGGTTAGCAATGGCCCTAAAAGAAAATTAAATAATTTCACTTACGCATAACGGTAGGGCTTTCCATGGTACGCTTGGTTGAGGCGAGGTAGCTCGATGTTCCCAGACTTGAAGTCCAATTCAAAGTCGGTAACAGCTGGGCGGGTGATCAACGTGCCATTTGCTAGAGTTCCATGTGCGTAATCTTGAAGCCTGAAGCGGCGGAAGGTACCTGCAAGGTCATGAGGCGCAGTGGCGTTGTGATGACCAACATATGTACGAAGATTCTTGATCCGAGCGGCTTCAAGGAACGCGTTGGTCTTCATGACAGGAAGGTCAATGACGATAGACCCATCACTATCCTCAAACGAGTTGATCTATATTCAGTGAGCCATTATCTTTGCCATTGCAGTGATGAATGCGATTTACCTCGTGGAATGCAAAAAATGTTTCCGAAGTGTATTTTGCTACAACTCCACCTTTGACTTTGTCGATAACGTCTAGAATAATATTAGCTGGAAATTAGAATAGGATTTCTGTTTTGGACTCACAAAACAGTGTTTTCCGTTCTGGGTCCCAATCTTTTATGTTGTCCAAGACGTTGTAGTAAGGCTTTGATGTAACTTTTCCAAAGTCGGATTGCCAGACAATGAGAATGACATAGTTTGCGGTGCTGAACATGGAGTGGATATATGCCGCCGGAGCATCGGTGATAGTTGCCAAGATGTTACCCTTCCCCGAGGAATTGATTTCAAATACGTTATACTCAGGAGGCGTCACCTCGGTATTCAACATGTAGTTGTAAAGCTCGCCAGACTTGCCACTAAAAGGGTTAAAGTTAACAAGGGCTGTTTATTAGGTGGCGCCAAGATACGAGTTAGTACATACTGAGCAGGATGCGCACAGGTCTTATCGCCTGTGATGTTGGTGCTTGTTGCTTGGTAAGTAAACAGTTCAATAGGCTCGAGAGAGACAGGATCTAGTTGCTGGAGAGTACTACCCAGGGGTTAACATCGAAATACTCAAAAAAAGGCCAAGTGCGATGCTTACTTTCCATCTGTGGTCTTAACCAGTGTCACAAATGGCCCGTGTTCAGTCCCTGATACGTTTCTATCCAACCCTGGGAAATTGGTAATGAAAGATACGGTGACACTGTCAGTGCTGGCATCGCCGACAGGGTTAACCCCATCGCGGTAAGTAGCTATAGCCAGAAGTTAGGCTCGATACTTTACGAGTATAAAAGCAGCACGTACTCTGAAAGGCACCAAAGATAACTTTGCATGGATCGCCCCCGAAAGATCCACCGGGAAAGAGTCCCGTTTCCCTGACAACTAAGCAAGTTAGGTCTGAAGCTCTTGGAATTTTGGAACAGACTTACAGTCTTGGAGTTCGTCAGATGCATTGCGGCTATGATAACTGACTTTGCCATCTGAAACCTCAAAACGATGGTTTCGACTGAACCCATCAAACCAATGTTCTGCCGTGTAGTTTCCATTATCCCATGTGGCTGCTGCCCCACGATACAACGACCCGCTATGGTATGTAAGCTATAAAATCAATTTTAAAAATGGTGCAGAACGTACGAGACCCAGCGAGGAATCTAATAGATGTTAGTATCTTTAGTATGTTCTTACAGAAACAAAATGATTGAACCTTACCTTTCCTTTAACCTTCAGGTTGACCGACTGCCTTATTTCTGGCGTTCCAAAAAATCCAAGGGTGAAGGGGTTTGCTGGCGAGTGTTGATGTAGATCAACTGCAGTGCCACTTATTCCCAAGGCAATGGAGGACAATATCAGGAAGGTAGATGTAACCATGATGGCGGGTGCAACGATGATACTAGATATCCGTGGTTCAAGAAAGGGCAGTGGAAACCAATTGAGCAACTGATTGTGGCGACTAAAAAAATACTGGGAATTGCCTTCACATTTATATGTATCGGGGGACTTCCCCAATTTGAAGCCCACTCCGTATAATACTAGACGTTGGCTTGAATGATGCCTCTGGTCTCATATTGACCTGACCGCCTTTGTCATTAAGCTGTCGCATAATGATTCTCAAAACGTATGTGAACTGCGTTATTGTGATGGCGGAGTAGTAAGACCTATTGTTAATCAAGTAATTTACCAAGTCATAGTTTCCTTTTAGAAGCCAAGGCGTTTTATGGTTTGGTTGTTTATACGGCTGGGGTGGAAAGCGTTAGTGTGCTAGGCCCGATTAGGGAAGTTACCATTCTGTCAACGAAGATCGGCTGGTAAGCGCGCAGGATCCAACGAATTGAAAGATTCCAGCTAAGCCACGAAGGGTCAAGTTGCTCCGCTGGGGAAGGGATGATTCACAACACATCAACACAGCCTTCCGTCGCCAAGAAAATATTAAGAATCAACATCATCCCGACCATGCACTAGACGCGCGTAATGGCTCTCCTTGAGTACTAGACGGGTACTCTGAGCCAAAATAATGACCAGCCTCAATTCTGATCTAACGTCACAAATACCGGAGTTTCCTTTCGTCTGGGATTAGCGCACAGACAAGGTGTCTCGATGTTACGCAAGCTTACGAATGGCCAGGCTCCCATTTGAAGATATAACGGATGGTGAATCAAGTCTTAAAGTAGTAACATACCAACCTCCTGTCTGTCACTGGTAATATCCGAATATAAGCCGGGTACCATTCGGCACCACGATGTCCTCCAGCGCCAGAGCTGCTACCAAAGGAAAGGAGACGCGGATTCGGAAATCACTTGGGAAGTCCCAGCGGGCATGCTCAGCTTGCCTGAAAAAGCACACAAAGGTAGTTATAACCAGCCGCCGGAATCCACGGCGAAATCTATCATACTAGCGGTGCGTTCCACTCAAATTTCATGCTTATGCTAAGTACCAGCGTTTAGTGCGATGAATCCCGCCCCCAGTGTTTAAAATGCATCAAGTACTCGCGGGTATGTACTTACGGCGAAACGGATCCTTCGAAAGAATGGCAGCGGAATATTCTTACTTTTAATACGCGCGATCTTTCGGGTGAATCGAGCAAAAAGGCTTCCGAGAAATCAAAACATGGTACTCACTCAACCACTGACAGCGATTCTTCGGAAGCTACAACAGTCAGTAGACGACAAGAAACATCCTGTGTACCTCGTGGCGTCCCTGCGCTGGCTGGAGAAGGATACAGTGGACGGGATGTTCAAGCCTTGTCTCATTTTGCCGCTGTAACTGCCGGAGACCTTATTGGCGGCGAGCGGATTTGGACCCAAGAGGGCATACAGCTCGCATTCACAGTATGAAATTGTGTGTTCCAGTATAATATGACAGCTAACACTAATAATAGAATGATTTCCTCATGCACGCCATCCTTATGACAGGTACTTCACATCTTCAACGCCTCAACCCAGAAACCCATCAGGATTATAACGCCCTATCAACCAAGCACCTCCACCACTCCCTTCGCGCCTTTCGGATTGCACTCAGCAGCCCCACCTACGTGGCGAACAATTTCGAAGCCGTTGTAGCCACCACCATGCTCTTCATGATGCAGGCGTACAACAACCCAATTTTCGATCCAGAGAACCCCAGCGTCGATGCCTTGCTCCAACACTGCAGCGGACTCTTTGATATCATTCGGTTCCATCCTAACCAGGCACCCTTTACCATTTTTCAGCCAATTTGCTTGCCCAGACTCGTTCGTGCTGCAATGCCAGACTCTGGCCCGGCTCGTGGCCTGGTCGAAATGATTGAGAGTCATGCTCTGGACTATGGCATTCCAGATCCTAATGGAAAGTTTTACATGGGGGTTATTAAAAGCTTAGCGCCTGTTATAGACGCTGTGATATCGCGGCCACCATTTGGAGGGGCACCGCCAAACGCACTGCTGCTCTACTTTGTTCGTTGGCTCGCATTTCTACCCACCGAGTTTGTCATGCTAGTCAACTCTTACGATCCGAAGGCCCTGATTATCATGGCCCATTATTATGCGGTAGTGGCATTTGTCTTGTCGAATTGGAAGAACGGGTGGTGGTGGCTGCGAGATCGGCCGGAGTATATGATTAAGAATATAGCGGCGTTTGTGGATTCTCGTGGATGGGGAGTTTGGATGAAATGGCCATTACTGTTGCTACAATTTTGCCAAAAGAGCGATGGAAGCTTGGGGCAATGGTCCTCTTTGAGCAAGACCCATTCTGATGATACTGGTGCGGCTGAAACGGAGATGGGAATATTGGCTACGGTGGAGAGGCACGCGAGAAAGATCGCGGCTGAGGAGTGATCATATACGCCTTTCCGTTGCATCCCACACACATTTCATGATCACTTATCCGTATGGATTTGAATATATAAACACCGAAATAAAGAGATGGTAAAGGAGCTAATCTAGATGTTAGAGTAACAAGATCAGAGCTGGTGCTCAAATCCAGAGATACGAAAGGATCTAGAGAAAAGGTGTTGGCATATAAATAGGTCGCGTGGTCTAATGGTTATGACGTTTCGCTCACAAAGTATCATAAAATATGATATCCGAAAAGGTTCCGAGTTCGATCCTCGGCGTGACCTCGAAATAAATCTTTTGGCAACATGAATATCAGAAACAACTACAGTGCTTCCGATAGAGAGACTAACGTACAGAGACTCTATCGTGGTGGTGTCCAGAAACGTGAGAGCAGAGTAGGAATTAAATAACAAGATTTATATCAAATATATTTTTACATCTAATTTACCGTATAAACGTGTGTACCTTTTTGCTTTGAGCGAATTGAACTCCTGGTCTAACTGTAAACGAATCGAATAGGACGATCTGACGACGACGAGCATTTCAACAATCCCATATTAAGGTCAGCTATGTGTTCCTGATGTTACATGATAAAGGATCGCGGGTCGACCCGACTTACCCCACCATGTAAGACCTACTATCACAATGAACCAAACACCGATGGAACCATCCCGACCCCCCATTAAGGAAGGTAGAAATGGTATTCCTTTGGCATTGAGACATAGCGTGAGCCCCTACAGCTAGTTGTCCGTCCCGGCATTTGGGAATGTCTTCCGGGCCTCCGGGTTATAACGAGTCTATCGTCACCAATAATATGCTTTATCCTCAGCTTACGACCCTGACTATATAAGAATCAGCTCTGTCCGCACGCCTGCATCACACAATCATCAGGAGTGAAAACAGCAATATCCCCTATAAACAGCAACAATGGCACATCCCCCCTTCAACCCACCTCTCACCCTCACAACTCCATCCCATACCCTCATCCTCAGCGAAGGAACCCCCGCCGACATCCCCTCATTATGCACCATCTGCTATGACGCCTACGCTACCGACCCCATGCTCCACGCCACCTACGGCACCGCCTCTCCCGCCGCCATCATCGCCTCCAACGTCAAAAGATGGGAACTCGACTGGCCGCGCCCCAGCCGGCACGTTTACAAAGCCGTCGACGCAGCTACTGGGTACTATACCACATAAGCCCCAGTCCCCCATCTCCCGGTGAGAGAAAGTGGCTAAAATAGACCCAGCGAGATCGTCGCGGTCGCAAAATGGGTCTTCCCGCATACGCCAACCCCGCCGCCTGAAGCGTTGGCAAAGGTCGGGTTTCCAGAGGGCGTGAATATGGCGCTTCTAGGGGCGTTTTTTGGGAGGTCGCTTGAGAAGCGCGAGAGGTGGATGGAGTGGGAGGATATGTACCGTGCGTCTTTATTCACCATCGAAGGAAGTTTAGGGGAGATTTTACGGAGAGGGCGAAGGAGATAGTGCTGACGCTCTAAGTAGAAATGAACGTCCTCGCCGTTCTACCAGCATATCAGCGCCTGGGGATCGGACAGGCGATGCTGGCGTCTGTGCTGAAGCTGGTGGATGAGGAGGGGCGGAGAGTGTTTGTCGAGGCGACTCCCGAGGGGGGGAGCTTATACCGGAAGTTCGGGTGGGTGGAGTGCGATGAGCGTCTGAGGTTTGATTTGGCAGAGTTTAAGGCGGGGCAGGGCGTGCTGGAGACGACGCTGTTTTTGATGCGGGAGCCAGGTGCGGGGGGGCCGGGGATGTGATGTGAAGATCGGGGATGGCCTGGATGACGCCATATAGAGGCGCATATATAGTGGGCAGCTATTTGATAAAACTTCTAATTTAAGCTCTGGGCACGTACGGTGGAATAAGAAACCATGGTAGGATCTAAAATCATGTACATTTTTATCGCTGCTGCCAAAAAAAGTCAGCGTAGTCTATGTTGTTGTATCTAGTCAATATCCATCCCATCCACCGTCGTCTACAACAGCGGGTTCGGCCTGTACTCTGGGGCCGCATCGGTCACGCCCTTCTTCGCGCCCTTCTCCTCGTCCTCTAACGGGAGGTGCTCTCCATCCTCGAGCTCACTGATGTACTTTTCCGCCTCCAGCGCTGCGATGCATCCACTTCCCGCGCTCGTAATGGCCTGTCTGTAGCGCTTATCCTGGACGTCACCAGCCGCGAACACGCCAACCTTGTTGGTATAACTCGTTCCTGGCTTGGTCACTAGGTAACCCTCCGCATCCGTCTCGAGCTGTCCCTTGATCAGCGCAGTCGCTGGGTCGTGGCCAACAGCGTAGAAAAGTCCGTTCGCCTCCATCTTCTCCTCCTTGCCAGTCACCACGTTCTTGACAATCATATGCGACATCAGTCCACGGTCATCACCAGTCACCTCACCACCAACGCTGTTAAAGCGCACAGTAACCTTCTTGTTTGACAACAGCCTCTTCGCCATTGTCTTGCTCGCGCGCAGGTAGTCCTTGCGAACCAGCACGGTAACATGGCTACCGTACTTGGTCAGGAAGAGCGCCTCCTCAGCAGCCGAATCTCCACCGCCAATCACGACCAGCGGCTTGTTGCGGAAGATAGGCACGGCACCATCGCACACTGCGCATGCCGAGATACCGTTCTGCCAGTACTTGTCCTCTCCAGGGAGATCGAGACGGCGCGCTGACGCACCGGTTGCGATGATCAGGGCGTCGGCGGTATGGGGCTCGGCGTCCTCTGCGTATTCGAGCCAGTATTTGAATGGGCGCGAAGAGAGGTCGACCTTGGCGACGGTTTCGGAGACGACTTCTGTGCCGAAGCGCTCGGATTGCTTGCGCATGTCCTCCTGCGATCGATAGGTTAGCTTATATCCTGGTACAACGAGGGGTAGGGGACCACGAACCATCAATGCCATGCCGCCAATACCGTTAGGGAAACCGGGAAAGTTCTCGACATCGGTAGTGGTGGTAAGCTGGCCTCCAGCAGCAATACCGTTCGCCATCATACCCTCATACAGCACGGGCTTGAGCTCCGCGCGCGCGAGGTAGATAGCCGCTGTGTGAGCGGCGGGGCCGGAGCCGATGATGACGACCTTGCTGTGCATCGTTCGCGAGCGAGCGAAGACGGGCGCGGGCGCGGCGGTGGAGTTCTGTTTCGTGAGGGAAGCTGCGGCGACGAGAGGGAGTCCCGAGCTACTTCTGAGGAGATTGGCGGAGCGGCGGAAGGCGGAGGAAAACAGTTTGGCTGATTTTTCGTGGGTGAGGAGGTTTTGAGGCGGGGTTCGGCGATGTGTCGAGATCGTGAGGTGGGTGGTGGTGGTGGTGGTGGTTGGGGGGGGGGAGGAAAGTTTTTGGTGGGGGTTAGAGGTCAATTAGTGAGGTCACTTGGTGATTTGACGAGAAGTAAAAGTAGAGCGCGTTGGCGGGTAACTTATAGAAAGTATGGGTAAGGCTGGTTTATAATAATTTATCTGGGCAACTCTATGTGGAAACAAACAGTCGCGAAACCGGCGGGTACTTTTCGAGCGTCTCGGCCTTTGACACGTGACACATTTTCCATTGTGCTGACATACCAGCTTTGATAAAATTGTCCATCGAATTCTCGAATGCGGTTTTGCAAATGCCGCGGCATCTGATAATTTGAAATACTGAGTCTAGCCTCCAAACTCGGGAATTGCGCAGCTTTATAGCGTGTATTATTTTAATTTTAATATCCGAGCACAGCTACTTGACAAATCCAGCTATTTACACGTCTCTCCGACAAATACTCTTTTCCTCATATACTCGTAACATGCCAGGAAGTGTTTTCATACCCCAGGGTACCCCTCAGTGCTTTCCCTTCTCGCCAGACCCATCGACCAGCATAAGCTGATGCACCGCTATTAGACCTCGGCTTCTGGTTATTATACAGTAGATTGTATTTCCAACTCCGACCCAAGAACGCCCAAAGAACCTTAAAACTCCGAATAATAACACTGAGCTTATCAGACCAGTATTATCGCCGCCAATATCGCTCCAGCCAGGCTCATCATCAGACCGCTTTGTCGGTGTACTGCTCCACCATCCGCAACAATGTTATCGAATGGGCTCCCTCCACCTGAGAATCTATTGGCGTCGATTTGTTGCTGCTCTCTTGATCGGCCAGGCTCGCCCTGCTTATTCGAATTTGTAGTCTGTGGCGCCTGTACCTCGGAGGTTGTTGACTCTGGTGTTGGCTCCGGTGTCGACTGTGGTGTGGACACTGTCGTTGACTCTGATGTTGATTCTGATGTTGGATCGGGATCGCCAATTCCAAGAACCGAGGACTTTGGTGCCTGAGACGTAGTAGTAGTCGGTTCCTCGACAGTTGTACTTTGCGGAGGTTCTTGCGACGTCGTTACTGGCGCAGGTGTATCCGTCGGCTTTGTAGCAACTTCAGTCGGTGCCGCTGACTGCGTTGGCACCTCGACTCCGTTACAGACGGATGCGATGAGCATGTTCTGGAAGATACGGCCAAGGAGCGTGCGACTGTCAACTATGACACCAGGACAGACGGTATTGAGGGTGCTGGATATGCTCTCGAGCGATGCAACGCATCCTACAGAACATGCGCCGCCGGCCTGAAAATCTCGTGCGCTGCAGCCCTCAATCGGGCGGTTGTATATCGTTCGACATTCACCAGTGATTCCAAACGGTAGTGCTTGAAAATTGCCTCCCAGAGATATGGAAGACGCGGCCTGCGCAGTTGTGGCGAGAAAAAGAAGAGAGAGGCCGGTGGGGGAGAGAGGAGAAATCATGTTGCGCCACGCGCTGATCAACAGCGCTGTGAGAAGTGAAGTGAGGCCAAGAGGAAAGATAGTCAAGAGCAATGAACTTGGTCCCGACGGCGAGCACAGGTCGCTTGCTGACAAGCTTGATTTTAGCGGGCGTTACCAGATGGGATGATGATGGTGGTGTTCGTCGCAGGGGTTGTCGGTTGTTGCAGTATCTTGAGACAGTTGATGTTTGAGGGTGCCTTCTGGCTCACAATTTGTGAGACAGTTGAAGTCAGGAATGAGCCCCTGCCGCCGTTGAACCGGTGCGTTCTTGCGATAAATCGCACCAGTAGTACTAATCCGTAAGATTCCCCGTGGTAAAATCAAGAATGCCGTCTGTCTCTGACGGAGATGTCTGAGTTAGTGTATGCGATTTGTTGACCGAGATATGACAAAGAGCCCTCGAACTCGACACGCAACGCGCGGTATTTGTCGCGACAGTTGGCTTTGCGCCGGAGAGAATAGCAGCCGGCCGAGGATAGAGAAAATAGGGAATCACGAATTACTTCGTAATATCCACAGTCTGATTTTGTGTGAATGTGTAACTATGTGCTGGTGCTGAGAAACGCAACGAGAGCGATGGGAAAGATATCCGTTTATGAGACGCGGGGAAGTAGGAAACATATAGGCCTACATATAGAGACCTTCTCCAGCTCTGAATAAGAAAGCGGATAGATTCATACTTATCGTTCCTTGGGGAAGAGGGGCCTCTCCCATTCAATCACTGCCAATCGTCACTGGAGACCCAATGCAGCCTGTGGTGCGAATGAAGCCGCCAGGAACAGTCAGTTCAGGAGTAATAACATGCAACGCGGAGACTCTCCGACCCCGTTCGAGCTAGGCTGGGCCGCCAAGGGTGACAAGATGTCCATAATATACCTATCAAATTCCTACGCCGAGACAAAGTGACGCCCATAGCGAGTTTCGTTGAGTAGTAACAATTCGATTCGTGCAGAATGTTGAAACTCGAAACACACAGATCTTGTTTCGAGAGGGTGACGGCCCTTTTTCGTCCTGTCCGCTCATTGGCTGACAAATGTTCCCAATCGCATTTGACAAGGCTGTCATGTAGGTAATATGGTCCGTGAGTCTCAGCTGTAATGTCAGCCTTGTGATTGGCTGGCCTTCTCAGCCTTCCCGCCGGGTGAGGCAACATCAACATCGCGGGAGCGACAGTACGTAGTTTGTCGTTCGTAGCTCTCAGTAATACTCAAGACAGCCTGGGCATCGGCGAATATGCGCATGGGAATTGCGCAAGGGCGACTTCACACGACTGCGCCTGAGACGATATACCCCGAGTTTTCAACCGCGCTCTGATCGCACCAGATATGCCTCCGTGAGAGGTTAGACATGTTGCGCAACAATGGTCCAGGGGAAGATCATCAAGAGGCTCCTTGGTCAGCCTACGAATGACCACATCTCCGACCCAACCATCACGTATGATGCGCGTACCACCAGAGAATTGCAGAGGCCCACCTTCTCCCAGGATGCCACCCATTCTACCGGGTCGCCGCTTACCTGCGTCGACATCTCCCCATCTGGCAACTATGCCGTAATAGCGGGAGACAAGGTCTTCAAGACCCTAAAGATCGAGGGCCCGAAAATCGAGGAGCAGACAGATCTGCGCGCTGCGATAACCATCCCTGGCGATGGACTGAGCGACCAGCTGAAGATTGGAGCCGTGCGCTGGGGCCACGGCGAGATTGACAGCTCGATAGTGACGGCATCGGCAAATGGAAGGGTCACAATATACGATCTCAATCGCATAGGCAGCGGCTTCGAAGTTGGCCGCATAAAAGAGCATCAGCGCCAAGTCCATCAGCTGTCTATAAATCCCTTCAGAGCGAATCTGCTGCTCTCTGCCAGCCAGGATGGAACGGTCAGGTTTTTCGATATAAAAGCTCCAACAGGGCGCAGCAACTTGACATTTATCAGCAGAGCCGTATTCAAATCTAATGCGGAGCCAGTACGAGATGTAAAGTGGAACCCAACCCGAGGATTTGAATTTGCATGCGCAACGGTGTCCGGGACAATACTCCATTGGGACACGCGCAACCAGAAGGCACCTCTTCTGAAGATCAATGCGCATGATGGCGCTTGCATGACACTTTCATGGCATTCCGATGGCGAACACATAGTTAGTGGTGGACTGGATCAGCAATGCTTTATATGGGACCTATCAAGGAATGCCGAGAAGAGGCAAAAACCCAAGCATTCATTTGCAACTCCAGCACCAGTGTCCATTGTGTCCTGGAGGCCGCCGTCATGGTCATCGACTGCGCAGGCTCAACGAGCTGCCCAAGTTGCAGTCGTCTACGACGATGTGAATTCTTTGAAGACCCAAAAGTCCACAGTACAAATATGGGACATTGCTCGCCCAGGACTACCGTTTAAGGAAATTTCAAGCTTTGAAACATCGCCCACAGCCTTGAAGTGGCAGCATACAGATATTCTCTGGACGGTGACCAGGGAAGGAGATTTCAGGCAGAGTGACATTGCATTCGCGCCAAAGGTTATTGACCGCCGAAGCTTGTCAACGTTCGATTTCTCTCCGTCAGGCGAAGTGTTGATGTTGTTAGAAGAGCGGCGAGGCCGTTCAAGGCATGTTAATTTAGGGACGAACGACAAGCCGGTGAGAGCAAGGCTGTCAATGACGAGCCAAAGCCCTTCAGGTAAGCTCAGCATCAGCCGTAGTGACTCAGAAGAAGACACGGCAGGGAGCTTCTTAGGCCCGAAATCAAAGCCAAGCAAGAAGCATAAGCGCCATACCAATACAAGGTCTGCCACACCGCTTAGTACTACCCCGCCGTCTGGAGGAGATATGGCGACTGTGATGAAGTTGGAAGAGTCTATCAAAGTTACAGGGCCGTACAAGCCATCGCAAACGATGGCTATTGGCCATGCGCCGTCTGCTGTGCATCGAGATGTATTCAAATTTCTCTCAAGCGCTTATTTGCAACGGATAGCCAAGGATCTCCAAGATGCCGAGACCGCTGGCCTAAAGCGCGCTCCTATTCATGAGCGCATGGCCTCCATCATGGAGTCTTTTGCCCGAGCCGCAGAGTTAGTTGGCCAATACCGTCTATCTCAGACCTGGAAAGTTCTCTCCTATTCTATAAGTTTACTCCTTATTAGAAGAGCAAACTATCATCGAGAACTTCGCCTGGCTGAGGCTGAAAAAAACAAGGCTAGCCAGGCGACAATTGAAGAGCAACAGACGAAGGATAGGCAAACCTGGGGGCGACACAGGATACGTGTAGATAAGACACCGACGAAACGGACACGGTCAAAGTCACCTGTGAACCGAAAGGAAGGTCACATTAGCTCTATAACAAGGAGTATAATGGCAGAGGAGGAGAGCACATCGACGATGACTACTCCACTCGCGAGGCCAATGAGAGATTCGTTGATTTTAGATACTACGACACAGAAGCCGCTCCCAACTTTCGACTCGGAAGTGTTTAGCCTTCCGGAGGCAGCTCACTCCCCAGCCGATCAAAGTAATTTCTCGAGTAGGAAGTCTTCCGACGCATCCGCATATGAAGCGGGCTACGACTTCTACGATTTGGATGCTATCGCGAACACGCCCCCCATAAGTATTATTGTCCCACCACGGAAAGCCCCACTACGTCTAGACGGTGGCTTTCCTCACGATGGCTCCACAGCACACCCTGGGGGAATGCTGCGTCATGATTCAAACGAGAGCTTCCAGATGTTTTCCACGTCTGGTGATTCGCAATTGAGGTCGTCGTTTGCCTCCGACTCAGTTGGCCGCCGGTTTAAACATAAGGAACCATCTGAGCAATATGCAAGTTGGGAGAGCAGCGACCCAGCGTCAGAGCGTCAGAATGCGGAGAGCTTTAATTCCCAGGGTAGCAGCATACCTGATGATAGCCTACGACCCAGAAGTGGGCACAGTAACCACCGGTCTCAAACTCCCACACCCTTCCCTATTGAACATCCGTCTTTGCCATCTACCGATGAAAGCAAGATCTCTGAAAACTCAGATACAGAGTCAGAACACGAAATTATGTCCATTCACTGGCAAGACCTCGATTCCGCCGCCGATTCCTTCGAAGCTGTCGATCTTTCATCTCCCGAGATCCTTGATATTGATTTCGTTCCCCAACGCAGCGACCCACCGTTCACCCCTGCTGCGATTGACCCTCACCTACTAATCCCGCGCACTATCACTTTTGAAACTCAGACCTCATCCCTCAACGCGGCCGTCATGGTGCTCCTCCTGCTTCCCCACCTCCTCCCGGGCACTATCGACGAGTTACAAGCTCCCGCCATCCTATGCCAGTATCAGAATCGCCTACAGAGCATGTTGCTCTTCACCGAGGCAGCGCTACTCCGCAAGCTATCATACCCCACTTACCCAACCGTCTACGGTCAGGGTCAGGCCAAATGGGGCATGGACATTGGGTACTTCTGCCAGACGTGCCGGCGAGCGCTACGCAAAGACGAGAATCTCCAAGTTGGCAAGCGGCTGCTGCGCTGCGAGCGATGCAGAACTTACCTAGATGGATGCACGGTTTGCCGGCAGCAAGAGGAGCCGGAAGTGGCAGAATTGGAATTCGGTGGCGATGAAACGCCGCCGGGAGGCAGGAAGGAGGTCAAGGCGCAACCGGCTGGGAAGTTGTGGTGGTGGTGTCAGGGCTGTGGACATGGTGGGCACAGTGTATGTCTGAGGGCGTGGCACTCGGGACCACCGACTCTGGAAGGCTCGGATGCCAGCGATGGGTGTTGTCCGATGGAGGGGTGCCTGCATCCCTGTCTACCAGGCCGCTGGCGTGATGAGTGGATGGTTGGTAAGGCTGTTGTGCGGGACACCGAGCTGAGTAAGCTTGTTAAGGAAGGGACGAGGGGGAAGAGGGCTAGTATCAGTGGTCTTGTGCGGCGCGATGATAAGGAGATAAGGATTAGTCGCGCGGTAGAGCAAGTGAGGGGAACGTTGGGGTCCGGAGGAGCTGTGGATAAGAAGAAGAGCGTTAAGGTTGTGGCTCCGGGCGAGGAGTAGGGGGGTTTATGGGTAGGTGTTGGTTGGCTTGGTAGGTGTATATCTGGGCTCCACCAAATGTGTTTGAACTGGTTAGATGTTATAATGTATTATTAATGGGTAATGGGTAATGTGTGGATGGGAAGGGATTAAACCTCCAGGAATAAAATCTTTATCATTACGCCCTACGCGATTGCTGTGAGCCTTGCTTGGGATCTACATCTACGTGATGGGTGCACGGTTACTCGAAATGAGGATGAGGAGATTGGCCCGAGCTTACTCTTCACAATCTGGGGTTGAGATTCGGTTAAATTGATCGCGAATTATAAAGTTTGGACAGACGACAAGTATTTTTATGCTGGAGTCAGAAGCCCCTGAGCACCAACTGAATATTCGGGGTACGTGAAGGATCGACCATGTCTCCTATGGTATCAGCTTCACGTATTTCCAAACTTTTTGGCTGGCTAGTAAACGCCGCCAAATCCCAGGGCGATGAACCACAGGCCTCGACCCCCTCAACTGATGACCAGTCTCAGAGACCTGGCGCAGTAAATCGTCCTTGGGTACGATAATTGGATTACAAAGCGACAGTTCAGCTAATAGATCCAGGTCCTGTCCCCGTTAGAGAAGCTACCTCTAGAGCTACAGGTTCTTATTTTGGTATCCGTTCCGGACAGTGACACGTTGCGAGGTCTCATTGATGCCTCCCTGGTCTATCATAGAGCTTATGTATCATCCAAGAAAAAAATCCTCTCGGCACTGATCGAGAAGCAGCAACTTCCTGGCACGGAAGTTGATGCGTTGGCAGCGTTATTATCACTTGATTACGCCGATGGTATGCAGGATCACCCGGATGAAGTGATTGCCTTCCTTGATAGGTACCGCCACGCCAGAGGGAGGGGCAAATGGTTGAATAAGAAGAACCCTCCGCTCCCTGTCCGGTGGCGACCACCACAAACAGATGCCGACGACCTGATTACCATGGTTCGGTTTCACAACTATACCGAGCTCCTCACAGATCGAGTCTTGGAGTACATGGAAAAGACAAATGAGAGGTATAAGTTTGCTAAGGTGGACGGGTTCATCACCATTTCTACACAGGAAAGAGTGCGCATCTATAGGGCTATCTATCGTCTCCAGATATACTACAATTTATTCGGCATGGCAGAGTCAACCTCACGTATGCAGACTGACAATCTGTTTGTGGATCCAGAAGGGGATAATCCTCCTCAAAAACAAATCTGGGACTTATTCTTCAGGACCTTCACGGGCTGGGAACGAACGGAGATATATACGATAGAACACGTCGTGATTTCCTGCACCGTGGAATTAATCGACAAGCTGGTTCCAGACCCGGATAAGGATGTCCGATATATATTACCACCTGGTAAGTACATACATTAAATGGGTATGCTGATAACTTACTGGCAATTAATCTAGATGATTTCTATTATCTTCTCTTTGAATCTATCGCCTGCGCTGGACCTCTATTTTTGGCAAAGGTCATTCGTCAAAAGACACTCGAGCAGCAATACTCGGTCGTTGCGGACAACTTTGACTGCCTCTTCAGTTCAAAGTCAAGCAAAATAGGATGTGGACCCATACATTCGAGCATTATGAACCTTTGCGCTGCGGAGGGTTTTCTACCGCACCACCTACTGTATCCAGTGGATAAAATTATTTTCGCCATAGCTACCATGGAAGGCGACGGAGATTTCGATCTATCACAGATGCCCTGGTATGAGATGCCCAGCGCAGGATATGAATATTATTTCCGGTACTCCCAGTTTTGGTTACCCGTAGACGGTCGACACAACAATACGCAAGAGGAGGGTGGACATCCTATAATGGCGTCTAGGCTGAGAAGGGTTTTACAAGGTGGACCTTGGTCATTTGTGTTTTGGGACCGCGAGAGGCTGGTTCAAGTTGGAGTCATGAATGCATTACCCAATAATAGTTCTATATAATTCTTGGAGCTGCTTTGGGTATTGGTTTTGGCATGTACCAAATAGACGCTTCGCGTTCTATTTTCCGAGTATTCCCTGGGCGTTGTATGGCTGGACGGCCACCTCGACTGGGACACCTAGTTTTGGTCAAGGAAAACAACATGTATATAGCTGTAGATCATGGCTTGACATGTACATAATATCTTCAGCTTATAAGTTGCAACCCAGCATAATGCTACATAGGGAATAACAATCGTCCGTCTTATTTAATTTTCACGTTTTGTGAATTACAAAGAGCTCCGTCAAGCTTAGTAAATGGTTACATTAGGTTGGTAAGCTCAGCTCCGGGAGTTACCAGCCCTACGGAGCTGAATTATAGAACTTAGAAATCTTGGATGTGTAGTTTAAAGCCACAGCTTACCCAGGTACCGGCTACGCTTGCTATATTGGGACATAATTTAGCATCTGACATTCCGGGGTTTTATACCTTATTTTGTCATATTTTGCACTGATGGGATCAACCACAACTGGGGGTTGACTAGGGCTAGATTTCCTAGATTTCCCAACACTACCGCACAGCAGGTAAACTAAAGTATTTTACCCCTCAGCCACCTCATCAGCCAGTCCTATTAAACGGTAAAAAGAAGCAAAAAAAGAAACTCCCTCGGGTGGGGTCGAACCACCAACCTCTCGATTGCAAGCAGAATTACTATTTAACAGTCGAACGCGCTAGCCATTGCGCCACGAGGGATTCTTAACCACTGAGCTAAAGACCCTGGATTGATGGGTGCTGAGATGCTATGATTTGTTTAACACAACGCATTGCTTCGCCGCATAGTATATTTGACGGGTCTCAAAGTCGCGAGGCAGCTGTTTCATTATACGAAAACCCAGAGTACCCACCGGCCTATGACAATGTAACCGCAACTTAAGGTCACTCGGGGGGGTTGTTTAACCCACCGTATTTCTAGTTCAACCAACCGGAATTTCCCGCAGTTCCACCTGCCCGTTGACTCTACGAAGGTGATGATAGCCCATATCTTGGCCGAAAGCTGAATATCAAAGAATAAGACGGGATGATTATTAAAACGGCCAAGAATCGCTGATAGTTCTTTTGCGATGCGTTTATACTGTTGGAAACCCTGATTGGATCTCTACCCCAAAGGCACTTTGATTTTGTGATAGTCGCAGAGTCATTTTTGCTGGCTGTTGCACAGCCGCATGCTTTGGCCGGTTTACATGGAGTATATCCAAAAGCTCAGCTTACATTGCCAGGATATGTTATTTGTGACCCGAATATGGGTTTATTCCTCGAGTTTCGTCCATTCAGTGCTAGTTTTTCGTCATTGACTGTAGAGATCACATCGAGTCAGCGCAAAATGGACAGAGGTGAGCCTTGAGAGACGAATAGTCTCATAATAATATAAATAGGAAGACAATATCCAGTTTACATGCGCACTCCTCACAAGACATCAAATCGTCAGATTCATACAAAAACGTAGGCGTTTAATCTTTCCAAATATTTATTAATAAAATATTATCCATCCTATTTGAACTTCACTAATCAGACCTAGAATACAACCACAAAGCCACCAATACAAAATAATCCAACATGCACTTCTCCACTATCCTCGCCGCCGCCTCCAGCCTCCTCGTATCAGTTTCCGCCGTAGGCGTCCGAATCTGCTACAACTCTCCCTTCCAGGAGTGCACAACCGTCACAGGCGGCTCAGGCCAATGCATATATGTCGGCGCTCCGTACAATGACCACGTCTTTTCAGCAAATGCATTGTCTGATACCAGCTACTGCGACTCCTACAGAGATATCAACAATGGTGCTTGCAGTGGACCATTAGTGGGGGGCATTGATCAATCCGGATACTCGGGGCTGCCATACGGGTCGGACACGAGCGGGTTTGTTTGCTACGCTTAAAGTGTGCAGAAAATCATGTGAATGGGTGCGCTGAAATAGAAAGTGAGGGAAACGTGGACGCGGAGGAAGAAAAGTGATGAGATAGGCTCTTTGTCAAAATGAAACCCGTCTTTGCCATCTGTGAAAATGTGCATTGGCTGGTTTGTAGCTGTAGTTACCGCTATTTTAATGTCACTTTCAAGTTTTCCCACTTCCTATCACGCCCCCTAAATCGTCATAAACCAATACCGAGTCGGGGAATCCCACTCCATAAACACCTCAGCCTCCATAGCGTCAACCGCAACCTGCTTCGGCATTTCCATACCTAGATTATACGCATCCGCCATCACAGCGTCCACGACTGGCGCACAGATATATACCCTTTTAGCCATAACCTCTTCTCGGCTCTTCGCATCCTTTTCAAACGCCCCATCGGGGCTTAGGATCATGTAGTACTTTGTATAACCCCCAAATCCCGGCTTCATTCGTACCACCATCCCTGGTCGCAGACGGTCCTGAAAAGGCACATCTGACTTCGTAGCCGGCGCATCTCCGGGCAATACGGCAGGAGCTGACTCGGAGGCGGCACTACGGGCGCTGCGTGAGTCAATGTGCAGACGCCATAGCTTATCGTAGAAGGCACGGGCATGTTCAGGGGAGATATCAGGGGATTTGAGGCAGCGGGCGACAAACTCGCCTTTAGGGAGTTTACATAGTTGGGTTCCTGTTTCGGTGGGGGCGACGATGGCGTGAGAGATGGCTGGGGTGCCGGACTAAAGGGTCTGTGTGAGAAAGGGAGCGCTAGGTCTGAGACGGGACGACTTACGTTCTTCTCGATCCATTCGGTGAGGGCTTCGTGGGACCAGGTGCTTGGTATATTGACATTGTAGGCTGCGGGCTTGGTCTTTGGGACCGGCACACGGAGAAGCTCGGCGTACCGCAGGGTGTTTTTACTTGGTCCGGCATCTGCTGCGTTGGGTTTAACGCAGGCCAGAATAGCGGTTTTGCAGTAACGGTCGCCCTTTACGTCGAAGACATGCTTTAGCACTTTCGTCAGGACGCTGCTCCGGAATGGAACGTGGACATTCATCGCTCTCTTGTTTGAGGCCACACCATCCGTCATATTCCACATTGCTCTGCCTCGGATGCAATCCTTTAGCGTTGATAGAGACATATTGATATCTCGAGTCTCTTTCATCCGGTCTTTGGAATGCTCCTTGACGTCTCTATCTACCTCACTTCCAGCGAGATCAACAAGGAATAGAAGACCATCTGGCGCATCGGTGACATCTCTGTTCACAATCCTGATACGGCAAACCGCATGAGAGCGGGAAGAACTGTCGTTCTTGACAGTGGCTGCTGTCTTTCGGAAAGACATACTGCGCTCAATATGCGAAAGAAGTTCTTCGGCAGTGGCCGGCTTTTCCTCAATAGCACCTACGAGTTGGGATTCGCCAAAGGCATCTTCCATGACAACAATCTTTCGGCGGTCATTTAAGAGGTCTGCTGTGCGTTAGTATCCGAGGCCTTTGAGTGCGTATCTGCCCACATGATAATGAGCTGGTTGACTGGGGATTTACCAAACGCTTCTTTTCCAACTAACTCAAATGCGCATATATATATATCGCGGCTGCCCTCAAGTTTGCCATTCATAAGCTCGGCAGCGGCCAGTTTCTCCAACTCGCTTACACTGTGCGTCTTCCCGGATCCTGTCTGGCCATAGGCAAACAAAGTGCTGATCCCACCCCCCCATGCCCAGGGAACCAGTGGAGCTACAAGATCATGGTAGACATTTTCAGACGTCTGGTCTGGCCCGTACACTTTGTCGAGTCGGAAACTGGACGACTGCGAAGACTCATCAGCACCTTTGCGCCCTGAGGTAGGAATAAAGGGGCTCACATACGTTTAATGCTGGCTGGCCATTGACTTTTCGTCGTAACTCGTGGACATCTGCGAATCCTTCTTCAGAGCGTGCGTAGACGCCAGTAACTTCCTGATCCTCAATCTCTTTCGGGAGCAGCGGCCGGATACGTGCGCCTATGGATGTATCCCCACCCGACTCGGAGCCACCGCCGGCGGCTTGCCCAGGCGCAGGTTTGAAGGCAGCCACCTGCTTAATGTACGACTCTCTGTTTTCCTGAAAAAATGCTTCCATGATGAATGTAAATAACCAAAATATTTATCTTGTTTGGGCTGATACAGCAAGATTGAATAAAGGGGATGTTTGTTTATAAACAACTTCCCGCGTTGCTATCGGATATGTAACCGATTTCTAGGCACCCTTTTTTGGGCTTCCCCGTAGCGACTTGGCGGTGGAAATTGGTGTTTTCAGACTGCTGCCTTGGAGGTCTTTCTCGTGAAATGAAAACATTACCAAATTGAATTCAATAAAAATGAAAATACTTTCCTTGTAGGTTCAGTCCTTAGGAAGGTTCATGAGGCATCCAAAACGACAGTGATCGTTGAAGCGCTGAACCCTGGTGGGACGGAAACCACCGAGATAAGCTCCCGCCAATTACTTGGCAGGGTACCTTGACACTTGGCTTTCAACTACCGTACAAACAAGCTTTGAGGAAGACTCCTTGGGAATGCGACCTCATGATGGGTTACACGATCCTGCGTCTCGCATGTAGAGATATATGAAAGCTAGGAAATGGTGTCACTGTAGAATCGTTATTTCCGTTGTAGCTGTCGGAGTCGTATGGCTGCGCAGCTTCCCGATTCGCCTGATTGCTTCGATTCTAGTTAGCCAAAGGCGCGGTGTTAGCCTTCAGCGTGCTGGCGCATCTTCTGCGATCCTACTTCCGTCTAAAAGTAAGGTCTTACATCCGCTTTCATATTATTTCGGCTGTTGTGTCGGAAGAAGAGGCCTATACCGAAACCGTTGTTAAAGCGGGTGGCGTTTGTGGGGCTATAGCCACTTCCGCTTATATAGTACAGCAGAATAATTACGACTAGCTACTGAGCACGAGGTTGGCAGTTTACTGCAGGATTAATATCCGCTGCTGACCGTGAGAGCGGCTATTGGTGCAGTTATTCCAATGGCCTGCTGTGGAACATATTACATCTCTGACCCAGCTCCGCCAACAGATGGGATCGAGACCCTGAGATACACTCAGCCAACAAAGCCCTCCATCCTTCCTCTTGCTACATGAGGTTACAGTAGACCCTAAGTCTCCAACAAAGACGGCGAGGCAGTAATCCGACTGGCCGCTTAAAGCACGTCATGACCGAAGAGTGTCGCTCTTTCCAAAATGGGCAGGTGGATTTGGCTAAGTGATGGGCGGTGGGGTTCCCGTGATGTTCCAGGGTCTAGCTTCTTCGTATACCAAGCACCTCAACATATGGATGCACGCACGCGATGCGATCCTTGCAATAGTTAGTAAAAAAGACAATGGGCTCGGCGGCACTTAAATGTTTGCTCTTCCCCTCCGGGGGATCTGCCTTCTGCATGTTCTGTTTATCACTCACGCCCTTTCAGCGAAATATTAGCTTACACGCGAGACTCTGCCATGGCGTTCTCATCGCTGCGCAACAGATTTCTCGGTCGAAGTACCCCGAGCGCTGAGAATCCTATACCCGAGTCTGACAACCCGGTGCCCGTGTTTGAGAAATCGGGCGCGGCTACAACATCCGAGGCGGATGCCATTGGGAATGGTTCTACCTTGTCCAGCGGCGAGGTCATCTTTGACTCCGAGAAGGGACCCGTCATTATTGGCCGAGAGGGCAGTGATAGTGACGAGCACTTTGCCGATGACGACCCGGCGCTCAGAGATATCCCACCGCAGGTGCGACGTATTGTCAGTTTGACGGATGATCCGACCCTGCCTACTCTTACCTTCAGATACTTCATCTTAGCCATCTTCTTCGTGGCACCCGGTGCCTTTGTGTCGCAGCTGTCCAGTTACCGCACGACGTATGCGCCCTACTCCGTGTTTTTCGTCCAGATTCTGTCAAACTATATGGGACTCTGGCTGGCTAAGATATTACCTGAAAAAACTATAAGGCTGCCATTCACAAAGTTCGGATTCAGTTTGAATCCCGGGCCGTGGAATTCAAAGGAGCATGTTCTTGTTACTATTTCGGCTGCGTCAGGAGCGACGTATAATCTTGCATAGTAGGTCTGCACACGTCTACGAACGATGGCCGCTAACTAGTATACAGTGGACCGATTTCAATGGCAGAGCTATATTTTGGTATCAGAATCAACCCTGCTGTTGCCATTTTCTTCATGTGGGCGGTCGTTTGGGTTGGTTATTCATATGCGGCCATTGCACGCCAGTTCTTGCTCTATGATCCACAATATCCGTGGTTCTCTGCGTAAGTTTTCCTAGGCAGATCGAGTAGCATATCGAGAGGCAAAGTGCTGACAGGACAGGTTGTGTCAAACGGCCCTATTCGAAACACAGAAAAAGCAAAACGCACATCCCACACGAGTCTCTAGGAAACAAATGAAAGTATTCTTTTTTGCTCTGGGGTTCGTCACCACATGGCAATTTCTCCCCGAGTTTATCTTCCCAATGCTGGGTTCCATGGCATTCTTATGTTGGGTAGCCCCAAGAAATGCTACAGCAAACTTTCTCGGCTCTGGATTTGGTGGAATGGGCCTATTGAATCTATCATTCGACTGGTCTAATTTGAGCAACCTCAGCAACAGTGGAAGTTTGTTCGTTACACCGTGGTGGACACAGGTTATTATTTTCCTTGCCTACGTTGTCGCCTGTCTCATATTAATTCCGGCCGCAAAATGGGGAGGCCTCGGCCAGTGGGACCACAAACTTATGAGCAACAGACTATTCACAGGTGATATACCTCCCCTACCAGTACGCTTTTGAGGCTAACATTTCCCAGTCGATGCCGAGCCATACCCTATTCTGGAGTTGATGACACCACAAGCGACCTTCAACGAAACCGCTTATGCTGAACATGGCCAGATCTACGTTGGTACTCAAGTACTATGGACCATGTTTTTTGACTATGCAAGTTATTCCTCTGGCGTTGTGTGGCTGCTGTGCTTCGGATACCCAACAATCAAGGCCACGATCGAGAAGCTGCGAGCCCGACGACGCGCAGGTGGTAAAGAAACAATTAACCACCAGTACAATGATCAGCTGAACATTCTTCAGCGTTCATATGAAGAAGTTCCATGGTGGTGGTAAGTAATATGGTCATATAACATATTAGCCACTGACACTTCTCTAGGTATGCGCTATTGTTTCTAGCCTCATTTGTGATTATTATTACCTGTGTTGCAACGGGACAGCTGTTTATACCAGTGTTCACTGTATTCGTAGCCCTGGCAACTGGTGCGGTAATGGTCATTGTAAGTAATGTATGACCTTGGAAGCTACCAACTTGCTAATGTCGAATTTCAGCCATTGGGATGGCTCTATGCTGTCTCTAATTACCAACTAGTGAGTGCTTCTGAACTACGTTGACAACGCGGGCTCCATACTGACACATTTCAGGCGATCGGAACTACGAATGAACTTCTATACGGCTTGATGGTCAATTCTATAAGTGGCAACCACAACCCATGTGGGGCAACTGTGTACAGCTCCATTGCAGGAGATGCATGGTACCGCGCCCAGCTCATGTTGCAAGATCAGAAAATTGGCCACTATATGCACGTACCACAACGAGCCGTGTTCTTCTCTCAGCTTTTCGGGTCCTTTATTGGTATCCCTATTAACTATGGCGTTATTCGCTGGGCCGTGAAGTCAAAGGCGGAGTACCTCAACGGGACTAAAACAGACCCAACGCATCAATGGACTGGTCAATCGCTCGCAAGTACCTTGACAACGAGCGTACAATACGTCTTAATTGTAATTTTCAGTTCTCAACTATCTCCCAGGCCTTCACTGACACCAATCCACAGGGCCCCAAGCGTCTTTTCCAAGAATCTCTCTTCTACCCTGTCCCATACGGCTTCCTGGCCGGCGCCATAACCCCACTCATCCTCTTCGGCCTGCACAAGCTCTTCCCACGCGCGAAATTCCAGCTCTGGAACAGCACCATCTTCTTCGCGGGATTGTCGTACTTCTACGGCAATATCAGTACGGGCTACTTCAGCTCCATTATCGGTGGCTTCGTCGTCATGTTCTGGGCCTACCGTTATCGCTATGACCTATGGGCGCGCTACAACTACCTACTCGCGGCAGCGTTTGATGCGGGGTACAATCTGAACCTTCTGCTCATCTTCTTATTTTTTGGCGCGGGGAAGGTGGTCACGATGCCGAATTGGTGGGGGAACAATGCGGATAGTAGTGATAGGTGTTTTGCGCTGGATAAGAGTGCTTAGATGGATGGGGGGGGTTGGGAATAAGGCCGTGGTAGGGCTGTCTTGTGTTATACCAGACCGATTTAATGTTGTGAATAACTGTTTATTGGAATTAGATGGGTGATAAGTTGGTCATTTTTCGCAAGAATATAGACCAATCATCAAACACATATAGTTTTGTATTGACTGATTTATATATATAGATTGAGTAGATTTTGTATTAATACGCACACGAAACAAACTTCTGAAGTGTCCGACATACAGCGAACAATCTTAGCAACCCTTCTCTAAGGGCAGTCTGCATCATACACGTCCGCCACCCCCGGATTCGGCCCAACGCCATTCTCCCACCCCAATCTTACCAGTGTCTCCCCCTTCACATCATATTTCGGCCACCCATACTTCACCAACCCCTCCGCTGGATCCCTGGCAAACATCCCCATCATACCCCTCAAATAAATCCCCATCCTCACCAAATCCCCCGACACCTCCGCACCCCCCGACCCCGCCCCCACCGTATCGAAAATCGGCAGCACCTCGCTGGCATGGTATGCCCCGCTGTCCGGGACCGTCGTCAGCGCGAGCTCTGGGAAGTTTCCGAAATAGCGGTACCGGAACGTTGGCAGTCCCGCCGCGACGCTGGCAGCGGAACGCGTCGCTGCGGGACACGTGAAGCTGACGAGATTGAAGCCGTCCCACTCTGCGTCGCTGAGGTACTGGTCAAAGACCGAGGCGATGGCACGGTGGTAGCCGGCTTCGTAATTGGTGTTTCCGATTAATAGGGGCACCTTGGCAAACTTCCCCGCAGCGAGGCGGGCGGGGTAGTCGGAGAAGGCGATCTCTTCGTCAATGGTGGGCCAGAAGAAGGCGGAGCCGTAGGCCTGGTTGACGAGCGGGATGGCGTTAGTTATGTTTTCGGAAGGCTTCGTGCGCATGCATGCCATCTGTGTAGCGGGAACGGTAGTATTGTCACCGCAGCCAAGCGTGGATGTTACAGTGTACCAGCTCTCGGCGGTCGTTTCGGCCGTGAAGGTGCCGATGGCTGTAGTTCCGGATTCCAAAACTAGGCCGGCGGCGATGGGGTCATCGGCATAGGCGAAGGAGTACATGTCGATTGAGCCGCCGCCAGCGGACTGGCCGAAGAGCGAGATGCGTTTTGGGTCGCCGCCAAAGGCGCGAATATTGTCGCGGACCCATTCGATGGCAAGGCGTTGGTCGAGGATGCCGAGGTTTTTGTGGTAGCCAGGGGCGCCAGGGAAACCGAAGATATTGAGGCGATAGCTGGGCTGCGGGTTAGCAAGGGAGTTCGGTTTCAGGGGTTAGCGGGGGCGTACTTGAAGGTTACAAGGACGACGTCTTCTTGGTCTGCGATATACTGCCCATCGTATATTGGGTCCGACGAGGAGCCAATTGTGTAACCACCTCCATAGACCCAGATCAGGACAGCCTTACCCTTCTCGCCGAACTGCGGTTTCGTCCAGACGTTAAGGGTAAGGCAGTCCTCGCTTGAATCCGCGTAGCCGAAATTCAAGTCGACGAGGGCAGCAAGACCTGCCGCTGTGAGGTTCTTGCCCTTAGTATTTGGAGGCGTAGAGCCGCCGAAGACGTTGGCTTGAGGACATGAGTGGCCCTGGTTTGGAATTCTTAGTTCAGGGCATGCAAAAGCGGTGTGTGGGGGAGCATACGAATTTCGAGCCGTCGATCGGCTTGTGATTATAATATCCTTGGGGGGGAGCAAAACGAAGATCACCAATGGGAGGTTTGGCATAAGGAATTCCGAGATAGGTGGACACGTTCTTTGCGGATGATGCGGCGTGCCCAGAGACGGGGCCGCCCTGGGTGTAGACTGTCTGGCCGATAGTCCATGAGTGCTTAGCAGGCGTGCTGCTTGCTGGCGAGTAGAGGCAGAGGATGCCGGTGAGAAGAGCTTCACGGAGTCTCATTGTAGTGGTCTATTGTTATTGAAGGTAAAAGATAAATTCAAAGGAGAGTCGGTGGTGACAAGAGATATCATTCATTTACGCTGCCTGGCGCCCATCTTGTTTTTTATATATGACAAACGAACTTCCAGTGACGACGCTCTGTTCACGAATCGGTAATGCTTACCCGACTCAATAAGATGTATATACAAAAACATATGTTGAACCCGACAAATGCGGTGTGGTTACGCTGGGTCCAAGAGCTCGATGTTACAAGGCGTCCAATACCAGGATGGTATTTAAGCTGTCATGTCTCACCGGGCCAGGGTGATGTGCAAAGGTTTAGCTGCAACGGTCTGCGTCACTTCGTATTGCGGATTCTTGGCTACCCGAACCCTAATATTCTCGCGGATCATCAGCCTTTTAGGCCATGGGCTGAGGCTGTGGAGTGACCTGCTTACGTAGACTGTGAGATGTTTATAACTTTGTTCATCATGAATTCCATGGAGTATGGATACCGTGTATACGTAAGACTTCTATTTGGTTTGGATTGAGAAGCAGCCACTCAACCAATGTGAGAACAAGTCCCCTTTCGGAAATCACGTAATATTGTGAGACGGCATCGCCGGATCCTACACGTTTCTCATTTTGATTGAATTTTTATGAATTTTATTAATTAGTTTAATGAGCCTATAATATGAGCTTCGAAATCTAATTCTGAAGCAACTCTAATGCAACAGACCTGCCATCAATCACGTGTGTATTTAAACAACTGTTTCGGCGTATCCGGCTACCCTGGTTGACCCTAGACAATCAGGTACGGATACGAGGTACGACTAGCCTCCCTGTCGCTTCTCACGGCAAATACAACCCACTCTAACCATGCGTCTGTATATCCATCTCCTCAACCACACAACATCGTCTATCTATTCTATATTCGGCGAATCGGTCGTTCTTCGTTGGACTTGTCTTGGCGTCTATTGATCCTATCGACTTCTTTCCATACATGATTACACTCTATACCCCTCCACGTGGGCGCTTGTTCCTGCGCTTGCATTTATCCAGGGATTTTAGTTCACAACTGGTGCTTTCAAGTGCTGATCATCAGCAAGGGCATTGCGAGCACGTGGGCTTCTACCCAAACGCGAGTCGATACCTTCAAAAAAACAAATCAAAGGAAGCTCGAAGCTATCAAGGTAGGAAGTTTGACGTTTTTTTAGACTAGGTCTCAGGTAAATATAAACCCTCTCGTCGCTCTTTTCTTTTCCAGTCAACCTGCCACCCGGTTGGCGTTTCTTCTCCAGTTCTTTTCAGCTTCGTGATCTTCACAATGGCGCGCTTCCCAGCTGTCTTGGCTTCGGTCGTTTCCACCTTGCTCCAAGCTTTCCCCGCCAATGCCGCCGCCGCCACCGATGCCGCAGCCGCCAATGCGACCATGAACTCCCAGATTCGCCTGGCGTATGCCGGTGATACTGGCATGTTCGTTAGCTGGAACACTTTTGACCACTTGTCGAACCCAACTGTGCACTACGGTCTTTCCCCAGATGCATTGACCGAGACAGCTTCGTCTGAGGTTTCGATAACATACCCTACTTCTCTGACATATAACAACCATGTCAAGTTGACCGGCCTGAAGCCGGACACGCTGTACTACTATCTCCCAGGTCACCTTTTGACCGCTACCGACACGTCGGTCCCTTTTACTTTCAAGACCAGCAGATCAGCTGGAGATGGCACACCTTACACCGTGGCCATGTTTGCTGATCTTGGCACCATGGGCCCGCTCGGTCTCACAACATCCGTTGGCAAGGGCGGGGATAGCTTCCTTGAAATTGGCGAGAGGAACACAATTGAGGCCCTGGAGGCTGATGCGAACACCTTCGATTTCATGTGGCACGGTATGATACGTTCGCCCTAATTCATCGCATTAACTAACGTTTAGCGTAGACGGAGATATTGCGTATGCCGACTACTGGTTGAAGGAGGAGATCCAGGGTTTCCTCCCTAACACCACTATTGCTGAGGGATACAAGGTCTATGAGTCCATCCTGAACGCCTTTTACAACGATATGGCCTCAGTCACCGCGTTCAAGCCTTACATGGTTGGCCCCGGTAACCACGAGGCAAACTGCGACAACGCAGGGACAACCGATAAGGCAAAGAACATCACCTACGATTCCAGCATCTGCATGCCCGGCCAGACTAACTTCACCGGTTTCCGCAACCACTTCCGCATGCCTAGCGCGGAGTCAGGTGGTGTCGAGAACTTCTGGTACTCTTTCGATCACGGGATGACGCATTACATCCAGCTCGATACCGAGACCGATCTCGGCCACGGCTACATTGGCCCCGATGAGGCCAATGGAACCGAGGGATTCTCGGAAGGCCCATTCGGAATCATGAATCAGCAGACTACTTGGTTGGAGAACGACCTGAAGTCTGTGGACCGCACCAAGACCCCTTGGGTCATTGTCGGTACGTCTTCCCTACCCCTCTCATTAACCTTATAAATCTAACCCTCAACCTAGCTGGCCACCGCCCGTGGTACCTCAGCGCCAAGAACGAGTCCGGCACCATCTGCTGGGGCTGCAAGGAGGTCTTCGAGCCCCTTCTGATCAAGTACAACGTTGACCTGGTCTACTCCGGCCACGCACACGTCTACGAGCGTCTCGCTCCCATGAACAACGGCGTCAGCGACCCTAACGAGCTCGACAACCCTTCCGCACCATGGTACATCACCAACGGCGCCGCTGGCCACTACGACGGCCTCGACACTCTTGATGAGCACCACGACTACTCTCGCTTCGACCTTGACATCGAGGACCACGCGTACGGGTGGAGCAGAGTCACCTTCCACAACTGCACGCACATGACTCACGAGTACATTGCGAGCAGGAACGGCAGCGTGCTCGACTCGGCGACGCTGATTAAGGACCGCAAGTGTGCGTTCTCGTCTGGCGGCGGTAGCGGCGGTAATGGCACCGGGGGTAACGGCACCGTGACCCCAACTGGACCTTCTGCTGTCCCGACTGTCCCGACTGGTGATGCTTCCCGCTACGTCTTTGGCGGCGTGATTGCTGCTGTTTCGGGACTGGTTGCGTTTGCGCTTTTGTAGATAATATTATGCCACGCCGCCTTTATGGCGAAGTTGATTGGTGTTGATATATTGCAAATAATAGAATTATCATTTAACAATAAACAATCAAGATAATCTTGAGTAAGACCCCATGTACATAGCTCAGTGACATAGTATTTTTATGTCGTGCTTTTAATGTCGTGTACTTTTTATTTTTAAATTATTTTCCTTCCTATCTATATATATTCATACAATAGTAACTGTCGACTTTGTCCAAGCCTTTTCATACCGAGATAACGTACAATACATGCTTAAATATCCCACCCGCTCATAAAGCGGCATGTCGCCAGAGGCAGCCCGAAGAATTAATGCTCCATAGTGCGCATGTCTATTAAAATGGGGTGTATCCGTCTCCTCTGGGTCGGGAATCCTTTCTCCGGTATAGCCAATGGCCACTATCATGCGAACCAGGAAAAGAGTGAGAGACTCGGGTCTTATTTCTACGATCTCATCGGCTTTAGTCTCCTTCCAACCACATATGAATCTTTGGTTGGCCGTGTCGAAATATGCATCTGCCATATCGCCGCTATTTCCCTCGCTTGCAACATCAAAGATTGGGTGTCCAAAATACACATCATGCTCGATATCGGCTTTGCTAATGTCCCCATCGATCTTTAGTAGTGGCCACGAGTATCCATTGAGCGTAATGTGACCGGATTCCACGCCCCCAAAAGGATCCCTTCCGGCCATCTTCATATCCCAGCCAACAATTTCAGCATCATGCAATGTGCCACCCACATTGCGCTCACTATAACCAAGAGAAATTTCAGCATCCAGAGCCGCCCAGCTCCACGTCGGTGCCCGAAACTCTCGTGGCCGGCGAGAATTCTTGGGCTCTTCACAGCGCCATAACAATCCAACTCTCAAATCTCTCTCCCATAGACCAGCAACGTATTTATCACCCGTCAAATGGGCAAACTGCGCAGCGACCCCGGAAATGGCAGGGAGTTTGTCGCTTGCGACGGTTAAATTGCGCTTGCTGTATTGCTCGAGGATGCTATACCATGTGGAGCAGAACTCCATGTACTTGGATGGAGTAATGCCTGCTGCGGTTGAGTTTGGCGTCAACTTCTGGATGTCTTGCGGACGGTTATGCCAGCGCCAGAACTGGTTTTCGTTGTATTTATCTGGCTCGTCGCCATCGGCGGCACAAAGAAGACCTCGGCATTCCCAGTAGAGCTGCCTCTTCCCGTAGTACAAGATGCGTTCTGACAGATACCGCTCCTGGAGTGCCCAACCACGCGTGGCAAGATGCGATTTGACAATTCCGTCTATCAGTTCGTCTTCATATTTCTCTTTTCGGCGTATGGAAACCGGCCTGTGAGAATCACCACTAGCATTTAATTTTAGAGAGTTGTGGAGAATGGGAACTGGTGGTTGTTCATAGACATGAATCAGATTCCCGTTGCTGCCAGTTGAGACTGCTGCGGCGATGGTGAGGGCCGAGTCCTTGTAGATGTCGCCCATTTTCACGGAGGCGGTCTCCCAGTCCGTTCGTGAGTCTTGCAGAATGCACAGTGAGTCAATCCAAAGATATCGATAACCAAGTTTTCGGGTAATGGTAACGGCATCTTGAAATGTATTTGGCATCGTCGTAAATTCGATGTGTTTTATCATTTGGGACAAGTTTTGCGTCGTGGTTTGGAGAACACCTGCTGGGTCTCCCCAGCTATGGCTGAGCGTCAAATAAACGCCTTGGGTGCCGCTTGTCTCTAGTAACTGGAGATCCTTGGAGACTTTTGAGTTCCCAACGTCAAGTACACGGTCGGGCAGAGTTGTGGGCTGGATTGGCACGCAGGTTTCCTGATGCTGTTCTTGACATGTAGAAAGCCAGCTCTTTGCTACGTTAAAGCTGGCGTCAGAACCCAAGTCAGGGGAAATATCATATCTTCCAATCCTGTAGCCACCGAATCGTAGATTTTCCTCTGTTGCAATTGTCAATGGCTGGATGGGACCACTATGAGCGCCTTAGGACTCACCACGAGGACAGGTAAGCTTGAATTCCACCACAAGGTCAAAACGCCCAACGCGGACAACCAACGTGTCCATACGCCTCTTTGACTCCACGGAAGCAATACGGGATGAAGTGATGCATACTTCTAATTGGGTGTTCCCAGAAACATCTTCGGGTTCCAGGGATTGGAGAACCTTTTCTACGCTGTCATAATCTCTCGTTTTTGCACCGTCTCCTTGTCTATAATGGTGCCTGGAAAGTTTGCAGGAAGCCCAGATCTCATTGCAGAATTCGCACCCATTTTTTGCTGAGGCGACTAGGTTTTTGTAAGATGAGTGATGGGGAAGCCAGGCGCCATCTGGAAGTCGATAGTAAGGCGCTGTACGTTTTGCATCACTGTCGATAAATAACCCCACAAGTTTTTCAACGGATAGTTGGTCGCATATCTCGCACAGCATGATGTTGACTATTATTCTGGAATTGGCGAAAAGGAATAGTGATCCCGAACAATTATACAAATGCTGATGGTTGAGTTACGATTTGTGGTTGGGGTTGAATAAAATGCTGCGCCACAGACATTAATCAAGATCACCAAGACACAGGATACTGAAATAAATCTGCCTTCCTGATTAAGCTTCGCCGACTTCCCAAATATTACAGAACTCGTGATTGTGTTTCTTTATTATTGCTTGTAACTATTACAGTGTGTTCTTCCTCATTAGCGACTGGTTTTGTTCTCCTCAAAGTAATTCGTAACCCCGGACCTAGAATAATATACTCCAGCCACAGAACTGTCTTAACCCCGCATCTGCCTAATAAGAATGGGGAATAATTAGCCCGACTTCAACAACTAGTTCTTCGCCATAGTGGTACTTCCAAATTGAACACAATTCAAAACGATTTTAAACTCTCCGCATAACAAGAAATTACTACTCTTTTCAAGGATTTTCGCACATAGTGCGGTGCGATGGGTATGTATTAGTAGAAGATCCGTAGCGGAAGCATACTGACAACTTTCTTTCAGGCTACTACGAGGTGGGAATTCTCCGCAAGCTTTCCATCCAATCTAAGTGATTTAATGGGAGCCCAGTGTTAATTTGGATGGCATGACTTAGATCTATTGCCAACTCTGCGGCGTGAGCTTTAATATCAACCGTATCAGGACCCGGGCTGAGCCAAGACATGCCGGCTGGTCTGATACGCAGTGTCCTAGAGACCAGTTGCGCTATCACCTGGGGTCCAAATATTTCAATTGTCCTACTGAGGGCAAGGAATGTTGTGTAGCTGTCGACCGCATGCATAGTCTGCCGGTTACTCTAGGCACCCCCACAGTTAACCTCCCAGCGCCTCTTCAGTATGACACTGAATTTTTGCCACTGAGCGTACCCTATAAAATGGACCAAGACTATGAGGATTACGGTGGAGAGGCGGTAGATATGATTAAGCTTGGCCGCGAGGCGTATGAGCATATCGCCGGCCCAAGCTGTCGGCAACTTGATGGATATAACGGCCACAACATATCTGTCGAGGAGATGTTAGACTGTACGACTATGCAGTGTTTATATGCCAAACCTGAGAATTGGATACCAAATGCGGAAGATATGTACTTCGAAGGATATTCTAAGTACTACCTGAGCGGCTTATCAGACCATTCAAGCTCGGGAGGGTGGAAGCAGATGTTTGCTCCTATCCTCCATGGAAGAGTACAGGGAAGCATAGATAACGACAACAATTCATGGATAGACGTAAGCTTTTATTCATGCAAGGCATGAGCGGTTTGTACTCCTTTTGTACAATTGCTAACATATATACCTTTCGGACAGAGGAGCTGCAGAGAGAGTCCGGTGTGGTATTCCACCCGGCATGCTTCGAACTCTATAGAATAGTTAGCGAGGATACCTTCGGAGCCGTCAATATGAACGGGTTAGTTCAGCTGCGAAACATCTGCTGTACGAGAAACAGAAATTTCTGCGACTGGGGGGATGACGTTGATCGCTGTAAAGAACAGTGCTGGCAGCACATTCCTGGCACTGAGTATCTCGTTGCGAACCCTGTTTTCATTCCTGGCTTCAGAGATATATGTGAGAACGCTCTCCAAACCAACAAGGATTTTGACGTTCAACAGAGTGCTTTCTCCCAAAGAGAGCGGCATCGAGAGCATTCGGTTTCCGCAGACCCGTTCCTCAAGCTACCTACGGAGATAGTTCAAAATGTTGTGAGCTTTCTTAATTCACAGGAAATCGCTTCTATGCGGCTTGCGTCTCATGCATTCGAGCACTTACCTATATCACTCTGGCATAGGCTCATTCTTGCGGAGATGCCCTTTATCTATGAGGCACGGCTTAAAGATGTTACGCCGTATACATGGGCTTCTCAAGACGTTAACATGCTGCAGAATCTCAGGAAAGAAGTAGAGGAGTGGCAATCGCAACGCCAGAGAAAGGCTAGAGACCTAGAGCATGATCCTGAATTGGAAGCCAAGTTTTTAGCTACGGAACCTGAAGTCCCTCCGTGGCATACCGAATCTAACCTTAAAAGGCTGAAAGAAAAGTCACTTAAGATAAAGAAAAGGCTGCAGCCGATTGCACTACCTCACGACAAAACCAATTGGTACCAGTTGTACAGCGACATCATTCGCCATTGGAAGGATTTAAAGGGTCTGCAAAATCGTGAGAGGATATGGGAAACTGTTTACGACATCTGTGACGAAATTATCAATAACGCAGTTGATGATATGATGAAGGATCAATATGCCGTACTCAGGCGGGATGAATCTGATGACATGGATGAGGCTTGAAGCAGAAAAATTAATTTAACTGGGCATGACGGGTTAGGTTGCTGAATTAGATTTAATTTGTCACATTTTGGCGGAGGTTTCTACCACAAAGAGGCCAAACATTGGCATTAATCGGATTTCTCTGGTTCTCAACCAAAACAGCTCTAAAAACAGTTACTGAGATCTCTCAAAACATCAACAACCAGCTTGCTAAACATGCCGCTCAGTCTTGACCCCAAACGATCATCAAATTCCACACCAAAACTCCCTTCCAAACAAGTTAACACAACCTTCTGATACTTCTCTCCAGTATAAAAAGCCAGCCTCCGTTTCGTATGCTTTAGTAATCGGGCTTTTGTTGCTTCGGCGGTCTCAGCAATAGTGGTATTTGCTGGTGGGTTTACGAGTGCACCGCCATCGATTTGGGAGAGAGATTCCCAGAGACCGACTTCGAGCAGCATAGTCCCCAAAGCTACGAGCCGGTCAGTCTGGAATGAGAGTATTGGGTGGCGAGAAAAACATACCATAGATATCATGAATCTTGGAGAAGGTCTCGCTAGGCTGTCCCCACCGCTGGGGGTGCCGATATATATTTCGCTTGATATCATAATCTGGTCTCCCACTTGAAAAATCGGAATCGAGCCTGGAGTACTCAAAACCAAAGATCCTTGGCTGTTCTAGTATGGCTATTTCTGGAATTTCCGTGGGTTGGTCCGTCGCTGTTCCTGGGAGGAAAATGATGTTCTCACTGCGAAGGCTCTTGTGTACCCATCCCACCGAATGGAGGTGCCCCAATGATTCCGCCAATGCATAAGCTAACTTAATACGAGTTCCTAATGCAGGCTTCAGTTTTTTAGAAATGAGTTGGGTGTTTAGAGATGCCGGAACACTCTGTGGGGGGTATTCGAAGGCGAATCCGATGCGTTTTCCTGGAACGTCGTCGAAAAAATTGATGCAGCGAAGAACCCTGAATCGATCATTTTTTGTCTCGTGAAGCAATGCAACAAGTTGCAGTATCCTTCTAGAAACGATCTCATTTATGCTCCCGGTTCGATCCTGCTCATAGCTTTTATACTCGACAATCACCCCTCCTTTCCCAGTAATTTGCCCAACTTCTAATTCCTGGAATTTTATTGTCTCCTTGAATTCGAGCCGCGAAATCTTTAGAGTTTTTGCCGTCTCAACTGGGATTTGAGATGATCCTGGTGCAAGCAATTTCCTCATTCCAATCCCTTCTAGCATTCCGGCCTGACCTGCATCTTTATCCTCCTCGAGTTTCTCCATTTGTGAGACGGTCGAGAAGAACGGCAAGGGCCACCATGCTAGTTCCAACAGTGATTTCACTCGTTCAGTCCACGTTTCAAACTCAGCCACAAGATCCTCGGCGCTCTTCTTGTCACTCATAACCCACCTAGCTTTCTTCGTCCAGCTAGTACCCTTGGATAACTTCGCGTCTCCTGCTTTCCCAATACCCAACATGACAGACTTCCTCTCGTCAACCTCCAAGGCATCTATGCCCCCTGTCAACCAATCGTCGCCGCTCGCGTCTAAAGCATACCGTTTCTGCACGGCATAATACTTCTGCAACAACTCATATAGCTGCCTCAATAGATCTACAAAATTCTCGCGCACATTCTCCGGCAACTGATCGAATAATCTTCCCTGCACAAGAGGAAACTTATTTGCTTCAAATAGCACCCGTTCGAAGGCATCGAGACGTGTTATCTGTACAGAGAACCTCAGGCGGAATCGCTCAGCATCGGCGCCGAAGTTTTTGGTGTCAGACCAGAGTGTGGCGATGGCTTCCGCGGTGGGTTTGATGACTGCGATAACGCCGATGGCGAGGCCGGCGACTTCCATGTTCAACGAGGGAAGGGAGGTTGCAAGGGAATGGAGAGTAATGAGGAAGTGAAGCAGGTTGCCTTGGGACTTCAGCCGTCTGTGTTGACGGTCACGTGCCATGCCAGGGGCGCACTTAATATCACGTGAATTGCCAGAGGGGGTTTGCTTTCTGGTATGTACGACGAGGGCGCCAAACGAGTTAAAGATTTTCTCGTAATTATTTAGGGAAAAGACTGTGGAAGTGTTCATACATATAATTTTCTGTATAATTAGGAATTTATGTTTACATCCTATGACTCTTTTTCCTATTATACATTATTTTGTTCTTCAAACGCTAATATTTGAATGCTAGTTTCTCTGATTCTCATATTTATATACCAGTTTCTCAGATGCGACGAACAGTCTTTGGCATACTACTGCGCGTCACTGCCAGAGAATTCGGATTATGCACAAAGGGCATTATGAGACACCTATCCGGATTCTCAACTATTTAGTAAACTAAATTATTTACTTACTTACTTCCATTTCATCCCAGCGAACCAGAGGACAATAGGGGAGGTGGCAGCTGTCGGAAGGGAACGTTTTCACAGCATGCGCTCTGAACACTTCGAGTCCGTGGATTCGGTAATACGACGCAAATTTTGACTATTTGGTTATATTTATTTATTCTTATTACAAAGTATATAAAGTCCACTCAATCCTTCTTTCCCTTTGAAGAACTCCCCTCCGAAGCCGTATTATTAACACTAGTATCTGACACTGAAACCGTGAACGAAAAATCTGTCTCGCCGACTAAATCTTTCACATGCTCAATCAGCCTTGCTAGGTCATCCGTAATCAAACTACTCGCGACTTGAAGGCAAGCATATGCACTATAACCGGGCTCTTCTATATGTCGCATACTCAAAATACCGGTATCTAGGGCCTCCAAGCGCCTGTTCAAGTAGTAAGGTGGTGGTAGTTGGATGTAAGGGGGCAGGGTGGAGCCTTGTATGATGGATGCAGAGAGGAGGGAAAGCGTTGATGTGATTTGGTGGCTAGTTGGACCCACGTCCTCGATCAGGACACTTAGATCATTGAGCCAAGCCCTTTGTGTAGCGGTTTCCGGTTTGGTAGGTATGGAGCCTTCCTCCCTCGACCAGGTTTGAGTCGCATAGGAAATAAGAGAGAGGTAGTTCATGATGCTATTGTTTATTTAAATTAGCGTTCTGGTGCTGCCTGTGGGAGCGAAATATCTCGAACTAGGATACAAAAACTGCAAGACTTACTTTGTAGACCTGAGGATAATGGCTTCGTATGTCTCCCTAGGAAATTTACCTCCCACCGCCGGCTCCCACTTCTGCCACTCTGCATGCTGTTTTAAAGAAGGCAAAATCATCATGAGCTTGCCAAAAATCTTGTGGCGAGCTTTCTGTAACTGTCGATGAGGAGACGTCTTCGATCTCATGTCTCCTTCCGTATTGTTTAGTCGGACTCTAGTCGTTGAATTAACAACGCTGTAGTAATTTGCGAGCAGGTAAAGCATGGAGCCGAGATCCTTTCGAAGCAAACTGCGGTCCGTGAGTTGGTACGGAAAAATTGTCCAAATAAACGCCACGAAAGATCCTCCTGCTACACAAGCTAACCGATAAAAGGCGAGTTGGTAGGTGCTATGTGTGTGTTAGTTGCGTACGTAACTACCAAAATGGGGGTACTAACGGATAGTAAGTCTGGCCACTTGCAGATGCCGCTTTAATACCAATCTTCTTGACTTGAAGCTCATATCCTAGAAGTTCGGTCAGTCATCCGCACATTCATACTCCGGGGCAGGAAGTGGTACCAATTATCAAAACCTGTGTTACAATGGCAACTAGCCAGATTGGAACGAAGCGAGGGAATTTCAAGAAAAAATACATCTCGAGGAATATGAATAACCAAAGGAAGACGAGTACTCCGGGCGTTTTTTCGCCAACAATATACCAGATGACAAGTGAAGAGATAGCCGCGATAAAAGTCCCTGCGATTCGTCCCAAAAAGCCAAAAATCGCTTGGCCGGAAGTCATGTTCATACCGATGGCAATAATAATCATAGCCCACACTAAACGTTGCTTGATAAAGAAGAGTTGCGTATCCTTTAAGAAAGCGACGATACCCACAGTTAAAGTAGCACAGGCTACACGGAATCCAAATGCAGACTCTGGTGACCCCAAAAACCTAGGAATTGTCCGAAGCGCATTGCCAAAATGCTGCCAGGCAGTCTGTGGCGGAAGATGTTCAGGGTCCTTACGTTTGTTGAAACCAGAGCCCATATATATGTTGCTCATGCCAGATTCAGTTGAATCCGGATAGTCAGCGTCGACGGTCGCGTCTTCGTGGCCCAGTCCCATGATCCATTTCTTAAGTCGACGTCGACCTGGGACGATCAGTCGATTCTTTTTCATTGCGCCATCTTCGACCTTCTTGTCTGCAAACTTAACGAAATTTAATATTGCTATACCGGTGGAGTAGAGCTGGGTTCTGTTAGTACAGCGAATAATAATCTCAAGCCTATCGCAAAACAGTCTGCTCCAAGAGAAGGCAGCGGCAATAGACACATGATACACATGAATTAGAAAACACGTACCAGGTGTTCCATATATAGCATCAGATATAGCTGTTGTTGGTCTCGGCGGTGTTGGGCCTCATCCGGGGTGAGATTATTGCTGTCGCCGGGGGCGCTCTTTGCGTTGTCAAATTCGTCTTCAGACAAGCCCTTCTGTCGCGCCCATGCCTTTAAAGTTTCTCCTCGCTTACTGTGAAAGTCTACTACCTTCTGATTTAGGAAGCTAGTGAACTCCAAATCACCAGGCCTTGGATCGGTGCCGTTCTCCTCTACATCACCTTCCTTCTTCTTCTTCGGCTTGGGCAGAATCTCTAAAACAAGACCAGCATGCTCCATTCCCTCATCCATGGCTGCTACGGCTATAGCAAATGGCTCGTGTAAGGCTTTCATGACTTCGTTCCAGACTTTCTTCTCTTCCGACTTAGACGCTTCGTCAAGATGTTCCCAGGACTCAGCGCGATCGAAACTGTTTTCATGAGGTTCAACCCATCCACGCCTCTCGGCAATCCGTTCGAATATATCTGTGATAGTGCTCATACCTATGAGAGGAATTAAGATACCACGAAATAATGTGAATATCTCATCCAAATCCTTGGCATCTAATTTTCCCCACGCATACTCTCTCTTCGCAAATGGCATGTCGCCGTACAATTTCCCATGCAAACCGGTTAGTGCTCCGATAGCACCTTTCAAATCCCTGGCTTGGGTTGTCTCCGCGGGACTAGATTTAGATTTGTCTTGATTTTTCCCTTTCTTTCTGTCATCAGTTTTCGGATCTGTCGCAGTCTCTGTTGTAGCAAACATATCGCTACTTTCCAAGCTCTGTATGTAGGCCGTTTGTGCCTATTGGAGAAGTTAGTGCCATTGATCCTGAATTAAAAGGGCCGGGGGCAGCAAAATGTGCCCCACAAATGGTTAAAAACACATGGAAACACCCACCTTCAGAACGCCTCTGATCGCCTGGACATATGCTGCCTGTCCCTTTTGCACTACTGCCCGAGAAGATACCGGAATGATGAACAGAGAAACGCCCGTTGAAATAGCAAAGGCGGCTAAGAACGCTATCAGAAGTTGTCGTATGAGAGCCTCGCCCTGTTCTATCGTCTGAAGATTGGGTCCGAACGTGAATGCCACATTTGTGAAAATACTGTACATAATAGCCGGAAACTGCAAAGCCGGTATCTTCGCCCGCAAAGCGTTCACAAGGTAGATGTTCGCAAATAGCCATATGGCACAAACGGCTGCCTGACTTGAGTTGTATCTAGCTGTAGAGCCAGGTGGGGTTGTATGCACCCTAGCCTGTACTCCACTCCAAATACCCAACAACGCCACAGCGCTTCCAAGGCAAATGCCAATGGTGTTGAGAATTAACGTTTGTATGTACTTAGCGCGAGGCATAATAGAAATCGAGAGTACAGTGATAACAGGGACGAGGTAGCCTAAAGTGGTGAATATCCTTGCGATGTCGAGGGATTCATACCAGGCGACTGCTATGATGGGAGCGAGAGATCCTCTATTATAGTTTTAACCTCATGCAATCCCGCAATATGCCAATGGAGTATACCCACTTGAACATCATCATCAGAGTCCCTATATCGAGATCTATCTTTGCCCATATCCTCTTGAGTTTAGACGGTTTGGGTTCCTCCTCATCTTTTGTCCCATCGTTTTCGGCCTTTGCGTCTTTGGACTTCGATGCCTCGGCAGGCTTGTCCCTTACGTCATTCTGCCCATCCTCAGTATCCTTTTCGGCATCTTCTGCTGGCAGTTCCCTGTTGTCCACCGGCTCCGGCCTATCTTCCACAGCGGCTGACATCTTCATAGGTCCATCAGTCGCTCAATTGATTTTCGACTGGTATATTTACGTCGTTTGGAAATATGGTGAAGCAATATGTAAACTAAGACATCGAGACCAAAATTACGCACTATACTGGTAAACGGTAGCGCGTAAACATTGTTCCGGCTTAATAAGGTTATTTTGCCCCACCCTAAGGTGATCTTTCAGGGGTACGGGGTTAGGGGTGAGTATAATCCATGACCGTTGTCCGCGATGCCGTTCGCTTAGTATTCGGACACCGCCGGTGTGTGTCTGTATACTGGAACTCGTTGAACCCTTACCAAAACCTGCGTTGGCCAGGAGTGCTACAGACCAAACCAGGTACAGTGCCTCTGCGCTCTCACTGAAAGAGCAGGACGCCGGCATAGATTGTAGGCGTAAAAGCAGGATGGGTAAATCTGGTGATATGGCTGGCTTTTTGTACCCTGTGCATGATTGGAAACAATAAAGCGCAATGGTGGTTGCGAATTCACGATCGTTAACCAAATAGGCTATAAACACATTCTCAACTTCGACCAGTACTCGGTGGCACAACGTTAGCAACGTTCACAATGCCGTCGACTATTCCGCTCAGCTTGCTAGGCTCCGGACCTCCGAACTCACAATCACGCCTGCCACCACCTTGTTTTTTCCCCCAATTCACACCCACCATGACTTCCATATCTCCACCCTCCCGTCCGAAGTCACTCCCTCCTCCCTCTTTTATCCCAACCAACTACACCATCCCCCTCCAGCCTCACCCTTCACATCTAGCCCACGTTTCACTCCCTACCCCAGGATACCATCATCCTCCAACACGGCTTCGGCGAATACGCAGAACGCTACGTTACATGGCACCATACTCTGATCCCTGCGTTGCCTGACCACGGCTTTCATGTTTAGGTGCTGGGTCTAAGGGGGCATGGGGAGTCAGGTGGGGAGAGGGGCGTGGCGGATGTGGAGAAAGCGGCGGGGGAGGCGCTGCGGCTGCGGCTGCTGGGGGATGTGGAAGGAGCTGGAGCCGCCGGAGGGACAGGTAACACATTTCTGATTGTGCATTCGATGGGGGGTTTGGTGGCGATAGGGAGTGTGGCTGCGGATTCAACTGGTATAACGGGGGTGGTGCTGCTTAGCCCGGTTATTCCGTAGCCGGTAGCATGGTTGGGCATGCTGGCTGGTACCGCAGCGAGATTGGTGCCGGGGTGGACTGTGCCGGGGCTTGGGGTCGGAGAGGGTGGAATGACGAAGGACGAAGGGAAGAGGAGGGGGATGGAGGGAGATAGGCGGACTGTAAGGAAGGGGTGTCGTTTTTGACGGCCGCGAGTGCTGCAAGGGTGGCAGAACGGGCGAGGGCGTGGTTGGAGGGGTGGAGGGTCCCGACGTTGGCGTTGCATGGAACGACCAATGTGTGGGCTTATGTGGCGGGGAATAGGGGGTTGATGGAGGGGATGGGGTCAGTGGATAAGGAGCTAGTAGAAGAGAAGGAGGGTTGGCATGAGTTACTTAATGATCTGGATCGGGATGGGTTATTGACGCGAATACCCAGATGGCTGGACGATCATGTATGAAGGAGGATATATGGGAATGTTCCTCTCAGAGACCTTGTTGCTTAACTATATACATCCATTGTCAGGCTGCATTGTACTAATACCCGCCCTACTTGCTAACTGCATATCAAAAAAGCTGTACGAAAACGATCGATCTCATCCTATACCTCAACTTCGGTATTTAACAAACTGGGTAGGCGGGGTTGCTGCTAGTAACTCCATTACCATAGATAACTTGGTCTCCCGGATTCGCAAACACGGTCTGTTGCCACTCCACTGTTGCGCAGCCGTTGTTGACATTTGCCACAAAGATGTTAGGCCGAGCACTGAACTTGGCAGCATCGCCTGCGTTGTTGATGACTTCAACATTTGCGCAGTTCATGTACATCTCACGGTTTCCAGTGAGGTTGAACCATGTCCATGCCAGGAGGGCCCGGCCATTAGGTGCTTCCGACGGGATGACGAAGTCATATTTCGAAGTCAGAGGGCAGCCACCGAGCATTGACTTGATGACTTTGAAGGTGGCTCCATTGTCGTAGCTAAGGGATATCTGACATGACCCGCCATTATGAGTAGCGGTTCCCGTAAGGGACATCTCATAGGTGCTTCCAGCGGAGTAGAATGCAGTTGCACGGAAGTTGTCGGTTTGGTATCCTTTGCAGGGGAAGTTTGAGCCTAGATAATGTTAACTGGTTACATTTAAAGGTATAGTATACGTACCATCTGCGAGGAGGGGCGAAGTCATAGAGTAGTCGATATGGGACCAGTCATTGGCAGGGTCAAATCTACTGCGAAGAGGATATGGCCAGTTTAGCTCCATGTGGGCCATTGCAGGGCCAACTGCAAGGAGAGCAGTAACGATAGGAAGATAGCTAAGCATTGTAGAGCTGAGGAGAGAACCGGTTCTTTCGTAATGTAAGAAGTAGTAATATGTGTTACTGTAGAGCCACCTAAATGTGTTAGGGGGATCTAAACCATCTTATATATGCTTTTTACAGTTCCATATAGAAGCACTGGGGTGTTATAGTAGTATGCACACAGAGTAGCATTCATAGGATTGTACGTAACGGTTGTATATAGAGCGCAAAGGCGTTTAAATTGATGTCAGAAGTAACCTTGCTATTTTAGAGTTTTAGGGCGGCTTGGTAGGACGCGGAATTAAGAAACGGCCCGACGAAGAAGATTAACAAGTTGGCCTTCGTCTAGGGGGTCAGTTAGCCGTCGTAGATTCTTTAAGTGGGTTCCTGAAATACCTTAATATATAACATGACTGTGATATGGCTTAGTTATCAAACAAGTAGAGGCTCATGTGACTACATAATGGCCTTCCAAAATGATATTTCCTGACAGCATCTACATGGGACAGCTTGCCATAACATTTCCTAAAATCTAATTTGACCGCATCTTTACTATCTAGCTCGTTGAAGATTATGTTTCTCAAATCACCGAGCCCGAGGGCAGTAAACCAATTGTCTTAACGTTACCTGTAGGATGGTATATAGAGTGTGGTGTTCGCTCTCTATACCGTAGATTAGAATGTAACAGTTGTGGAACGTAACGGTCGCATAGCGTCTAGTCAAGGTACGTAAAGTCTTGGAATGTGGGGAAATAAGATTAGCTTAAATTTGACGTGGGAGACATATGGCAGTTGGTTGGCTTAAAAGATGGAAAGTAAGCATGTTTCGATTAGGTTACTGTAGGATCACAAACGTTGTAATATGGGAAAGACCGTGCCCAAGTATGAAACGTGGGGGTTCCTGGTAGAGACCTTGTGGGTATGGGGTGCAGGCCTCATCGCAAACTTAGGAAGGTGAGTCTATCCATTTGGCAGGAGGGTAGACATGCAGATCTTTAAACTACTAATTAGTTGCAGCGTCCCCAAATCGTGGATTCGACTGTGGTTCAAAGCCCGTGTCTCGTTGGCGCCTCTGCCTATGAGACTTGACAGTGGTAATAAGCTGATAGAGATAAATAGCCTACTGTTTTAGAAATGACGGCGTACCGATTGATCGCTACCCCATGATACCGGTAATGACAGTGGCGTCAACTTAATATTCTGCTCCAAAGAGCCACCGTGCGTAAGTAAACTTCCTACTGCCACGTAAATATAACACCCCGCCTTTGACCGGCTTCGCCGGCTTGGCGGCGCTTTCTCTGTCACAGACCCCCCAATTTGTCGATGTATAAATCGCTCACATACTTTTTGTTCTGGCCCCAACCTTGAGCTGTGCCTATTCATGAGCTGGCGGGAAATTATATATCTATTATACACAACATGTTGGCGATTTCGCGACTGTTTACGGCTCCATATAGCGTTTCCGTTTTGGTACCTACTCTATCTATTCTAACTTTTATCCAACATAGATTCAGCTTACTGTCTTAAAGACAACTGCAATCATAATTGCGAGACCCCGAAATGTAATGGCTTATTTCCAAGGTAGAAATAACTGGAAAATGTAACTTATTTCGTAACCTCCTACAGCAGAAAATGGATATCATCCCTCCATTTCGCACTGCACTCATTACTCTCTTTGGGTGCCCTTATATTATTCGCTCTGTCCTCAACTCAGTACTTTCAAGCAATCTGTTGGCTTACTTCGCTTTACCGTCTTTTGTCAACTGCCTTTACCTTTCAGCCCAGTCGATATGTTGGCCTGCCAGTCGATCGGTCCTATCCCCATTCATCATCACCAAAAGTCGCAATGGGCTACTGCGCCAAGGAAGCCTTTGAAGAGGCTTCCTGTCGGGAGACCCACGAACATACGACACCATGTCAAAACATAACCCCTCTTCCCCCCTCGTTGGAAAGTATTCTTGAGTTACAATAGCATACAAATTTAGCGGTTTCAAAATCTTTCTGCTCAAGTCTTTAGGTGCTTCTAAGCCTCATCATTATGTTCCATTTCTCGTTATTTCTACACACTTCCTCTGCGTCCTCTTCGCCACACATACCTCGCTGTATATCAGCACCTATTTACCGAATATCAAAACTTAACCCACCCACACTTCTAAAGTAAGTATCGCTGGCAGTTGCTGGAGACAGATCAGGATGCTCGAATATCCACACAGTTCCCGGATATACCGGGTCAAATGAATCTGTCGAACTTCGCCCAGTAGTTAGGAGAGTTGGCCGTCCAGTGCATTCTATCTTTCGCATCCGAGCCAATATGGAGTGACCAACTAATTCCTGGAGATAGTCTTGAGACTCCCAATATGTGAAGCGAGGATTAATACATAGGTGGAACTGCCTCAGCTTCTTCGCGAAAGCTAACAAGTTCCGAAAAGCCGTAACATCTTTTTGCTTTTCCAGGCTCGACTTAGAAATTCTGATAGTGAACCTCGTTAAGCGGCTAAATATGACTGAAAGCTCGTCGAATCGTTCTTTAAATTTAAACGCACTTAGCGGAACGGTGATATAATCTTGCCAGAGGTCAAGCTCTTCAATATTTGCTCCGCTTTTAGTGATTGAATCCAAAAGTATTCCCATATGCTCCCCATTAATCGTAGCATCCCAAGGTTTCTTCTGTCGCCTAACCCACTCCACATCCGAGTACATCCTTAACGGGCTCATACGTTCTTCACGAGCCACTAACCACCCCTTCTGAAACGCAAATGCTAGTCGAACGGTCTTCACCGAAGGGAGTTTTCTCAGCCCCTCCGTCAACGCCCGACTCTCATCGAACGCGCTGGATTTCGCCTCTTTAACTACCTCTAGATACTGCCACAGTCCAGGGTGATTCTCAAGCCAGCCTTTACCCTTCTGATCACGAGTGCGAGGCTCTGCTTCGTACCTCCAAGGCCTAGGCCAAAGTCGGCACAACTCTTCGAAGGGGAATTCCCTGAACCGCGTGATGTCGTATGTAAGAGCCGTTACGTGCTCACCGAGGAATGGATGGTCACACACACCCATGAAGGCTTTGCGATCTTCTAGGTAGGGGCCGAACCACAGCTGTCTAATGAGCGGGACCTCAGACGAGATGGCGTGAAACCTGCGTGAGACGAGTCGGAGGGCAAGGTGGGCGGGTGTGGATAGATTGGATATTATTTGCAGGACGACTTCTGTTGGAAGGAGATCCCAACTGTGCTTTTTTTTGTCCCTGCGAGGTCTAGGCTCTCGGTGATGGGAGATTTGCGGGCGCGGCGAGGGGTCATCCATTACGATTTCACTGTTGGCTAATGTTGGCGTTTTTGTGACTGTTCTAGATAGTGCTGGGTTGAATATTTCTGTTGTAGAGCTCTAAGATATTTGTTCGTCAAATGTCAAAGAGTTTACATCTTCAACATTGACTGCATGAGTGTTAGTTGTATGACTCACTCGCAGCCTGCTTGGCAGGTTTATATACCGCGAGATTTTTAATTTGAATGGACCCCAAATTAAGCCAAAGTAGCAGTCCCAAGCTCTTCCCTATTCCAGACTCCCTAATTTCCGAGCACAGAGTCGCTAACATGTATATAGCCACTATATACTACGTGTTGGTGATTTCGCGACTGCACCAGCTCCCACAGCGTTTCTATTTACAGTAACTTACAAAACATTCTCATAACGAGGCAGGCGTAGATACTTCTGGATTTACCGATGGCATTATAGGACAAGCACTTCTCTATGCAATGAGAAATATGAACCGAACCGCATTAATCCTATAGTTTGAAACCATTTAATTCAAAGCGGCATTGCTCTAGTATCTAGAGCCGTTTCTAGTCCGATCAAGTAGGCGGCCCCTCTCTCTTTCTCACATTGCGCTTCTTCGGGCGCAGCCACTCCTCCATCCCCGGCGGCCAGTACACCCTGCTGTCTTCTCCTCCCATCCCAATCTCGTCCTCAGACATCTCATCCATCTCTCTTATTATCTCTGACGATACGTTGCTAACCTTCTTAGTATCCCTAGTAGCCTGCGCCTCCGCCTCTCTCAATTTCCTCCTCACTGTCCTCTTTTCATCTTTGCGCTCGTATGGGATTATATCTGCGAAACAATCCCACCCTGGTAGCTTCAACGTGCGCATGAGTCCAAACACAGCCTGCTCCTTGTCTTTGGCCTCGATCATTAGATCCATATCGTTGGGGCACGGGGGGAGGCTTGACGGGCGGGGGTTGTGTCGTCGTCGTTGTCGTGCTGTGACGGCCTCGGGCCGTGGCTCGGAGTAGTGCATCTTTTGCCTTATTCGCTTGCGGTCCCAAGTCGCTTTAATGCGTGGGAAAAGGGGTATAATGTCGTGAGTGCCCTCGCGGACCTGCGAGGCGTCGAATATAATGTTGTGGTGGTGGAAGTCAAGGACGAGTGGAATGTTTAACTCTTCGCAGACTGGTAAGAGGTCATGTACTGACCAGCTTACATCGTCATTTTCAAGCACCAGCCGCTTCTTAATCGACACCGACAACGCCTCATAGTTCGCCTTGAACCGCTCAATAGTCGCCGTCTTATCGCCAAAGGTTCCCCCTAGGTGCAACACCATCACCGCGTCTCTGTCCTGTTGTTCTGGCAGCTTCAGCAAAGATAGCATCTCATCGTGATACTCTAGGTCTCTAACTGCATTCTCTACGACCCCCTGCCGTGGACTTCCTAGCTGCGTGTATTGCCCCGGATGCATCGTGAGCCGATGCCCTAGCTTTGCCCCCAGCTTCCCTACCTCCGCGAGCGCCCTTGCAGCAAAAGGCGCGAGCCTGTACCCATACACCTCGTGGCTAGCAAACGGGAACATGTCGCTGCTCAGCCTCATAAAGCGGATCCCGTACTTGTCGTTCCACCGCAACATCCGTGGGACATCTCGCACGTTCGCAAGGCCAATCTCTTCGACGTATCGACAACCCCTCGCAACATCCGCCGGGGCCGCCTTGTTCGGTCGATTATGTATCGCATGTTCGGGTAACATCTCGTTATGGAGGGGGTGTCTGTGAGCGAGGATGCTCGCAATGCGACACGTCCGCGAGGAGAACACTGGCGGGGTCGAGGTACGGAGATAGGTGTTTATACAGGCGTAACCAAGTCTCCCTTTCCATGGAAGGGGGAGGTACTCGCTATTTACCGGCGGCGGCCGTGCAGCATCTCTTTTCACGGCTGCAACATCCTCGTCGATGTCTGCCCCTGATTCGGGGTCTATCTCTGTTCCGTCCTGATCTTCTATCTTGCTCGTGGTCTCGGCGTCAGGTTTGGGCGCCTGTCTCGCTTTGCTAGCGCGTGTCCTATCAATGTCTTCCTTATCCATGCGGATTCTCTTAGCAGGCTGCCTCGTCTTCCTGCTCATTTCTAGTGTAGGCTCCGAGAGATCGGACTGCTTGTCTTCATACGCCTCCTCTCCCACATCACGCTTCCGTACCAATGACCTGGTAGCTCGCATTGGCATCACTGTACTGATTGCAGATGCGCAGTACGCTCTCTTCACTAAGCTTGAAAGACGAGTCAAGTGGGAGTAGGAGGACGGAGGTTTTACAGGGAGAGAGGTGGAGATGCGTGAGCTAATACGCCAGGAGGCTACAACCATGTAGCTACCGAACGAATTGAATCTGTGACGCGTATTATTCGTCCGCCTCTAAAGCTGTCGGTATAGCTGTTGTATAGCCATCTCAATTGCTATATGTATCCCAAAGTTGTTATCGCAGGCAAATGCGCGCCCTAGACGGAGGGATGACGTCTGTGACTGCTACGTCATCACCATATTCTCTACCTCACGCGAGTACTTACTCACGCCCAACTACTAGCTGGGCGGGTATGTACCTGTAATGGAGCGGGTACCCGTAGCGGGAGGCGCCTGCTAATTGTCAGATGACAGCCAAGTCCAGGATGTGTCGCCGAACATGCGAGCGATTCCGAGAAAGCGAAAACTATGTGGGCTCTCCCAGAAAAATTGACTGGCAAGACGTTTAATTGGTAGTTACAGGCAAACGCAAGTGCACTATGGAACTGCTTTAAATGTGTTCTTATTATGGCTTTCAGATGTATTGACAGTATAAACAGACTAGTTATCCTTCAATGCTGCCAAGGTCGAGAAAATCTGCCCAGTCCCACCAAATCTAAGCCCCCTTCTCCCCCTTTCCCGTACAATCTAGAGTTGTATTGTTAGCCTCATTTCTGCCTCAACCGAGAATTTTCAGAGTCCTCAATAAAACTAAGGGATTTAGAAACGTACCAGCACATCCAAGTCATCCAGAACATCCTTATTCTCATCCAACCTGAAATAAATCCTCCTCAGATCACTCAGCGCTGATAATACACCCCTTCCATCATTAACAGGCGCAAGCTCTTTCATGGCATCCAGTAGTATTACCGCATACTCTTTTGCCTCGCCCCACCGGTTTTGTGCACTGCAAAGATCTTCCAGGCGCTTTATTGTTGTCAGAACATATGGATCAAGATGCGTGGTTGCAGCTTTTTTCTGTGACGCCAGGACGCCCAGATATAGCATTTCTGCGTTATCAAACTCCTTTTGCTTGACAAGAGTCTTTGCGAGGGATTCCATTGCATCTAGGGTCAGCGGATCATCATCGCCCAAAATTCGAATCCGCGACTCCATGATCGTCAGTTCGAGCGCCTCTGCTTCATCCAGTCGACCTTGGTACCAGTAAATATTCGCAAGCTTGACTTTGGTGTCAATGTAGTCCTCGCTGTCTTCACCCGCCATTTCGAGGTATATCTCTAGCATCTCCAATCTCAACTTTTCAGCCTCGCCGTACTTCTTAATCTCCACATAAGTATATGCTAGGTTGCTCATTGATTGCAACGTTTTTTCGTCCGCTGGACCCAAAGCTTGTCGCCTATATTCTAAAATAGTGACGTCAAAAGGTTCACATTCCTTATACTTCTCTTGGCTGCTATATGCCTCGCAAAGGATATCCATAGATTCGATAGTGTCCGGATGGTCAGCCCCGAGAGTTCGTTTTGATATATCGACAACCTGCTTCTGGAGTTCTTCAACTTCTGGCCAGAGCTGTAAAAAGTGGTATGCAGTGACGAGTCCCTGCCTAGCTGCATTTGTCTTTGTATGCTCGGCGCCGTATTTCTCAAGTGTTCGTGCGTACATTTCATGGGCAAAGGGCTGTACATCTTCCCAGCGTTCCATGTCAGCGTATACAATCGCAATGGTTTCGATGCTTTCTAGAGTATCCTCGTGCGAGTCTCCGAGTAGTTTTCGACGACCCTGGAGTGCCTGTTCATATAGTGTTGCCGCCTCTTGCAGATTTTCTAAACTATGGTGCAGAGACGCGAGATCAAATAGAGCCCCTAAAACATCCTTGTTCTCTTCATCGTACAAGTTCCGATATCCTTCTAAAACTTCTTTCTGCAAAACCATAGCTTTGTCAGCTTTCCCGATGGCAGTATAGTCATATGCCAGACATTGCATCAGATGCAACGCGTCGTGTTTATCCGACCCTCTGACTTTACGTTCAATTTCTAGCGCCTTTTCATGATAGTCGCAGGAATCCTGTCGATTTCCCGCATTTATGGCAGCTGTTGCGAGGAATTGGAGGCATGTTCCAACTTCGAGACTCTCGGCGCCAAGGAGTTCTTCATAGATAGCAAGCGCTCTTTTCACCGTAACCACGCCATCTTCAGTTCGACCAGCTCGTAAATACATTCCCCCTAGATTTACTAATGCCCTGGCCACATCACCATCCACCTTCCCATGGGTAGCTTCGAATGATTGCAGGGCTTTCTCCTGTAACACAATTGCTTCTTCGCTTTTGTTCGTTTTATTGATCAAGACAGCGAGCTCGGTCTCCGCCGACAGCGTTTTTGGATCGTCATCGCCGAGAGTAGTTTTATATGCGGACGCTATCTCTCGACTTACCTGTACGGCTTTCTCGAAGAGCTCCTGCTTGTGGAAGTTTTGGAGCAACGAACGTTTGGTTTTCAGTGTCATATCATCTGTTGGACCAAGCGCCTCTTGTAGTAGATCAACGGCCTGCTGCCAAAGAATATTGGCTTCCAGCAACCGGCCTTGGTTCTCGTACGTTTCAGCAAGCCCCGTGAGATTAGTTTGTGTTTCGAGGTGTTGAAGTCCATGTTTGGCTTTCAAGTTCTCCAACAACTTAAGTTGAATGTCGGACGCCTCCTTAAACTTTGATAGTTTATTGTGGAGCTGTATAAGAACCGCCATTGCTCTCATAGTGTAATATGACTGCCCTCCCCTAGTCTTCATGGCATGCTCCATGAGGCTTTGATATATGAGCTGCGCATTGTCCCAACTGCTATGCCTTTCGTGGGTTTGGGCGAGATTGAGAAGGGAGATAAAATAGTCAGGATAAGCTTTCTTTTTGATGTACTCAAGAATTCCCAGCAAATATATGACATCTGCTTCGGCATCGTCCCAGCGTCCTAACCTACAATCTGTGTGCGCGATATTGAATTTTACCATTAACACATCGCGATTGTGAAACCCGACACCATCTCTGGAACCCATCGTTCCGTGAAGCTCCTTCTGATATTCTAAAGCTTCTTCAGCTTTTCCTTCAGCTGCATCTACAAGAGACAGGTTAAGCCGTGCGATGTCCGTGTTAAGGTGATTTTCCCCTAGGCTCTTGAGGGCAAGCTCGAGCACTTCTTGTCCATAACTTCTTGCTTCTTCCAGGTTTCCCGCATGAAGTAAAATCCGGACGCGACTACTGCGTGACTCAAATAGATCTGCATCGTCGTCTTTCAGGTTCGCTTCCCGGTACTCATAAACAATCCGTTCTAGAGCCACTGCCTCCTGGAATTTGTCTTCGAATAACTGATTAGCTTCCGCAAGTTCGGAAATGGCAAAAATTGTGTCGGGGTGGGCCTCTCCCAGATCTCTTTTGGAGTTCTCCATCAGCTGGGTGTTCATCACCAGAAGCTGTTCTGGGGAGTCATCTTCTTCGGGCATGGATCTGAAAAACACTTCTTTCGTTTCTTCCAACGACGTAGCTACACCTGCAACGCTAATCATCTTCATCTGGAGATACCCAAATATCTTCCTACTATTTTCGAAAAATACCGTGTGTTCTGGGTCCTCAATTACATAGTCTGGATCCATAGCATCAGGATGTAAATGTCCTACAGGTGTCCGATTTTCTGAATCTGCAGCCCACACGTCTGCACCATTCTCGACGAGAGCAACAACTCGCTCATAGTTGCCAATCATGGCAGCTACATGGAGTGGAGTTCTTCGGTGTCCAGGTTCAACCTGATCGAGTAGCATCAGATAAGTTTTTTCTGCTTGCAGTCGATGTCTTGATATATCAAAATCTCTATTTTTCGCATTCGGACTTAGCTCTGGACAACGTCCTACTACTCGAACGAGTGACACTACATCTAACTCGTCGATAGTGCAGATTTCTGCCCCTGCTTCAACTAGTGCCGCAATAGCTTCTATCTCTCCGCTAATGCAAGCCCAGTGTATTGGGGCATAGGGGTTTTTGCGATCCATAGGGGTGTTAATTAACGCACGCACCCTATCGTGTCGAAGAAGGTGAAATAGTACATGAGATCCATTGACTTTAGAGGCTAGGCGAGCAGCGACGTGTAGGATGGTGGTCTCTGTTGGCGATGTCAACTCAGCACCGCGCTCGATTAAGAGATCAATAACATCGCCATCTCCAATGGGGGTCATGATGGCCAACTCAAGTGCATACCGCTCTTGGTATATTGCATTCATGTCTGCGCCATGATCTAGCAGAGTGCGAATAATCTGATAGCCTCCAGGAATCATAACGGAAGAATGAAGTGCTCCGATAGCGCCATCTTCTTCAATATGCGGGGCATTCACGTCAATATCACCACTTTCTAGCACGGCTTTGAGAGTCTCCTCATCGCCGTAAAGACAGGTTTGATTGAGGAGCACGGGCGAAGCCTTTATCTTTCCGGAACTCAGCAGCAGCTTCATGATCCGACCGCCTCGTCCGTCATTCCTTTTGGCTAATATATTCACGACCCTTTCAGTAGAGATGTTGAGCTCAGCGCCACGGCCAATAAGGACTTCCAGCTGGTCTAAATTTATCTCGCAAGCGCAGTCGTTAATTGCATTGGCTAATGGTGTGTGACCAAAGTCATCAGGCACATTGATATCCGAGAAGGTTGACTTGAGTACCATATCGAGTGTAGATTCGAACTGCGATCGAATTTGGTTCCCATGTTGCAGTAGTGACTGGACACCGTTCGATAGTCCTTGATGTAAAAGAGGACTTTGCATACCGCTAGATGGATGAGATTGAAGGAAAAGTGTTGTCAATTCTGGGAAGCCAAGAGAGACGGCAAGATCTAGAGGTGTCAATACCCCGCCACGTGTGGCGGCACCTGCTTTAAGCAATACCTCAATCAATTTATAGTATCTGGCCTGTACAGCAAAGTGTATCGGCCTAAACACAAAGCGAATCGAATGCTCTCGTAGCTCTAGCACCTCTTTCGAGAACAAGTCAATGTCCCCCGAGTGGTCTTGAAGAAGCTTGACCATTGGCTCAAGTTCGTCTTCCTCGAACATGATCATCCAATGAAGCGGCGCGGGCCCTTTACCGCCCAGGCGCTGTGCAGTTGCACCGTTGCGAAGAAGGAACCGGACTATATCCGAATTGGCGCCTCGGCATGCAGCTGTCACAGGTGTCCCGCAGCCTTCGGAGTGAAGGTTAACATCAGAGCCGGCATTAACAAGAAGCTCTACAATTGGGAGGCATCCTAGTCGTGCGGCTAAGTGAAGCAAAGATCCAAACTGCGTAGAATCGAGGGATGAAACCCTCCCAACCAAGGATGAGATATTGATGCCCCCCCTTGTAATTATAGTCTGTAGCTCATCAATTCGTACGAAACTAAGATCCTTCGCAATCAGAACGTCGTCCGAGTAGAGATCAAACGGCATCTGTAGAATAGACTGTTGAAACAAGGACTCGTGCTTTCGAATACGTGCTGAAAAGTACTTCTCGGCTGGAAGTCTAATCAACTGATCTTCCGCCTCGAGCATAGGGTGGCCATGTGATAACGTCTGGGGAAGCTCTCGTGAGTACGATTGATGTATTCTATGGCAAATTCCCACGGCCATAGGAAGTTTCAGCGACGCAGCTTCCCGTAGATATTCAAGCATCTTCTCCTGGTCGGCTTCGACTCCAAATCCATGGAGGTAGCACATGCTCAACTCGAACAAAGTTCTCCCGAGAATGGCTGGATCTGTATGGGTAGAGGCCATCGATTGCAATCTCGCGAATACTCGTTTCTGCAGAGGAAACGGGACTGTGTTTGCAAGTGACTGTCTCCTGTTAGCTACCTGGGTTGATGGCGGACTAGTTCCGTACTTACATCGGCCCTATACAACGACCATCTTTCGAGCGTTGAAAGTTGAGAAGTCCCAAAAGAGGATATTATTGTCATCTTCCTATAAAGCATATCTCATCAGTAAGCGTTTAAACCTTCCATACAGAAACTCACTTTTCTTTTGCAACAAATTCTCGTTCCAAGTTGAAAAGCTTCATAACTTCCCCAATAGTTACTCGATCTGCTGCATCATCCCTCAAGGTAGACTCCAACACATTTTGCAGCAATGTAATTTTGGCTGCATCAGCCGGTAGAAGATCTTGAGTAGCCAGCAATGCAAGGCGCAGAAGATCATCTCTCGGCAACCCATTAAGCCAGGTGATGGGATCGTCTCGATGTTGACGGTCAGCATATCTTTTTCCATCCTGCACAATCTCCCACACCATCAAGCCATAAGAAAAAATATCACATTTATAGTGATCTTCTCTCATCGTCGAAATCGACTTTCCCTGTCGCACCGCCGGCGGATTAAAGATAGTCGTCCCGATATACCTCGACTCATCATCAAGAATCGAGTGTCCAAAATCCGAAAGCTTCGCCACAATCTCCCCACCATCAGTCTCACAAACAAGCGTATTCTCCAGCTTCACATCTCCCTGCGCTATCCCAGACGCGTGCAACGCAGCCAACCCATTCGCAATTCCGCTGCAAAACCTGATCTTCTCCACAACCGACACCTTCTCGCCCGCCTCCCTCTTCTTCCCCAGATACCCCCTCAACGTGCCATGCGCCGCAAACTCCGCAACAAGATACAGCGATATATGCTCTCCCACAGTCCGCGACCCATACCCAAGGAGCTGAACAATATTCTCACACTCCCTAATCGGGTTATGGGTCAGCACCCTCAGTTCCCGGAGCACAGTCTCAATCGAACGCCTACTCTCCACATCATCCACCTTCCTCGACGGATGCTCAGTAGTCTTAAGATACTTAATAGCCAAAACCTTCGCATCGCCTTCTCTATTCACCTCCCCCCTATCAACGCGATAGCAAGCACCCTCTCCAATCCCGAAGGCCGTGCCCGTCGGCATGAAACTGGTGGTTTTAAACCGATCCAAGTCGGGGCAATGAAGCACAAATTGCCAAACATCAGCGAGATCGAGACCCGGCGGGGTAGCTCCGGCGGAACTAGACCCGGATGTATCAGCTGCAGCTGGGTAGTCGTTGGAGTCGGAGAGCACGGTGCGCGCCGTCGCCTCGGTGAGGTCGTAGATGTCCATCTTTATGATCCGAACCAACTTGGCAGTGTAGCGCCCACGCCTGGCAAAGGTTGATGATGAGGGGTACCCGTCATTATGAGGGTGAGAGCTGAGTATAGTGTGAGTGACTTGTTCGTGCGGCTGAAATATTGGCTGCGTGCTGGCCGCGTGGGGGACGGGACGGACCCTGTCAGCTGTCAGGTCTGGAGCGGCCCATGAGATGGTGGCGGACGCTTTGACTCCGCTGTCATTCGGCTGGTATCCGTAGTCGGGATTCAAGCTTCAAATACAGCACAAGCCGCCGAAATATAAAAAACGTGGTAAATGCAGTGATGCGCTCCTATAATTCCAATATATCGTCCCCCGCTGGCTAGATCGCTCGCTATAAAATCAATCTATCAATCAGTATACACTCTACGCTATCCCGCTCCAAAATGAACGAAACAAATGGGTATTATATCCCCCTCTTCCCAAAACCACACATCTTCCCTACGATTTTCCTCCCCTACGCTTTTCACATCCCCTACGCTTTTCACATCCCCTACGCATTTCACATCCCCACCCCCTCCCTCCCCATCCCAATCAACCTCTGCACAACACTCTTCTTCCTCTCCACCCCCTTCCCCACCCCCCCATCAAAGAAAAGCGCCGGAACCAACAACCGATACGGCGCCGTAATCCCCGCCGGATCCCGCTGATTAACCTCCACATTCAACGTAATCTCCAGCCCCCCCTCAAGATCAATCGCATCCTCCTCCCTCGGCTCCCTCCCAGCCTTCGCCGCTTTCAAACTCAACCCCGTCGGCGTCCGATGGAACGCCCTCAGCGGCGGAACGCGCGGCGACCCGATCGCTTCCGCGGATTGCACGCGTTCGGATAGGGAGTTATTGCGGTGGCTTGGTGGCGGACGTTCGTGGGCCCGTGTGCGTGGTAGTGCCGCGGCGGTGGATAGAGGTGGAGATTCGTCGAAGCTGAAGCCGTCTGAGCTGCTCTGGTTGCGCACAGGTTGTTTACCCTTGTGTTTAGCGCTGAAGTAGTCGTCATCACCCGCACCGCCCCTGATGCGCGGGATTCGTACGTCTTCGCTGCTATACGGCGGCTCGGAGTCGGTCTCGGAGCCGTAGCCGTTGATGCCGCCACTGTTGCTGGTGCGCTTGCCTTGTCGGCCTGAGAGACGTCGGAAGAGCGCTGCGGGGCGGAAGTCTCGAGTGAGACTTCGCGTACGCTGGGGTGTCTCGGGTCTTCCCCCGGGGTAAGGCTCCGTCGGGCGTCCTCGGCTGGAAGATAGACGGCGTAGGAGACCGCTGCCGCCACGTGCAAGAGGCGGGCGGGACGGTTCATTCCGCATCGGTGCATCTGCGCGATATGTTGGGCGGCGCGTCATGGAGAGGCGGCGGAGAAGACCAGGGCGTTCGGGACTAGGGCTGCGCTCGTCGGATGGTGTTGAGGGGGGTGAGAGCTCCGGGTTGTATGGGCGGATAGAGCACCAGTTGCGGCGGGGGAGGAGGCAGTTGTTGTTGCGCTTCTTGCCGTCCACGTCGTGGGTGAAGATGGGGATCATGCTCTCGTCGGTCTCGTCGTCGAAGTGGTGGACTTTGTTGCGCTTGTTGAGGATGTCGGCCATCATGTCTGGTGGAGGGGTGTTTACGATGGCGGAGGATACGACGTTGGGCATGTACCTGTGGTCTTTGTCTTTGGGGATTCCTAGCTTGGGGTTGCTGTAGAACTGCCCGATGGCTGCGAGATGCACGTCACCGCCGAGAATGGTAATGCGAACTGACTTATCAGCTGCTAGGTCTTGAAGGTCTTCGATGAGGTATTGTCGCTCCTTTTTGTGGCTTTTAGCAGTCCAATGGTCATCAAGATCGTCGAGAATCTCAACACCACCATCAAATTGATTGAGAAAGCTGCCGAATAGCCCTGCCCGACCAAGAGCCTTTACAGGATCCATGACTTTCGAAGTAAGACTATCAATCGTTAGTAAGCGCCGTATCGGCTTCAGGGTTGCTGACTTACATATTCTCAAGCCACACGAGTCTGGGGTATGCAATCGGAACACCCATCAACACAATAAGATGCTTAGTTTCACCCAAAACAATCTCATCGTGACATCGGTCCATAATCATGTGGTAAGTTTCTTCCGACAACACATCTTCGCGACCGCGCTCAGTCCGGCAATCCATCCCAAGAAAGGAGATGCCCGCTCCCATAGACATGAAAACACTGCGGCTGTGCTCTTTGATATATGGCCCAGGGCTTTCACCGATAAGCCAGCTAGGTTCCGTATCTTCCCCCTCGTCGATGCTACTCTGGTGTTGAAAGAGCATGTAGTACTTGAATGCAACGTTGCCCAACCCCGAGAATACTGGCGATTCCATGAAGTGGTGCGGATACGATCCAAAGCCATCAATGATATCGTGGTCATCGAAGATATTCACCATAGGAATCTGAGAGTTGGCGAGGCCAAACAAGCCCTGAGAAAACCACGTAGAATACCTGTTGAGATAGAATTCCTCCAGTTCATCCTGCATCTCTGGCGTAAATGACGCATTGTGCTTATGGATCGGGTTTTTGGTAGAAAGCCAATCCGCGAAAAGCTCCGTCTGATTCATGACACAATCATTGTAAATCTGATCTCCGCCTCCAATCATGACATGGAATGGCTGCGTTTGGTGGGTATTCATCACATCGCGCCACATCGGGTCGGGTCCGCTGAACTCATCCGAGTTAACACTGAGACTGAAGCCGTTGCAGCTGTGGAACATCATGTTCATGGACTGTCCCAGAGCTGGAACCCAGAAACCGGTTGCCGGACCATTGTTGATCTTGTATGCAATGCGTTGTTGCTTGTCAGTAAGCTCAACTTCAATATTGAAACGCCAAAATGTAACACCACGTTCAGCATGTAGACGGAATCCCTTCACAGTAGCCACTTTTCCTGCCATCTCGCCATCCACCTGGCCAGCAGAGCCATCTGCATGAGCTGACGGACTGCGTTGTCCCTCAAAGATGCCTTCATCGGACTCATTTCTCGACAGATCAATAGCCTCTTCTAATTCCTCCACCGGGCGAACATACAACGTCTTCCCATCGCGCCCAACCTTCGTCTGCCCAGCAAGAGGGTCAACATACTCTGGCGCAACATCAGCGCCGCTCTTAAAGTGACGCGGCGGTGGCGGGAACAGAGATTTCGGCTGGGCAAATAGACGTAGAGTCGGCACCGCCTCATCGTACTTGGAACGTGCATCCTCTGTGACTATCATCACACTGCCTCTCCAAATTTCTTTGGCTGGAGCTGCCGCACGACTCCCGGGTCGCTGAGACGCCTTCTCCTTCTTCATACCAGCGTAGCGGAGTAGAGGTCCACACTTTAAGAATAGTCGTGGGCTAAATCCAGTGGGACCATCCTTGACCACCTTGTGAGTCTCTGCATTCTCAGTTGCTTTCGCAACACTACGTCTTCGTCTCCCAGTGTTCCCAGCTTCCCACCATGCCTTATCCTTATCCGCTTCTGTTTGCTTCGGTAGAGGCTCCTTCACATCAAGCAACGTCCTGGTCAGAGATGCCACGCCAGCAGTCTTCCACTCAAACAGCCGTTCTGGAGGGGCGTATAGGCCATATCCTGGCGTAAACGGATCTCGCTTGTTTCGGCCTGCATGGACAATCTTCGAGAAGTAATGGTGCCCATCCGGCCCTGTCGCTGCCTGCTCCTGGCCATAGTTTCCAGCAGCAGCCGCCGCGGGAACAGCATACCTCGGTCCATTTACAGTCGCCATATCCGTTGCTCCACCGTCGAGCTCACGCTCACGGTTGGCATTTAACTCCGGACCCAACTCCTCTGAGCGATCAAGCCTGTCCGCAAAGAGTTGCTGTTGCTGTGGAGACATTGTTCTTCGGATGTCTGTCCCGAGTTTATTTCCCATCAGTTGCTCAATCTTCCGCGTCGAGTTTCCTCGTATTGGCACGGCGTCTGAAGTATCATCATCAGACAGTCCTTCCGTATCCAAATTATTTCTATCTTGGCGTTTTGAACCACCACTAGCCAGAACAGCAGAACCCAGGGCAGCAGCGCCCAGGACAGCAGCACCACGGCCTCTATGTCCAGCATTGGTCTGGGCGGAGTCCAAGGGCACCGCCGAGAATCCTCGCTGCGTCTGGCCATCATGACCTTGAGAGTTGTTTACCGCTGCAGCCGCATTACCCGCTTTCAGCTCGTCTGCCATAACACCCCAATTAGATTTTGGCTCTTTCTTTTTCAGCTTGTTACTATTACTCCGCTGCAAAAACGCTCCCGCGCGCTCTCGGAAGCTCCGTCCTCGCTGAACCCCAGGTTGCACATCGGGTTGAGGAGGCGCCGCAGTCTCACTCTGAGGCTCAGGATGTGGCTGGAGTTGAGGCTTCGGCTGATAACTAACATCTTTTCCGATGGGAGCAGGAGGTCGCACAGGCACCGGTTTCATGCTTTCTTGCAGACTCGGAATCTGGCGGTCATCCTGTCCAACGATACCCAATCCCCTTGTATCTCTCTCTCTCTCTCTTGGTATCTCTCTTTCCTCTGGCAAAGCCCGCGGCTCGCTTCTCGCATCTGCGGGTGCTCTGGCCCCGAAATGGACGGTGTTTTGGCCAGTGCGGCCTGTTTTTGCCTCTCTTGCGCGCCGTTCGGCTTCTTCCATGCGTGCACGCTTCTCTTCCTTGGTGATGAGAGTCCGTTCCAACTTCTGCAGCGGCGACCTCTCTGACGTGTACTGCTGCTGTGCCCCTGCCTCGGTAGCGCTTGATCGCCTTCGGTTTTGCGAATTAGCAACCGCGCTCCGGATTTCCGGCCTCTCCTTTCGCGCTTGTACGCTCCCTCGTCTTATATTTGATCTCTCGGCGTTGTCGTCGCGACTCGCGGGATTCCCAGAAGTATTTGCTCGACCGAGTTCCGTATCGACATTCAGTGGCCTACGCCCAGCCCCGCGATCTTTGTTCAATTGGGAAGCTTCGCGGTAATAATCTTCGGGGTTCTGTCTAGCGCGTTCGACGGGTTCGGATGGCCTCCGAGACCTGATGCCCTCCGACTCCAAGTATCGGTCGCCATTGGACTGCGGAGGCCTATAGCTCGATGGGGGACCCTGCCGAGGAACTTCTGGGGCTGCTGGTGGAGGGCCAGTGCTTTCTTCGAATAGCTGTTGGGCCTTTTCTCGACTGGCGCGTTTGCGCCGTCTCTCCAACGATTCCTTGTTGTAGGGGTCTCCGCCGTATTGGTATGAGGGAGGTCGAGGCGCAAGACCTTCGGCGCGGAATGTCGACTCGACTGGCGATGCGAATGGGCTCAGCGTCGATTCCGTAGGCGCCTGGCTCTGGATCGAATAGCGGTCGGGCCTGGGCTGGGGCTGAGGCTGGGGGGCTCGAGGATATGGTTCAGTAGGGAGGGCTTTCTGCAGATTCGGGCCCGTAGATCCATTGCCTAGAGAGCCCTTTCGAAGAGAGCCCTGTCGTTGAGCGACAACTTCGGGCGGTGGGTTGATAGCTCCCCAGTACGGCGCTGGCTTGCCGGCCATGTCGATCGAAGCTATCTCCGACAGCTACAACGGGCAACAACAAGTGAAATTGACGCGATGTGGATATGCTGATGCGAATGGAGATGGAAGTGTAAACTCGCGGTTGAAGATGCAGGGTGTAGCAGATCACAATGGGGTATTTCCAAGCAAGAGCAACTGTCACCGACACAATTTGACGAACGTTCGTCTCATAGGGCAGCAGTCGAGGCCATTGGAGCTGAAGTTGGGTTGGGGGTTCCAGGGTGTACCTTAGCTCACCGTCGCAAACGAAACGCAGGGACCCTCTCACGGCACAACTTTGAGGGAGTGCCGCGCGCCTTTAGGGATGGATATAGCAGAGAGCAAGCGTTAATAAGAAGCAGGAAGCAAAAGATGAAGCCTGAACTGTATGTATCAATCACAGACAAATGTTTACATTCTATTAACAGCAAGTAGAGGAAGGGCCAAGGAAGTCCACGGTAACTAACCTACATGGTACTCTATCATGAGTTGGCAGTTGGCATGCATATATTCCCAAAGTAGCGCAAGGCTGGGTATAACAAGGGTATAACAAGAGTATAATTATGTATAATAGTGTATAATAGTGTATAATAGCATAATTATATAACAAAGAGTCAGCGTCTAAGATGCGTATAACAAGACACGACATAGAACAAAACAGCACAGCACAGCACAACATAGATAGGCACAGCATTGTACAGCCAGCCAGCCAGCCAGCCAGCCATGGTCTAAGTGTACACATAGTATCCACAGTAAACATAAAATCCACAGGTTATCCCAGGCTGCTGACTAAGCAGGGCGTTCAGCCTTCCAGAATAATACCCAGTAACTTGATCAGGAATGGCGCCGGTACTAGCCGTAACCTCAAGGGGAAAGTACGGGGTATATCTTATCCTATCTTATCCTATCTTATCCCTAGTAAGTAAGCCTAATAAAGACGGCGCATCAGTTATTCCGTTCCAGATGACCTAATTGACCTAATAGGTAAGGCGTCAATCTGCCGTCCGAGACACTCTTGGCTTCAGTGGCTACATGGGCTACGTACCACTTACTCCGTACACTACGAAGTACCACACCAGACGGCACTTTTGTATGAGCTACGTACTGCAACTCCACCACTACCACTGTAACTACGGCTGACTTTCCCCAAGGAGACAGATCGCTCTGATCAATAAAAGGCAACGACAACTGCAACTTCAACTGCTTCTGCATATCTCACGCTCTTCAATTATCTTCTATACCCTCTCTCATCAGATGTTTCTGTAAGAGGGCTTCGCTTTTATTATTCTTATACATGTATTTCCAGCGTGGCGACTAGGTTGCCTCTTTTATCCTTACAACTGTAATTTGGAATCCGCCCCCAGAAACGATTAATCCGCCCATTCACACGACCCCCCTTACGAACACTCGACTTGCCTCGAAGACACGACTCCCGACGTCAATGGGACACCCGACACGCTCTTTATACACATACACAATTGACCTGGGGAGGCGCCGACCGCTCCCACGCCCCCCACTCGACTCTTCCGCCCCGACAGACTCGCCATGAGAGGCATATCCCTTGTGGGGCTCTTTGCGCTCACATGCTTCACCAGCGCCGCGAACCTCCTGCCACGAAATTACGAAGCCAGCGATTACTATGTCCTCCACCTCGACTCTGAGGCTGCGCCCGCAGAAATAGCAAAGCGCCTTGGCCTATCCCACGAGGGCCAGCTGGGCGAGCTCGAGGACCACCACATCTTCTCTGCAGCGAGACACGAGGACGATCGGGTGCAAGATGCGATCACGGCGAGGAGGAAGCTGCGGAAACGAGGCGCGAGTCAGTCCGATGTGTTGGATAGCGTGAAGCTTGCGCAGAAGCAGAAGCTAAAGCCACGGATGGAGAAGAGGGGGATAATTCCTGTGACCAAGGACAGGCCATCAGGCGCATTCCCAGAGCGAGGAATTGAGGTCGAGGACCCGGTCGGTGTGGCCAGGCAAGCCGAAGTAAAAAAGATCCTCGGAATTCACGATCCGATATTCAACGATCAATGGCATTTATACAACAACAAACAGCTGGGACACGATGTGAACGTCACGGATGTTTGGATTCAAGGAATCACTGGCCACAATGCTACGGTGGCTATCGTCGACGATGGGCTAGATATGTACAGTGAGGATCTGATGCAGAACTACTTTGCTGAAGGCTCCTACGACTTCAACGACCCCGGTCCAGAGCCAAAGCCGAAGTTGAGCGACGACAGACATGGCACGCGTTGCGCTGGGGAGGTTGGAGCTGCCAAGAACAACGTCTGTGGTGTTGGAGTAGCCTATAACTCCAGGATTGCCGGGATCAGGATTCTTTCGAAGCTCATCACCGATGCGGACGAGGCCATCGCCTTGAATTACGCGTACCAACAGAACCAAATTTACTCCTGCTCGTGGGGCCCTCCAGATGACGGAAAATCAATGGATGCGCCAGGTATTTTGATCAAGAGGGCCATGCTTAATGCTGTACAAAGGGGCCGAGGAGGGCTGGGTTCTGTCTACGTCTTCGCGTCTGGAAACGGCGCTGCGTCGGAAGACAACTGCAACTTCGACGGCTACACGAACAGTATCTACAGCATCACTGTTGGCGCAGTTGACCGTAGAGGCGATCATCCCTACTATTCCGAAAAGTGCTCAGCGCAACTCGTCGTTACGTACAGCAGCGGTGGTGGCGACCAGATTGTCACCACCGACGTTGGCGCAAACAACTGCGCCACAACTCACGGAGGAACCTCTGCAGCTGCACCTTTAGCTGCCGGCATCTTCGCACTGGTATTGTCCGTCCGACCTGATCTGACATGGAGAGACATGCAGTCTCTCGCAATGCAGACTGCCGTCACTATTGATAGCGCAGACGACTGGCAAACCACGACCATCGGCAAGAAGTTCAGCCACACCTTCGGATATGGCAAGATTGACTCCTGGGCCATTGTCGAAGCCGCAAAGACCTTCAAGTCACTCAAGCCCCAGGCGTGGCTCTACTCCCCTTGGATCAAGGTCAATAAACCAATCCCGCAAGGAGACCAAGGCCTCGCAGTTACGTACGAGGTGACAGCCGACATGCTCAAAGACGCCAACCTTGAGCGACTCGAACATGTGACCGTGACGATGAATGTCGAGCACGGCAGACGCGGAGATCTCAGCCTCGATCTAATCAGCCCCGACAACCTAGTCAGCCACCTCAGCGCAACCCGCAAGAACGACGATTCCCCCAACGGCTACGCAGACTGGACCTTCATGAGCGTCGTGCACTGGTAAGCACCTACCCCCCATCCCCCCTACTCCACCACCACTAACACACACACCCCAGGGGCGAATCCGGCATCGGCACCTGGAAACTCATCCTCCGCGACACAACCGTCAACGAGCACTCTGGCAACTTCACAGACTTCCACATCAAGCTCTGGGGCGAATCCATCGACGCCTCCAAAGCCACCCTCCTCCCCCTCCCCAACGCCAACGACGACGACAACCACGACGCCGACAAGCCCTCCTCCACCATCTCCGCCACCGTCTCCACCACCTCCCTAAACCCCGTCCCAACATCCACCACAACCCCCCTAACAACAGACCAACCCAACCGACCCGTCCCCCCGAAACCCACATCCACCCTCACCTCCTCCCCCACCCCCACCGCACCCAGCGACGACCTCGCCGCCTCCTCCACCGCCGCCCCGTCCTCGTGGCTTCCCGGCTGGCTACCGCGTTTCGGCTTCGGCCCAAAGACAACGATCTGGATGTACGCCGCCACTGTCCTCATCGTAGGTTTCTGCATCGGGTTAGCTATCTACTTCTACCTCGCGCGCCGCAAGAGGCTGCGCAATAGCGCGAGGGATAACTATGAATTCGACCTCATCCGCGATGATGAGGAGACGGAGGGGTTGACGGGGGGGAGGCCGAAGAGGAGGGCCGGGGAGCTGTATGATGCGTTTGCTGCCGGGAGTGATGAGGAGGGATTGAGTGATGTGGAGGAGGAGGGGGAGGAGTATCGGGATGTTGCGAGGAGGGGGGGGATGGAGGCGGAACATCATGTTATTGGCGGGGATAGTGAGAGTGAGAGTGAGGATGGGGATGATGGGAGGGGGGAGAAGGATGCGTTGAGGGGGGAGTAGATGGTTTTTGTTGGATTATTGGTGTTGGAGGTGGTGTGTTGTATATATGGAATTGGGGAATGAATTATTTTCAAGGATTTGGTGTTTATGAGGGGCGTTTCGCAGTAGAATTCTTCGGGGATGCTTACGACCTACGTAATTCGCAGGGTTCTCAATAGTGCTGGAGCGCAGCTCAGTGGCTGTGCATGAGATTCTGGTATGTCGCGTGGAAAGTCGACTTTGCACATATGCAGTGACCAGAGAAGGATGCGATGATATACCCGTCCAAAGCCTACCAACCCGGCGATGGACGTCTAGCATGGCCTCCGCTGCTTCTAGAACTCTGACATCTAGTCCCTTAGCGCTAGTCACTGTGATCTTCCCCGCCATCAACCAGCTTGGTACTAGAATGCTGCGTCTAACAGTCACCAAGTTGACATAGTAGCTTGCCTAGAGACTCATCTTTAGTAGGTAAGAAGAGTCTGACGTTTTAAAACTATGTCTTCAAATATCTAAATTTTTAGTAAATATTAAGGTTTAAAATCAGCATTATTATTTTAGTTCTTTTTGAGAAATAAAATATTCTTCATTAAAAATGGTAAAAATAAACCTGCACGATGAAATCATTTTACCAATCCCATTATATAAGGAAGGAACGGCTAGTCAAATAGAGAAAGAACGACTGACTATAGAGGAAAAGAACGGCTAGCTAAGAATGGAAGGAACGATCCATTCTATGGGGAAAGAACGACTTACTCCAGAGGGAAGGAATGACCGGCTTCAGAAGGAAGGAACGATTCCAACTACCGAGGGAAAGGGCGATCGTGAAGCTGTATTTTTTATTTTTCGTTCCTTCTTTATATGGATAAAGGTGTGGATTTATTTTACATAGTCCATATCATATATCTTTGTTAGTAGCAAATTGTTTACTGATGAACTTTCCCTCCAAGAGCATTGACAACCCAACAGCTGTTTCCATGTAGCCCCTGATGGAGTTCCTACTCCTTAAACAATTCCGTTTCAATGCGATTGGATCCTTCAACGCAGTTTCTTCCAATCTTATGTCACCTCACAGTTTTATGGTACCCACAGTATCAATAAAAATGTATGAATTGATAGAGCTAAATAAAGAAGCTAATATGGCAAGTCTAAAGGAAACTCAAGATAAGAAAACTCGTTATATATAATAAACAGATCCCTAAGTTTTATCAAGAGACTGCTGGGGTAAATGATCGTTTTTGTCCAAGCACCAATCTCTTACTCCTCTCCAAAGTAAGCATCGATATCCTCAACCACATCACCCTCCACATCCACAGGAAGGACATCAGGGATCACCTGGCCCTCAATATCCTCATCCAATTCGATATCAAAGATGTTATCCTCCCTCTTAGAGAAAGCAACATCACCAATCTCATCACGCTTACCGAACTGGCGCACAAAGGCAACATAAATATCCGCAATGCGGCGGCACTCAACACCCTTCCAAGACGAGAGGCCCGAGAAGCCAGAGCAGTATCTGTAGAGGTCGTTCTTGAAGTTATCATCAACCCTATCCTTCATCGCCTTAGTAAAGCGGCTCTGCGCCTTGGTATTGCGGTAGCCGAAGTCGTGGCGGTGGCAGCTGGGGATGAAGTTGTATCCGTCGGGCTTGTCGGGCGACCAGGAGCAGCCGTCGCTCGACCAGTCGCAGTCGGGGTTCTTGGCATTGCGCGAAGCCTCGAAGGAGCCGATGGAGACGCTGAAGATGAGACTGTCGGTGGCGGCGTTGGTGCAGGTTGCGCGGGATTCGAGAGCGGCGCGGGCGAGCATTGATGGGGACTGGGAGGCGGGGAGGGCGGTGACTGAGGTAGAGGCGGCCAGGATGGTAGCCACAGTGGTGAGAACGGAATACTTCATTTTTGAAATGAGATTGAACCTCCGAGCAGATAAAGAGTGACGTTGGTATGGGATGCAGGCTGGTGTGAGAAGAAGATTATTGTGAGTCGATGCTGAATTAAATCGGTTGAAGTCGAGGTTATGAGGTTCTTATATAGACATCTAGGTTACACCCCATCTGAGATTTCTCAAACCAAAGTCAGCCTCGTACCTGAACGAAGACGCCTTCCTATTACATCCGCATCATCCATGAGGGGCCACTGACAGACAGCTTTCGGACCAGTATCATCTTAGGCAAAGCTCATCGCCTTCAACTGGGCAGGGCTAAGCACTGGTTGCCGCATATTAAGCTACATCAAATAGGCAACTCGCAGTATGCGAGACTCCCAGCCATTAAACTTTCAAGCATGAATACAGGAACGAATCATCAGAGGGTATCATGACATCGTGCAATAGCTACGAAGGCCAAACTCTGTGATCAACACGGACAGCCTCGCCATGAGGGGTTAGTGGGGCGTGTCTGCCACTTTCCAAGACTATAACTAAGCCGACTAGCCAGATTTAAGGTCTTGTGTCGCCGATCCTGGCGGCCGTTGCCCTTGATCGCAAATAACACCGAACACAAAGCCACCATGACTTTATGACAGGCGCAACAATGCGCCGAGCGTTTCGGGCATTTTACTGTCATGAAGGCCAAAGGTTATCCCGCCAAGCGTAAGACCTTATTGTTAGTGCACCCGATCGCTCGCTATGCATAGCTAGCCCCATTGTTTTGACATCTTACCTTCCTATCCGGATACAGCATTGCGGCGTGGAGGCTATGCGGCGTCTAACTGGCAATCATGGGGAAGGTTATGTTGCCGATCGGAGGCACTGCGCATTGCCAAGACCTGTTCTGCCCCGTCACATGGGCAGGCGGCATGAAACTGAGAAAGCGAGGACAGGGTCGCGATCGCAAGTGAACATCGTTGCCGAAGGTCAGTGCAGCAGCTTCAGCTCTTCTAGAATGTTTCGGTTGGTTGAAGTCATATGTGGGGTTTACGAATGTTGGTCCACCAACGGATGTGGCGGTGATCTTAACTCTATCGCGTGCATTTACGATATGGCCAATTCGGGTTGGATATACGAAAACGTGTGCTTTGACACGCGCTTTCCATGAGAAATATCGAGAATAATACTGTCAAAAATAAAGAGGTTTTCCCTTTTATCCGCAACATGCCGAGGGCGGTGCAGACCTCGTACCCCGTACCTCCTACTTGAGCGGGGAAGATACTGCAATACAAAAATGGAGATGATAGACAGTCTCGTAAATCACTGCCGCTGTCATTACCATGGAGCTTTGCCAAGTCTAGGTCAGCCTATTTGCGCCTCCCGCACCCTGGCTAGGAACATTAAGAATAAGCATATTCAAGGCATGACTTTACTAGCTCGGGCTTTTTTGTGCTTGGTCAAGGCTGATTCTTCTCCTTTTATTAATCTCGTTCTCATTCATGTCACATTTTCGCTCAATGCGGTGATTCAAGTTGAATCTATTTCCAATCTTGGGCTTCAGGTATGAAAATCATCGGCCATCAGGTTGGTTAACGGCATGGTTCAAACTGAACATCTTTTCAATTTCGGGCTTCATCTATAAAAATAGTTAGATGCCAAGTTTGTATGTAAGTTGGCATGGGATCCAAGCTAGATGCTTCGTCCACGATGAAATCAAAATGTCTATAAACGACTGGCAAATTCTCTCAATTTTTTTTCTATCCATCATCCACAGCACCCTCGACATTCTCACATCCAAAGTATCAAACACAAAAAAGCCACTCCAGCAATCCTCTTCCAGCAATATTTCAAAATGAAGGTTGTCTCAGTTTTCACTGCTCTCATCCTGGCGTTCTTCGCCAATGTTGTCTATTCTGCGGCAATTGACAGCTCTCTCAACTCTCGCGACGTAAATGTGACAGAGGCTGCCGAATTTGCCGGGTTCGGTGATGTCGTCGCCTACGCCCCTTCCTGATCGTCGCCGCAAGATCAATTTCTACAGCAATGGTGTTTTAGACAGTAGCGCTATTGAGACTGAAGATGGAGGTACGGTTTTGCATTCACCCGCGGCATAGTGGCTAACAATCTGATCATTAGCAACCTTTTTTGAGGCTGATGGCACTGAGGTCGACCTCAACGAGATTGATGAGATTCTATCCAAGAGGGTGTCTAAGTGGAGACTTGCCATCAAGTTCGCCAAGTTGATCGCCAAGTACGGCAAGAAGGCGTGGAACTACATCTACTGCGTCGGAACCAGCGCCATGCGGAAGTGCGGTGATGAGGTGGGCTCTTTAATTGGATTCTAGTGTTGAGGGACATATGCTAATATGCACAACAGTACCTCGGATGCTCCGCTTCTGGTATCCCACCGTGGAAATGCGTCGAGGGCATCGTCTGTGTTGGCGCTGCTGCCAAGGGGTGCTAAATAATCTTATTGTACCAGGGGATGATGGTAAGGAGGAGTTCCGGAAGCTGGAGAGTAACGAATCTAGTGTTTTATTTGTTTTAGCATAGGGAAACCGAACGTTCTAGCTGTTTAGAATAATAGAAATGGCTTAAAATTCGGATTCCCTATGCAGTGAAACCTCGATATGAAGTTGCTTTTGGGAGCCTGATAGATCTTTACATCAAGAATTATGGGATAACTGCTCTCTCATGCGAGTGAAGGATAATGTCCCAGGACCGAACAGCTATTATAGGCCATCGAACCGGCCGGACCATACAGTTAAGGAGCAGGCTGCCCGAAGAGATGAGGTGTGTGATACAAGGCTGTGTGTGGCTTTTGTTGGCACCTGTTATCAAAGGTGCTGCTGATGCAACACTCTGGATGAGCCAGATATGATTCGCATAATTTGGTAGAGTTGTAATATAAGACGCAGAAACAAGGCTCATCATGCACCGAGCTGAAACCGGTTCGTAAGGCTACGATGGTATTGCTTTCTTGCCTAATATACAAAGAGTCCTATCTGCTGTTTAATATTCATCATTCTTCAAGTTTCTTTAACTACCATTTTATTATTCGAAGTGACCAGACTACTCATCATGTCTGATATCCTTCAGATCCCTGGCGCATGGAACAGCGCATGGGAGGCGCCCTCTACAACACCGTATGACATCGTCGATGCGCACCCTCCTGTACCTCCCCAGCCTTCCCCACCTATATCGCAAAGTCGTCGTCCTCCTCCACCACCCCCGCCTTCACAAAGTCGCCGACCTCCACCCCCCCCTCCTTCGCAAACCCGTCGTACACCTCCACCTCCTCCCTCGCAAAATCGTACAGTATCGCCATCTCATCCATCACAAAGCCGTTCAGAATCTCCACCTCCTCCCTTGCAAAGTCAGCGTACACATCCATCACCTCCTCCCTCGCAAAATCATCGAGCATCACCCCCGCGTCCCTCTCAAAGCCGCCCAGAATTTCCCCTGCCTCCTTTGCAAAGTCGTTTAGACGCTGCTCTGCCTCCCTGGCAAGGCCTTGTTGTACCTCTCTCGCCTCCCTCGCAGAGACGCCATGTATCTCTTCCTACCATACCGCAGAACCGTTCGGAATATCCCCCGCCACTCTGGCAGGGTCGCCTTGCAGAGAGACGTCGCGGATCTGTCCCCACTGCAACACAACCCGGTGTAGAGTTCGATTTTTTTGCCGATAGCTCCGAGGATGAAAATGATACTGCCATTGAAGACCAAAGAAAACCAATCGTCATCGCAGTCTTTGGGAAGACTGGCACCGGAAAGACATCCTTTATCAACGCGGTGACAGGAAGGAGTCTCAAAGTTGGGCATGGTCTTACTTCCTGTAAGGTTGCCTATAACGCTATAGAAGTATTGAATAAAAGCTAACTCAAACATGAATAGGTACCGAGGACGTTCTCGCCGTTTCCTGCCGCATTGGAAGCGAAAATATAATTCTTGTTGATACCCCGGGGTTTAGTGACACGCATCTTACTGATACAGAGATTCTGAGACGGATTGCTGGGTGGATGAAAGATTCATATGACGATGGATTTCTCTTGTCTGGGATAATCTATCTCCACAACATCAATGATATCCGCATGGATGGTCCTAGTCTCAAGAACTTGCGCATGATGCAAAAACTCTGTGGAGCTAACTCTCTAAAAAACGTTGTTCTGGCTACTACAATGTGGGAGAAGGTGGATATGAGACAAGGAATGGAACGCGAATTGGAGCTACAGAAAAACTTTTGGAAAGATATGATCAATGAAGGCTCGACTGTTGCAAAGATAATGACTGAAACTGGTGGTGAGGCTCGCGAACTAGTCGTATCACTGCTAAATAACCAGCCGCTATCAACCAAGTTGCAGGAAGAGCTTCAAAGCGGAACAGCACTTGTTCAAACGGAAGCCGGAACCGAGATCAGGGCAGAAATGATAAAACTGATCCTGAAGTTGAGGAATGCTCACGAGGCTGATATTGCTGACCTGAAGCTTGCCCAACAAGCACGTAAGAACTACCCTTTTATAATGTGGTTATTGATCGCATTGCTATAGACAGTGACGCGCAACTAATAAACATGACAGACGACCTGAAGCTTGCGAGACAAATCACAGCTGAAATCCAGGAGAGTCAACGCAGGATAAATCGATTGGAGGCCGAAAAGACAGAGTTGCAAAACCTAAACCTGAAACCGTGGCCAAGGGTAAAAAGAAAAGGTATTTTCGGAATTGGCGGTTATCATTGCCGAGTGTGCAATCAAAAGACAAATCAAGTTGGAAGATGGACATGTAATGGTTGCAAGAATCAGCAGAGGAATATGTGGTAGGCCTATGTGGCAGTGAATTACGATGGCCCCAAACTAGGCTCCTACTTGCTTATCATTTCTATATCACTTCTCAAATCTAATGAATCAAGTCTCATCATCTATTACGTCAGCTGATGTTACGCTTATAACATATTCTCGACGCAATAGGTAAAGTCCTCGTTTGACAGGTCTCCAGAAAATGCAGGGAGGGCAACTTAATATCATACATTAGCCGAAAGCGGGAAGCTCAGCCAGTGAGAAGAATACAATTATATGAGAAGCCAGATATTCATAGACTCATCCTAAATCGGAGACTATTTATTCAAAATTGGCCTTCACATATGAATGGAACCGTGATCGGCGACGACGCGGAAAGTATCTCGGCCTTAAAATTTGCCCGTCTTATGTATTAAACTATATTAGATGGTTTGTATTACCTCTGTATGACCTCGTTACTTCATTGTGTTACTTTCGCATTGTCGGGCTTTAAAATTCATTTGTTTGAGGCTGATATGCTTGAATATGACTCCATAGTATTCTATCCATCGCCGGAGGAGGAGATTAAGTTGCAGCATATATAGCCCCCCCTCCCATGAAAATTAAAAAGTAAAACACTCATCAACACCACAAACTACATTTCAGCTCAGCACATTTCAGTTTCCATACTCCGAACAGCTGTTCCAACGCCATAAACACTGTCACCTTCTATCACAATGCTCCTCAAACCCATTTTTGCGACTGTGGCCATGGGCTTCATTGCCCTCACCATTGCTCATCCCACCTCAAATCAGGAAAACACGCTGGAGGATTTAGCTGCTCGGGATACCTGCAGTGGAGCTCAATGCGGTGGTTTTGTTGGGATCCCTTGCGAGTCACCATGCACTACTTGTGTTACTCCTAAGGGTTGCGCCGACTGCTTTGGATATTGTCGATAAATGTGGGATACTATCCTCCTGCCAAAATGATGTTGACGGGAAGACGATCTGGTGGGCAGTAAAAAGATGACTTATCAAATTGGTTATGGGTCTCTGTGTTGGCCAGGAATGGAGCTTCATTCTTTGAATGTGGGGTTACGAATTTGTTTTTCTTCTTACTTTTTAGCTATGCAACACACAAAATAAAATAGTGTGCACAACAGGCCCAATAACCACACATAAGTATTTTAAAACCCATGCCATATTTATTTATCAGTCTTAGCCCAATAAAAAATGTGAAGTTATGTTATCCTTCCCGGAGCTTCCCGGTCCTGTTCCTCGAATGCTTACTGTACTCGCAATGAAGCGGCCTAATGTGACCCGACTGCAAAAATATGCTTATTTTTCTTAGCCAAGAATTGTCCCTTCATTCACAGTACCTGAAGTGGAACTTCTGTCTCATTCGACGGAGGAGTCGTTCCGGATGAATGGTCACAGGGATGTATTTTTGCGGGGTCTACCTCGGGGACTATGGGGCACAACGTAGCTTTACGGGCATGAGCACTGTATGAATTTGCAAATGAGAACGGATAAATACATATCACATGCTCATTTTTCCTTGAAATAAGCTATTTTGTAATCGTATCTGTAATTCCCCAATAATCCATGCTGGGTTCATTTCATTCTGTCTCACCATTCCACACGAAGGCCAAGGCTAGGCTTTATCTAACAATAACAACTTTACTAGCAACCCCGCAATGATAATTATGGCGCGCGGGTAGATAAAGTGTCAGTTCCATGGCATGGATGGTGCCGTCCAATTGTATCGATATATTTATCCGCCGGATGTTACACTACTGGTGGTTTAACACGGTTAAACACCATGCTAGGACGCATCATGCATGCTTACTCTGTGCATCGCCCAGGGGGGTTTATATAGCCAAGCTATCTGCAAACTCTGTTTACATTGTCATTCGTTTATAAGAATGCAGATGATCAATAGAAGCAGGTAGATTCCTTGTTTGCAATATATCACAGACATATTCATGCTGTGATGGCGTTAAATGCCTACCTATTCTGCATTACTCGGACTTCATGATATTCCGATCAGAGAGTTGCTTTCTTTCTGGGCTAAGTAATGCACCTATCAAAGAGCTACATTCTGGAAATTAACCACAGGCTATACGTATCTGACTATTGATGGCTTCTTTCGGCCCTCATGATGCGCCGACGAGTGAGCTGTTTCTGCCTTTCCAAAACTCCATTTGGCATTCTCATAGGAATATCGGCCCGCTCTGTCTTCACCATGGCTGATAATTTTCGAAGACTAGATCTCCAAAAAGTATAAAGGGGCTGGCAGGAAGGATGTCGTATTGTAGTTTTTCCTCATCAGTTGAACAGTCAAGCCACGCCATAAAACAAATTCCCAAACAATTCTCCATATCAAACAACCCAAAGCCAAAATGAAGATCTCCGCACTCCTCGCTCTCGCCCTAGCGACTATCGCTCTTGCCTCCCCCGTCGCTGAACCGGAGCAGCTCGAGAAACGTAAGTAAATACTCGAATATGAAAAGAAAATCTGCACATGGACAATGTTCATATACTTACCGTCGACTTTTATAGGTTCATGCGCAACTGATTGCAGCAACTTAGCTTCGAGACAATGCAAGTCGTCGTGTTCTGGAGCAACGAGCCCGAGCTGCGAAGCACAGTGCTACCAAAGCTTGTACGCGAGCTGCAAGGCTCAATGGTGCTGATAGGCCATGGATAGTCCGTGATGCAAGTGGGAGCTTGGAAAAAGGCGCCTATGGCAAGCAGTACATCTCGTGAATACAAACCGGGGGGCAGATGGGGATGTGGCAGAAATAGGGAGATAGTCATTCACTCACAGAGGTATTTTTCAGGGGTCATTTGAGTTCTGCTGGTTACAGCGCGCACGACAAGCGTCCGAGAGAATGGAACTGTAACTAGCACCCCAAACTGATCAATGAATTAAGTTCCTATAGATGCTGGAGATCATGAAGGCCATATATATAATCTACTAAGTGCTAGGATTGTCTTTAAATGTTACACGTGAGGTGTCTAAACTATTCATTGGCATCCCAGAATTCCCCTGCAACCTTTGCAGCTTGTGCAGCCTCCTTTGTGAACCTCACCCAATGTCCTGCCAAAATGATATCATGTACGCCTTCCGCAGTAACCTCCAGGCCCACCTTGTTGCCTTCCACAGCCTTGAATTCTTCATACAGCTGTACGTTATGATCGTACAAAATTTCACTCGCCCCAGTTAGGAAAAGCAGCGGAGTTGGAGTAGCAAATGGATTCCCCAAAAATTTAATATTGGGATGTGCCAGCGTAATCCCACTTTCCTTGCTCGGCATCAGTGAACTCGCACCCCACACGCCAACCCGCTCATCGAGGTAGTCAGTCGGCGCATTGTGATGCATCTTCATCAACTCTGGGTCCAACGCCCCCTCCGGGTCCGCCCAGGGTGACCAGAGCCATGCGCACGCCGGAGACGCCAGTTTCGCATCCGGGTTGTCGGCAATGTAGCGTAAGAGCCCCATTGTTAGATGGCCACCAGCGCTATCACCCGAAACTGTGATTTTCTCGGCTGGGATGTCGAGCTCGTCCGTGAGATATAGATAGGACGTAATGGCATCCTGTAGGGGAGCAGGGAAACGGCATCCTGGGTTCGACGAGAGCCGATATTGCGGGGCAAACATATGAGTTGCGGCAGTGTTGGCAAGGAGCGTCTTCGCAGCAAATCCAGCGTCGCCGTCCCGTCCATCCCCGATCGTGTAAGCGCCGCCGTGGAAATGAAGAACAACCTTGCCGACAGCAGCGCCCGAAATTGGGCGGGCGGGGTACCAGGTCCCTCCAATAGTCTCGGGCTTGACCTCAGCGTCCAGGTCAACCACTCCGATGTACTTGTCGGATGGTCCAGGCTTCATCACCACAAACCGATCGCCTTCTGAACCCGGCTTGAGGCTCAAGGGCGTTTTCAGCTCAATAACGGCAGTCCATGCGAGGAACGACTTCACGACGAAGACTCCCAGCGCCTGCTGATAGGTCCATTTAGGATTTGGGCGGCGGGAAGCGGAAAGGAAATAGAGCATCCAAAATGGGAATTGGACTACACCGACGCCGATTGCCCCCACAGTAGCAACGATTTTGCCTGGATGGCGGGTATATGCAGATTTCGAGGCCATCGTCAGGTCGTAGTCTGGCTATAGCTATAGCAAACAATTGAACATTATGACAGAAGAACGAAGAGGAGAGGGGTGAAATATGCTCCGAGCCGCACCGCCTACGTAGTAGAATGTGTTGAGGTAGTTGTTTACCCCATGGGGAAAATGCGCAACATTGTTACAAGGGAATTGCTTGTGAAAGACCGAGGAATGTTTGGTGGTGTCTAAGCTACTTTATAAATTATGTGGGGCGATACTGGTAGAATGACACTAGTGAGAACTTGATAACAAGAGAGTTCCAGTAGTCGGACACCGCTGTCGGTGTCCGGATATTAGAACTCATAACAAGGGACTCTTACAACTCTACTATAGGGACGGCGAAATAACCTAGGCGAGTGAAATGGACAATAAATATAGTTTACGATTAATATACAGTATATATAGTTGGCTTTGCAGGACATAATAGTAGGTTTTTACCGTAGGGTGCGATTCTATTAGGTTCTGTGAATGCGACGACAAGGGCAAATCACAGATAGTCATGTAAATAGTTTCATTTTCTAGCACCTATTACGATATAAACTACATACAAATTAGGTATAAAGTTTATCTTTTGCGGTGGAGGGTGCCTCTTCATTTCCCCCACCACTAGGTAGACGATTATAACCCTTTCTCAAGCGACATGTCTTTAAGAACATCCACTGATCCCTAATGCCGCCGCTGTCGTGCTCCCCAACCCAACCCAAGCTCTCATCGCATTGATAATGGACAGATCGCGATGCGGCCTCGTGTACTTCCCTGAGACCATTGTATATCCGCATGCACTCGCCACATACGCGGTATCCAGCGGGACGCCCAGACATGCGCTCGCCGCCGCCGACCCGGTATAAAGGCTGCAATCGCTTAGTCCGTCTGGAAAGCCATTTCCGCCGGCATCGGTGAACATGTATGACGAAAGAATGAGCTTGATATGCCAGTCGTTGTCGGTGCGGCTGAAGAGATTGACTTCAAAGCCACGATGCTTGGCTACGTCCTTGTCCTTGATAAGGACAGAGCCGTAGCTTTGCATGTCGCGGGATGAGGAACCCTGCGTATGGCATTAGCTTTCAAAAATGCATTTTAGAGAGAAGGCTGTTATTTACTGGATTCTGCTGGTCATGGTCATCGTTCTGGATCGCAAATCTAGAGGGCGGAATGATCCAACTACCACAAATCGGCATCTCCTTCGGATAATCGGAGCTCCAAATCTTAATTTGTGAGATCTCTGAAGCGGTGAAGCCGTTACTAGAAAGGACATTGTCGAAGTTAGTGTACCAACTACTCGCGCTCCCATCACAGGCTAGAGGCGCTGCCTCGCCACCGAGGATCACTTCGAGCCAGGTGATCCAGTCCGCGGGCATGTTGCCGCCTAATTTCTTCTTGACGATGGCGAAGATGGCTGCCATAGATTGTGGGCCGATGTGCTTGGCCGCGTCGACGCGGATACCGCTAAAGCCAATAGAGAGGAGGTCGACGATGTAAGTCGCGATACGGTCTTGCGTGTACGGTTTCTCGGTATTCAGGTCGAGGAGACCGACCAGGTAACCTTTTGTGACCTGGTTCATATCGGTCCAGGAGCTGATGCTGCGCTCGCAGTGGAAATCGGTGGGGCCGTATGGGACGGCTGGAAACTCGTGCGTTGGTCGTGTTCCAGTTTGAGGGTTGATCAAGTAGGTGTTGCCTGAGGTATAGTAGGGTGAGCCTACAGTAGCGTTGTGACCACTGTATAGAGAACAATCGGTGTTTCTGTGGTTTTGGATATCTGTTCCTTGGCCTACCATGTGGTTGACAACTGCATCGGCGTAGACTCGAACACCAGCGGCTCGACAAGCTTGAATCATGGCTCTGAGCTCAGCGCGAGTGCCACTGCGAGAATAAAGTCTGTAACTAACTGGCTGATATACCAGATACCATGGACGGAACTGCTTGTCAGTCTCGTAGTAATTACTGCCCCAAACGCTCTCAGAAGAAGGCCAAACTTTGACTCCCATATATCCAGCCTTTCCCAAAAACGCACACTCCTTGGCCACGTCATTGTATGGCCATCCAAACAGTTCAACGATGCCACCTTTTTGGCCGTTGTTAAATGTGCTTTGAGCTGCCGTTAAAGCTGTATTCTGCCAGATGAAGTTGATTGGGTCTAGTGTCAGGGACTTGCCACTAGAAGTAGAGATCGTAATGGCGAGAGTAGAAGTGAACCCATTATTGAGCTGGAAGGTATTGCTCGCTGTTGCAGCAGCTCCATTGAAGGAGTACGTCAATGCCTCCAAAGTCCTCGATGCAGCGTTAACAACAACAACGGCCTTGGTTCGATCAGAGTTGTACTGAATGTCTGCGTATCCAACAAGGTCACGATAGTTTCCAAATGAGGCACTGTAGTCAGCTGCACCCTGTGGTGGGGTTTGCCAGCGTCTATTTTCGGCAGAAGCGGCAAAGGATGACTGAGCATCAGATGTGCAGCTGTCTCCTCCATTCCAGTTGCCGCAGCCAGTTGGAGCTATAGCAAGGCCTTCAGATGGAATTGAAATTGGAATAATAGGTGGCAGCGAGCTTGGCGAAACGGCCCCTGTGACGGTGCTTGGAGAAACGGACCCCGTCGCAGTGCTTACTGAAGTGGTAGTTGAGGCCTGTGAGACACTGGTACTTGTAGATGTCGATGTGAGGGTGGTTGCCACAGTGGTAGTTGAGGCCCGTGAGACACTAGTAGTTGCAGATGTTGATGTTGAAACTTGCGTAGTACTGGTGGCAGCAGTCGTGGAAGTTGCGACGGAGGTGATTTGATAGTTAACATAGTTTCCTGGGTCAAAATATCTTCCTTTATTAGCCTTTTCCTGCCTCTAAACACATGGGGGTTCTTACGACGAGCCACTAACATCATACTGGATGTAAAACTGGGTCGCTCCAGAAGCTGTCCCGGAGAAGACCCACGTCTCATAACCAGTGGTAGAAGCTGCAGAATAGCTTGCAGCTATTGGGGATGAGACCCATGTACTACCAACAGCCCAGTGGACGCCGACAACCTTTGTGTAGGCGATGTTCTGGATCTGACAGTTTTGTAATTTTGATCAGTGATGCTAATATGAGAAGGGAAACTCGAAGGGACGAACATGTATAGATCCTGCAAGAACATTGTTTGAGAACGTATAGCTATTCAACGAGACTTGTGTTGCTCGCTTCTCGAGCGGAGTAGCACTAACGGTGCCTGTCAGGAAGAGAGCGACAAAGAATAGGTACAGCCACCACAAACGTCGGCAAGGATTTACAACCATGCTGGGCATTCCTTAGTCTTCTGGCTACGACTGAAGAACGAATTAAAAAAAAAAAAAAAAAAAAGGAGATATTAAGCACTTCTTATCCTTTTCTATCATGTACTCCACCTCAACAGCTTGTCGAGTTTTTGAATTAAGCTCATGGAAGTCGTCCATTATGATCTAGGAGGTATTCCGGGGATACTATCACAATTCTCCATGAAGCATGAGACAATTGCGGGGTCCTCAAGCCACCTGTATACCGTGGTATGAAGTCTATAAAGGACCCCGCAATGTGGAATGAAGATCTTTGCTTCGTGAAGACAGGGCATGAGAGGTATATTGAGTGAGGAAGGAAGTTGTTCGCTAATCAAGAGTAGTTTACTTTCGTTGCCGTGACTGGGCGAATCGGACCGCTGAATCGGACCGACGTTGTTCCCCGCGGGGAATCCTTGCTGACCACCACCCCTGAAAAAGGTCCCGTGCCCAGACTCTCCTGTACCCTCACACCAGTTCTAACCCTGAGCGGTGCGCGACTTCTCGGCTGGCTCCGTGCCAAGCCTGAGCTGGCATGCCCAATTGCCCGCCTCAGTTGGGTGGGCCTCACCAGCATCGCACACCCAGCAAAGCAATTGACAGCTTCAGAGTTTCCGAAGGCAGGTCTCACCTCCGGCCTACGCCTGGGGCCTGGTTGGCCGCCTCTGTGGAATACAGGGCGGTGAGAAGACGCCACAGCTCAAAAAAGAGCCGAGCCCGTGGGGGGCGTATTTGCAATAAGTTTAAGCCGCAAATAGCGTTCTATGGGGTGCTGAGTAGATTAAAGTCTAGGTGGTGCTTCTACATCGGCCCGAGTTTGCTCTGTGTGGAAGACTGTGGATTCGGCTCTTGAGAGGTGTGGCTGGTATTTGTGTCGGCCACAACAGATCTTTTAGAGTTTTTGGTACCTTGCACTTCGCACGTGGTTATGTTCGGCACTAAGGTACGTCGTCAAGGAGCAGGGCGAACGGATGTGTGGCATGAGCACTATAATGTAAGTAACGAAATTTTGGGCGCGGGTTTCGGCACCCGGCGAAACTATGAGAACTGTATATTGTGCATCGAATAGCGTCTGCCCAGGGCCTTTCCTAAGGTTGCATCCTCTCCGTTTTTCTATCGTTTTTCTATATTCGGTCTTGGCACCGTTAGAGGTGAAGGTGGGGGCAGAGCAAAAAAAGTCCAATTCGTGGATTCTTTATATTGCAAACACTTCCGTCGTGAACAGTGAGCTGCCTTAAGCTTTCCCAAGGGGGGTTACCGTTTCCCCTCGAGGTAGAGCAGGATGAAGATTTGTGGGCAACGACTCTACTGGCGATTGATACTGGGAGCGGCCGCTGTTGCAAGAAACAGCTGTGAGGAAACACAGAAACGAAAGCTGTCCTTTTTAGCAGCCTTCTAGCCGTCACATCGTTAAATAGAGTAATTATTAAGCTTCGTTGATCTTGCTTTTAGATACCTCAATACACAAACTTTTATAATAAGATTCTTTATCTAAAAAGCATCGTAGTGCATTATTTGTATTGTTACATACACCATGGCCTCTATTAGCACCCTCTAAAGTCCCACACAAGCATACGTATTAGCCCAGAGCCCCGTACAGCTCGCGCCAGCAGCCGGGTTCCACTTGATGAAGTTTGCAACGGTGATGCTGTACAAGCGCGTGATAGTATCGCAGCTCTCGCCCGTCTTCACGAGATGGAACTTTTTGCAGTTGGTGACCATGCCAGTTTGGATGGGCTGTGGTGTGGGATTAGGGGTGCTCCCAATGACGCCGGTGCAGATGTTGTAGTCAGCCCACATACCCGTACACGCGGTACCGCCGATCTGTGTGTTCCAGGTCGCAAGCTGGGCGACAGTGACACTTGCAGAGGACGCAATGGTCACGCATGTGTCTCCGGCCTTAACCTTGTAGAATTTGTTGCAGTTTGTGACCATGCCCGGCTGGACGGGCGTGGGCGTAGCAATGCCGTTGCCGGGACTGGTTGGGGTGCCGCCGATCACACCCGTGCAGATGTTATAGTCGGCCCAGATGCCCGTGCAGGCCGTGCCGCCGATCTGCGTGTTCCATGAAGCGAGCTGGGCGATGGTGACGCCCACTGAAGAAGCAATGGTGGTGCAGGTGTCGCCGTTCTTCACCTTGTAGAAGCGGTTGCAGTTGTCGACCATGCCGGGTTGGACCGGCTCGGGGGTCGTGACGCCGTTGCTCGGCTTGGTGGTCGTGGGCGGCACCGCAGTGCTGGTGGTTGCCGGCTTGGAGGTGGTCACCGGCTTGGAGGTTGTGGATGTCGTGGATGTAGTGGTCGGGATGCTGGGAGCGGGACCCTCGACGCAGTAAGAGTAGTCCGCCTTCCAGTCGGCGCAAGACTTAATCGACGGGTTCTGGTGAGGAGTCAGCACAAAATCTGAGAGTGTAGGGGGCCTCGGAGCAAGACTTTCGGGTTAGGCTTACCCATGCAGTCAACTGGCCAACAGAGATCCCGACAATGAGGAGCACCGTGTCGCAGCTGATGCCATCATCGCTGTTCCACCACAGGGTGCAGGCCGCGGGCGTGTTTGGGTCGTAAGAGTAGAAGGGTGTTGAGCTGTCGAAGCGCTTCACGCCAAGAGCAACGCTATGGGCGGCGAGGACACCGATGGTGGCAAGGATGGAAAGATGGAGCATCGTGGTGATGGTGGGCTACTTAGATTATGACTGTGCCTGTGAAGATAAGGAGAGAGCTGGTTGTTCCCGATAGTCCAGATGTGAGTCTCTCTCTACCTGGGCAAGTGTCTGCTTTAATAGGCAATGATTGTTTATTGATACTCTAGCATCAACGAGCATCGTGTCACCCTGGGTAGCCCAGGGCATCTTCCGGTCCCGGAGTTGTTTACCTTCATGCTGAGCTCTATGTAATGCTAAGCCCTATATATTTGTTAATGAAGCTATATGCATGCCATCGATAAAACTCGCGGATATTACTTGAGCTGCTTTGAGTTGTTCATCCGATAAAGGCTCCACTGTTAGATCTAGATAGTAGTGGTAAGTGCTATGTATAGCTAGCTAGTGGAGAGTACAGTATCGGCTAATTAGAAGTTGTGGCCGTGGGGTGGGCGGCGATGTGACAGCGGGAGCTGGGGGCGGGAAGGTGGGGGCGAAAACGTCTTGGCTTAAATCCTTCTAAAGTCTCTTCAGTCTTGGCTCTTTTAGGCAACACCATCAGGACCAATAAGAGGTTCAAGTCAGACTGGCACTCTTAGTTAGGATTCGCTTGTTAAGATCCTCTACAATATCTCCGGGTCGAGATCCCGGTGTCTTTGGACAGTGAGAGACATGAAGTAATGGCCCCTTTACTTCTTTTTGCACTGTTTGTTTACTGGTTAGCGCTTAAGGATAGAGTTACAGTAGATGATGTAGGAACGTGTAGAAAGGCGTAGGTACGCTGGTGCCTAACTATGGACCTGCATTTTCCCTACATGCAGGCCAACACTAGTTATTAGCCCTATACATGTACTGTGTAGTTCAGTAGTTAGATTCAAGTCACGAGTGTGAATATTGTGAGATATGCTTATGGCCTTTAGAGTTAATGAATTGCGTGAAACGATCTTTATACCAATAGAGTTCAACATGAATTATAGTACAATTATTACAGTATAACAATAATAGTATATTATTCTATCAGTGGACCCTAGCTCAAAGAACATTCAAAGAACAATCGATATGGAAATCAGAGATCGTTAGTGGGTGGCGCAGACCTTACCTCAGTAAAGCGAACTGCGGTCGAGTTGTTCTCATTACGCCCTGGGCACGAGCTCAGCGTAGCCTCAATGTGCGGAAGCTGAGCCACAGGCGCCGTGCTGAATTTGATATACCGCGATCCATATCCGTTAAGCTCATCCAACCACGGAACCCCAACGTTGTTCCTCGACCGGGTTCGACTTACCAGCAAAGCACTCGCACGGAATGACCACATCCCACAATATTTAGTACGTGTCTGTGGTCCTATTGGTCATGTTAACCGCGTTAAAATGAAGGGACTGCTTGCGAGGGTCCTTCATGAAGTCCTCACTGAGATCGGCGAACCGAGGTCGGCGTACTGCGTTGCCCACAAGAGCCTGTTCTCCGAACTTAGCGGGATGCTAAGGGACTCCACCTGCGCACTGAGGCGGACATTTAGCGTCCAGGCACTGTCGAGATTGCTGATGTTGAGGACGATAGGGAAGTGCTATGTGAGCGAGTAAGTCTCATTATAGCGCGGTAAGATGAGTTCCACTTAGAAATTAGCGGCGAGCGTTCGCTCGGCGCACGCGATCTAGGCTAGGGGATAGAGGAGGGTGAGGAAGGAGAAGATAAGTGCATTATCGCGGCAATTGTGAGTATAGAGAGAGCTGCAGCGGTGATCAGATAGAGAATGGAACAAGAGAATTGCGAGCCATACAACTTCGATAAGAGCTGACAAAGAAAGAAAGATTCCGAAAGTTGTAAAATGGGTACAAAGCAGGGGGCCTCGTCTGACATTTCAATAGGAATGGATTGCAATGGCTAAGATATGCCAAGCTCTTCGTGGGGGCTAAGCTCCCCCTGACAGTGCCAAGCAGATTGGAGAAATCCTCGAGCTCCACTGACCGCCAAGCATACGGAGCGGAAATCGAGCCTCCATTAAGAAGCCATTATTGACTTTTATAGTCCTAATAGATTAAAATTCAATAGTCTCTCTATCTCGCCCCCATTAACTGTGCCGTTTAAACCGTTTAACTGCAGATGCTAAGTTGTTTGCTAATGCCAAGTTAGCTACGGATTCAGGCTGTGATGCCCAAATAAATATTCACACTTAGGGCTCTGTGGGCTTCGCGAAGTGCAGGATTACCATCCCTACAACATTAACCAAGATTAACGAACTCAAGGTAATTAGGAAACAATGCTGACAAGACGACAGGATGCAGCCTTTCGCCCCCATACTATGCCGAGCAGCTTGCGGGCTGACCGAGCTGCGAAGAAGTCCAATCCATATCCATATAATATAACAATGGTAGGAGACCTTGAGATTGTTCATCACCCACCCGCCTTTCTCATCTCTCTCTTCGCCTTTTCCCCTAGAGCCCTCCGCGCTCGTTGACCTTACTGAGCTCTCAAGCTCTTGTCTTGGCTCCCATCATGGGCCGACTTAACTATAAGCTTCTGCCTTGGTTAGGGTGGGCACTGGCGGGTCTCGGTCTCAATGGTGTCGATGCCTTGACGCCACTGCGAGACCTATGCCCGGTAACCTGCCTGGAGGCCGGCCCTAATCCGTCCAACTGGTCTGTTGTCGCCGACATCTCCCAACTTCAGGCGTGTCAGAAACCAATGGTCTTAGACTTTTCAGTCAGGATTCCTCTTCAACGCAAGCAGCATATTCGAGTCTGTAACGTGTTTACCAACGACTTCGACAATCCAGCCGGATCCGATACGACCTCAGTCTTCGCCACGGCTGATGTTGAGACCAAGCAAGTCTTCCCCCAGCTAGCCTGGACGCCCGCCGCATCCGAGGACGAGATTGGCGGCCGGCTCGTGGGCCAGAGCATTGGGCACTTGAAGAGCTATCTCGCAAACAACCACCAGGCCTCGAAACCCGCGAGCCGGATCATGCTGTTCGGAACGGTATCTGACACCACCACAGGCGTCTACGTTGGCGCCAATCTGCTCGGCTCGAGCATCGCCGGGAATCTCTTTGACTCCTTCCTGAACAATGTGTACGGAAACGGTATTGCCGACTCTAAGGCCTCCCTAGTCCAGCTGTGCGAGGGTCGCAGCGGAGACGACATCTTCGGCCTCATCGCGGTCTCCAGCGCCAAATTCTCCACGGTCCACGACGCCGTCAGCAGCTGGTCAAACGGGACCTGCGTCGACACGACCTCGTACGCGAAGACACGCGAGCTTGGCGCCACAGCCATTGCCGTCATCAAGCCAGTGGTCGCGCCGACCCCTAGCAACAACACAGCAGCCATTTTGGGACGGGCCGATGCCTGCCGCATCATCAGAGTCGACGACCAAGATGACTGCGGCAAGCTCGTCACCCGGTGCGGCGGCGGGCTGACTGCGGCGAACTTCTACAAGTATAACCCCAGCTCCACTCTGTGCTCGAAGCTCATGCCGGGCCAGCCCGTCTGCTGCACTGCGGGCGAGCTACCTGATATCAAACCGAAACAGAACGCGGACGGATCGTGCGTCGCATACCAGATTAAAAAGGACGATAACTGCAGTAAGGTCGCAGTTGCTAACGGCCTGGTGGTCACAGATCTCGAGGGCTTCAACAATGATACCTGGGGTGCGTTTTGTCCACCCCTCCTATCTCCTCTCCAAGGCCCTGCCCCACTGACTAACAACGCAATTTGACAGGCTGGAACGGATGCGACTCGGGCTTCTGGACTGACAACTGGATCTGTCTCAGCAAAGGCACGCCACCCTTCCCCGCGCCAATCCCCAACGGCGTCTGCGGGCCTCAAAAACCCGGCACAACCAAGCCTAGCGGGTCAACCTCGAAGGACTGGCTGAAACTTAACCCGTGTCCTCTGAATGCGTGCTGCAACGTTGTAGGTCCACGCCTTTACTCTCGTCGTGCGGGCCCTTTTTTCGGTATCATGACAGATGCTAATGAAGATAACGCAGTGGGCACAATGCGGTACGACAGCCGACTTCTGTATTGACACCAGCACAGGCCCACCAGGCACAGCTAAGAAGGATACCTATGGCTGTATCTCCAACTGCGGCATGAGTATCATTCAGAGCGGCCCGCCGGCGCAGTTCAGGAAGCTTGGTTATTTCGAGGGCTTCAACCTGGGTCGGGACTGCCTGAACATGGACGCCTCCCAGATTGATCCGTCATTCACCCATGTCCACTTCGCCTTCGGTATGATCACCCCCCAGTTCGAGATCTACCAGGAGAACCAATACGCCGAGTTCCAATTCCAGCAGTTTAAGAAAATCCGTGGTCCGAAGCGGATTATTTCGTTTGGTGGCTGGGTCTTTTCTGCCGAGGCCCCTAACTACCCCATCCTCAGGGACTCCGTCAGCGACGCCACTAAACGCGAAAAGTTTGCTACTAATCTTGTGAAGTATGTCGTCGATAACGGCCTCGATGGTCTTGACATTGACTGGGAGTATCCCGCGGTGAGTTGACAGCCGTTCCGTTCTCCTGCAAGGCTGGATACTAATCTAAATCCCTTCACTAGGCGCCTGACCTGCCCGATATCGAGCCTGGGGACCTTGCGGAAGCCACAGGCTATTTACGCCTCCTCGCCCTTATCAGATCGAAGCTGCCTAAAGACAAATCGCTATCCATTGCAGCTCCCGCCTCCTACTGGTACCTGAAGCAGTTCCCTATGAAGGCCATATCAGAACTTCTCGACTACATCGTCTACATGACCTACGATCTTCATGGCCAGTGGGATGCTGGCAACCAGTGGTCCAGCCCCGGCTGCCCAAGCGGAAACTGCTTGCGGAGTCACATCAACCGGACAGAGACGCTGAACTCCTTATCAATGATCACCAAGGCCGGCGTGCCCTCAAACAAGATCCTCGTCGGCGTCACCAGCTACGGCAGAAGCTTCCAGATGGCCGATCCGTCTTGCACCGGCCCCAACTGTCTGTTCACCGGCGACAGAACGACATCATACGCTCGTAAGGGGCGGTGCACAAAGACAGGCGGCTATCTAGCCAATGCCGAGCTCAACGAGATCGGCGGCCGCACGTGGATGGACGTTGAAAGCGACTCCAAGATAATGGTCGACGGGGACCTCTGGGTGTCGTACATGGACAATGACCTCAAGAACAAGCGCACACAGCTCTACCAACGTTATAATCTCGGTGGCACGTCAGATTGGGCTGTGGACCTTGTCAGCTTTGTAGAGCCACCCAGTTCCCTCGGCGGACTCGGCTGGCCGAGGCTTAAGACGGATATTCGTGCTGGCATGTTTTTTGAACAGATCAGCTGCAATTCCGCGGAAATTGCGCGCACTGGCACCTGGGTCGCTAAATCTTGCGACGTGGACGAGATTGGGAGCTGGACACACTACACGCCCAAGCAGCGGTGGGATGCCCTCGATTGCCCGCATGCCTGGGACGACGCGATCAAAGTGTGGCAGTCATGCCACGAAGGACAAGGTGATGGTATTAGGTTTACTAAGGCCATATCCGAATTCATACACGGAATTCAGAATTCTGTAAGTAGAGCCTGGCATTAGACCAAATGGTCTAAATTCTAACGAAGACTTTGTGTAGAATTGCGACGACCTGTCGATAGAGACAAACTGTCCTGCTATGTTTTGTAAAGAGCATAACGCACCTGAGGTCCCGGAAAAAGAAAAGACAGGGGCCTGCACATACGAGATTTGGAACTCGATATCTGAGCTCTCCAGAGTGAGTTAAATAACCATAGCTCTCTAACTTGACTGTTGATTGCTAATCCTGTGTACCTCTTGGTAGATGATTAAAAACTACTACTATTCCTTAAGTAAAGCTGGAGATGATCTTGGAAGCACAAAGGAAGAATTCATCAGCATCTTTGCCCCAAAGTCGGACTCCGGGATAGAGTTTCTAATGCTCTTGCTAACCTTGATTCCAATTCCCCTCAATGCGGGGGCGGCACGTTTCTTTGGAGGTGGTAAGTAATTGTGCCTATGCCTATACTATGTGTAGTTCAGGTCAACCCCAAACCCTAACAACTGAACCTCCAACTGCTAGAATAGGGCTAACACATTTTCACAGGGCTTGCAGGCAAACTCCTTGGGGGAAGTCCTAGTGCAGCCCAAAAATCCGTGTGGGAAGCCGCAACCTCCAACATCGTCAGTGCTGGTTCCTCCATCGCCAAAGACGCACTCGCCAAGGCCAAAGACGGTCGCTCAGAGATCGCCTTTAACGCCATCTTTGATACCCTAATTACGAGCTGGATGTCTCAGACCGACTTGCTTATAAGGTCGATCTTCAATGGAGATAAAGACAGCATCAGGAGATTGAGCGAAATATTCAGCAACGGCAATTTGATCGACGGCAAATTAGACAACGGTATAACAGATTCTACCAATGGCCACACGGACAGCTGGAATCGGGAGAAGAGTATCCAGCGCGCCTTCTATGCCGCCGCGATTCCTGCCGCCTGGGCCGCCAACCGCCCGGCACCCATCGTCATCGACTTCGGCCCTAGCTGTGAGATCGATGCGCGTAACTACTTCAATGAGCCGCCAAACATCTACAACACAGGCTGGAGGTGCATCGACGGGCACTCCTACATCCTCGCCGGTGTCCGCGATGGCCCTCAGGAGGCGTGCGGTCAGCAAACCCCTGGCAACACAAACCAGTGCCCACCTGTAAAAAAATGGACTTTCAACATGCTCAAGGGCATGGAAGTGATCAGGACGGACGACAACAAGTGGGGGGGCGTTACAGTGGATGAACTTATCAAGGGGTTAGTATCAACTAAATCCACCAACTGAGAAACGAATGTGGACTAACTTTTTTTTTTTTTCCTCTTCGCAGCGCCATCAATACGTACAATATGAACGACAAGAAAAACATCATGGACGCCTCAAGAAATGTGCCGGACGCTACGAATAAGACTATTACCGAGGAGTACGCGTCAGATAAGCTGAACATTAAGAGGGCTGGCCTCATCCGCATCCCCATCTGCAGCCCTGAAGAAGCGACGGCAAACCTCAACAAGGGCCGGAAATACTATGGTGACTCCCTTAACTACCCTTGCAACGCATAATGGCTATATAAGTAGTATGTAGTAAATATATAGAAATAATATACAAGTTTAATTATTTCATAATATAATATACCTTAACAAGTATAACTGTAATTGTTATGATGTCTATAATAGTTATCATCATGGGGTGTCCAACACGCAGAACCCGCTAAGCCCAATGTGCCGCGCTAGCTTTGTTTAGCCTAGCAGCATAGCAACAAGCACTTACGGGCCGTATAGCTGTGGTAGAACTTTAATGTACTGTATTGTACATTATCGCCCTCTTCATCATAGCTTGCATTGAGACAAGCACAGCCAGCGCAACGCCAATGTGCGACATGTACTATAACCAGGGAATAACCCAGCTACAATACAGGGCCATATGGACGCCAAGACTGCATCTTACCTGGCTACTGCGGCGCAGCGAGTGGAACAGTTACCTAACCGGCGCGCCACATAATTGAAAAAGGGCCTCAGGACGGTCGTCCTGCCAGAATCGCTATTTAGTTACAGTCAGTCAGTCTGTGTGACCGTCTTGAATTAAGGGTGAAGCTTCAACTCACAGGGTTGAAGCAATAGAATAGTAAATAGAAAATAAACCCAACTATAATCGTACTACAACAGAACTGTCTTTTTAGAACATAACTGCCTCTACCTCAATTATGGTAGGGTACAGTACTCGACGTGCTTTTATAGGTCTGTAATTTATCACCATAATTAGATAATTATTAAATATAGTCGATTGAATAATGTTTACCTTGCTATATTTTTTATAACTCGCTATATAAATATACATAACAGATACATACGGAAGACCGTTTGTATTATAATAACTTTCTTATTTATAAAACTATAATCTAGATCGTGGTGTTTGACCTGCGGGGTTTGGCGCCCGCCTAATCGGGCAAAGCGTGTGCACGGACCTATCGCCGCTTTCGAGCTGTATAAAAGTGCCACTCCCGCCCCCCGAGTGTCTCTATCCTATGGTTAAAGCTATAGAAGAAATCCGCATGCTAAATGACCAGTTATTTCTTGACATTTTACGAGTTAGGCTTTAGAAACCTAGGGCCGGAAGATGACAGCAGTTAGCAAGGCGCTGCAGATGAGGCGCAAAAAGGTTGTATTAGACAGAGCTTTGAGCTGTACTAGACGCGTAGTGCTGTATGCCCTTCAGAGGAAGAGTACCTCGAGATAGTTGAAAAAAGTAAGGGAACCCCGCAGGTTTACTGCGAGAAGCGCATAAATCCCACCACGTCAGAAACCAGAAGTCTGTTGGGTTATGAGATTACTCTACTACAAACGGGGAATATAGCTCTGCAACTACCCGCAGGAATGAAAAGATGTTCCGCGGGAAATCCGCGACTGAGTAAGTTTGATGGCAGCCTAAGGCTTATTGATGAATCTACACGTCATGGCTCTCGAAAAATCCGGAGTGTAACAAAGACATGTGCAGAACAAAGGCGTCCAAGGCACGAACCTGTTTTCAAAATGGTTCGCAAATGGAAACCACACTAAATAGTTACCTCAAAACATCTCGGTGGGTGTTTGGCCGGGCCGAGATACCAGTCTCCTGTGGATTAATGGTTTGGCTTTCATATAGATCAAAAGTTTCGAACAACGTGCCTGATGCACACAAAGCCCCACGCCGACCCCGCGCCGACCCCGCACCTCACATCGCTGACTAACCAACGCTTGGCACCACACCTTCGGAATAGGCTCGATGAGAAACCACTAAACCAAAGCAGCATTACGGCGAGAAATCTCAAATCCCCAGTCCGCTCTCCGTCGCTTTGCTTTCAGGCGCTTCCTGCAAACGGGAGGTATTCTACGCGCTTCCCGCAAACAGAATGGCGTTCTATGCCCACGACAAGTGTACACGCGCGTAGAACGTTATACGATTAGAGGGAACCATGACATTATGGCACTGGGAACAATCATGCGGAATCCGGCAGGAGCGTAAAAATAGCAGTTATTAATATACATGCAATACATATATAGCTCCCAAGACCGTAATCGTCCAAGGCCAGACCGTGTATACCAACTGAGATATCACTTCCGACTCATCGAATACTGGCTATCATGGCGGTGTTAAGCAAAACTGGCACATTTGCTAGTTATTACCTACTTTGGACTTTTGTTGTGCTGAGTTAGTCGCTTGCCAGGCACTTCATACAGCATCTTTCGCTAACAACAGGTGCCCACAGGTCTTGCCTTTCCTGCCGAGCTCTCTTCATCGTCAAACGCTGCTGAGTTCTCGAATTTCCTTCCGCCTAACCCCTTCTCCAAGTCTGTGGAGACACGAGATCCTATCGCAAATGGTGCTACATTGAGAGTGCTCTGTTTGGGTGCCTCGATTATGGGTGGCTATTTGTCCACGGATAAAAACGGGATGAGGTATGCACTGCGCTCTGCTCTTGCTGCTCATGGAAACAAGGTGAGCTAAGCTCTTTGTCTCCTCTGCTCTTAGTCGTCTACTGGAAACTGCGAGATTTACTGCAGACGAGCTTAGACGTATTTGCTTATACAAAGTAGGTGAACATGATCGGAAGCATTAACCTCGGGACCATGGATGATAATAAGGTTGAATCCTGGCCTGGTTACCGGATTGATCAAGTTGCTAAGAAGGCGGAGCTGTCCCTCTCAAAGCTGCCTAATGTCGTTGCAATTCTCGCAGGCACCAATGATGCTGGGCAGGGCTTTGACACTCGTACGTAAACCCCTGTAAACAATAATTACTTGCCAAGTGATTATCTGATCATTTTTCTTAGCCAACATGGCCAACAGAATGGCGACCCTTATCGATCGCATTTTTGCTGTGGCTACTGGAACAACCATTATTCTTGGAACATTGCCTCCTATGTACGAACCTGCGGACGACATTGTCCGACAATACAACAGTGATCTTGCAGACTTGGTATCTAAGAGATCGGCTGCGGGGCAAAAAATATTCCTGGCGGATATGCACTCTCCAGTATGTATCTTTCTGTTTTCACCCGCTTCCGAAATAGAGCTAGCTTAAGTCTTCTACTATCACAATACTCGCCGCTTCGTGCGATTCTAATATAGACGCCAAATGTGAAATATATACTAATATATATAGTGGTGGAGTCTCGCTGATATCTCCGGCGACAACGTCCATCCAACTAACGCTGGGTATCTCAAAATGGCCCGTGTCTTCTATGATGGGATTATAGCAGCAAACGATTCCATCACGCCACCTAAAACACCCCCTGGCGGTATTAGTGACCCTATTCTTCCGTATGTAGTTGGCCATGGACCCACTGCCAGCGACAAGACTTCTGGAAGCACAATAGGGCCAATCCAAACCCGGCAAGGATCGCCCCCAGCATCATCCTCAGCATCTACCCTCTCAACAAATCAGGCAAAGTTCATTGCTAGCCAAGGCACTCCTTACCCTACTACCGTTACAGCGCGTCTAGCTTCATCGTCAGATTCGGGCAGTTCTTACCCCACTACTGTCACAACGCGTCCAGCTTCATCCTCAGAATCTTCTTCGTGCCAAGATTCGTTGAACGGCTGCCCCACCTCGCTAGGTGCCAACCTCTCATCAAGTCTAGCAAGCTTCATTGCTAGCCAGGGCAGTTCTTACCCTACTACTGTCACAACGCCTCTATCGTCATCCTTAGAATCTGGCAGCTCTTACCCTATTGCTGTCACAACGCGTCCAGCTTCATCCCCAGAATCTTCTTCGTGCCAAGATTCATTGAACGACTGCCTCACCTCGCCGGGTGCCAACCTCTCAACATGCCAGGCGAACTTCGCCGCATGCCAGGGCTCATTGGGTTTCACACAGCCAACAGTTGTTGGAACCAACAGCACAAGTGGTCTTCCCTCCGCCACCACTTCTAAGACGGCTATTTTTACTGGCGCGGCTTCTTTTGCAAAACCTGCTGCTAGGTTTCTTGCTCTCGGTGCCTTAGCCTTCTTCTAGGGACATTAAGGAGTAATAAGGGAGAACAAGGAGTAAAGTGGGGATCTTAACAAGTGTTAGAAATGCTGCTATAGTGGCCTTTTAAGCTGCTTAGAATGCGTCGAGAAATCTATTTCGGATGGGACTACATACATGGATTGCTTGCCAGCTTTCGGAAGTTGCAGCGTGTTTAATCTTCTACGAGTCCTCAGATGCCTTTTAAGATGCCTTTAATGCTCGTTCTTGAAGTACGCGCGATATTATTAGCAGAGCCTCCTATGATTTTTCAAGTTCCTAGATCCGCGTTGCTTCTGCTTCGCGAAGAGCTTTTATGTTAGTTAGCAAAAGCAGGAGGTCGTCCACCCCTAAAACGGGCTTCGACTTCACTGTTCTGTCTAGCCCGAGCGTGTCTATAAACTACTAATATTATAGCATTCTAAACTGTGCTCTGTATTGTGAAATTGCACCCCTTCTTCACCTAGTCTTCATCGTACACATGTCCTGAATCACAGAACGCCAGTCCTCTAAATGCTAATCATGACAGAGCCTAATTAAGAGTTAGGACAGGTAGCTACTCCAACGTCTGAATTTAGGGCTATTGTTCCCTTGTCTTTTAAACTTGCCTCTAATACCTCTAGGATTGTCTATAGTAGCAGGGGCATATTTATTTTTAATAACAGTAGTTAGGTCATTATGCTTGTCTTTAAAGCTTTTGTAGTATCTAACTAGGCGTTTAGTCTTTATTTTTAGTTGGAAACGCTCAACACAATTATAAAGGCGTTGAAGTAGACTAAATCGATAAATGCGTTCCTTCTAGGGAGTATAACGACGACAAGCTTGTTCTGCTTCAAGAGGGTACGATTTTAGCCACACCGGGGTGACAGGTACAGAGGAGTAGAGTGCTGTGTTTGAAAGACGTGGCGGCTTGCATGGGAGAGCTTGGGGACATATATTGACGGTAGGAGCTGAGCTCGAAGTGCTAGGTGGGTAGCTGCCATAGTGGGTAGATACTCGACTGTAACGTAGTCGAGGAGCTGAGGGTTTCAGCAATGCCTACAGTATTCCTATATAACTACGTAGGCCCATTAGATAGTTTGATAACTCAATCGATTTGCTCTAGACACTGTACGCTATATACTGTGCCCGTATTCTGAAGCCTCCGCTCCGCCTGCCAGGTGATAGTTTCGGTGACCGGGGTTTTGGCCACCGTACTACGGCAAAACCCTTCAACAGTGGCCAATCGCCAAAGCTTCGACACGTGATGAACTTTTAGGTGTTCGGGGCTGCGCAGAGCAGCAACTAACGCCAGCTGAAAACAGCAGCTCTGACACTACAGCCTTGCATAATCTTATAATATATTTACAGATGTTATAATACCTTTCCTTGCTCCATCCGTATTTTAGACGGTCTACGTGATTTATAGGTAGTTTAAACGATTTGAACAGGACCGTCTGAAGACCGTTTAAAATTTATGTGGCGCGGCGGCAAGGGTCCGGCGGCGCAGCAAATGCAACAGTAGGGTCACGAGGTGCCAACATCTGGAAACATATTCTCTGTTATAACACATAAGGGCTGCCTAATTCTGTCCCTTTGAGGCCATCATCTAAGTAAACGCTGAGTATATTTCCTGTCTCCGTCCATCGCACACATCCTTCATCAACATTCATCTTAAACCAAGTCCTCTGGCTCTAAACCCCCTCAAACCCCTCATTGCCAACTCCGTCACCCGAGTGCAACCATGTTCGACGCCGACAAATGGCGGCAGCCTTACCATCCATCACGACGGCATCCACGCCGTGACCTAACGCTGCGATACTTCGAGATCATGTTCTCTATCGTGGTTGTCGTGCTCTCATTCCCTTATGTCTTCCGCGTGCCGCCCAACTTGGTCGCTAGCTCCAAGTACCATGGGCGGCCCGACGGAGTCACAAATGCATATTTTGTGCTCTCGATGCTATTTGGATTTTTCATGGTATGGCTTGTTCTCTCTTCCCCTTCCCCAATTTCCTTAGTCCCCAGCCAAGCTTTAGATCCCTCTTCCTCCCGCTTTCTTCAACGGACGGCAACCAATTCACCACCCACCCACCCTTCGATTTCCCAACTGACAAGCTCCCCAAAAAGACTGCCCTCACAATAATCATCTGCGCTGTGCGCATCTGGCTGCTGCACTTCCGCCCTGGCCGTGCCACCAGTACCTCGACCTCCCTCAACCAATTCAATGCCAACCCCCACGACTCGCGGAATGTTCGCTGGATCATTCACCGCTCGCGTACAAACCAGGATAGCGGGCTGCTGCTGTTCTGGATCTTGTCGCTCATATGGTGGAACGTTGCACGAGTGCTTCCTATTGGTGCCCAGTATCCCGTCGTCAGCGACCTGCTGCAGATTATTATTAGTATTATTGTTGCCCTTCAAATGTGAGTTGCTTTGTGTTTCCTTGTGGGCCTTTTGGTGCTCATCTTCTCGTGGCCTCTCCCACACCGACGAGCCCGTGGCAATGGGCGAGCTGGATGAGCTCATGCTGTAGCATAGTGGTCGATGGTTTGGCTCGATCATGCAATCGGTGCTAATACGTAATTCAGTATCCTGCTCATATTTAGCCTGCGAATTGGGATGGCAGATTCAAGGAACGCTCGAGCCGGGCTCTAGTTTGATAGGAGAGATATATATGATCGAGGACAGTAAGGATGTATGGGATGAAGAGAAGATGATGAGGGGAGGAATGGGAGGCAAATCACGACTAACGGCTAATTGTTTTATTTGGTTTATGGTATAGCAGAGTTGTTTGGATAGTTTGATCATAGGGTATCGTAACGTATTTTTATTAATATATCTTTTAAATGATACTCCTTTGGTAGACCAAATAATCTGTAACGTGACTAACCACTTCCAAAGGAAATATATGAGAGTTATAAAATATCGCTATCTTTAAGGATGTTTAACTAGCGTGCGTCACGGGGGACTGACCTCAGACCGGACCATGGGGCGGTGGTCCGGTTCCAAATCTTCGACCCAGACCGCGGTCCGGTCTGAAGCTGAAGCCAATAACTCACGGTCCCCCACCGGTCTGCCAAGAAACCAGTGGTCCCCCATAGCGGTCTGGGCGGTTTGCCGTGGTCCAGGTTGGAAAGTCTTCAAACTCGCGGGTTGGAACCGTCGGTCTCCCGTGACGCACGCTATGTGTAACTTACTCAATGCTGTATTTCTTATGTTAGCATTACTATAGTTTGAGGCTTATGGAGCCGTTACCTGGGAAATCTCAAACGACGTCATTCCCTCTTGGGGAATAAGATGCCTTGTGTTTGAAGCCGAAAAAGGCCTTGCATCCTGCATAGTCGACTTTTAATAACTTTTATTTAGGCGGATAGAGCTTTTGACAGCAAACAAAGTTATATTCCTCCGTACTCCTCACTATATTGCGGGGTTCTAGCGGCCGATCAATTAATTAGCCTGTAACCGACGCTCCGGCTCTTCTAAATTCCATCTAATCAATTCGCGGGGTCTCTCAAGCCCCTGGCAATTCGAAGTCTTGGCATCTACAACTCCCCCCAAACATCGATCGCCGAGACGGGGGATTTAATTCCGTATGGTCGGGCGAAAGCTCTTTTGAACCAGCACTGCCTCGTCGAAATGGAATATAATCAGTAGGTCGAGCTGTCTCCTTTCTGCTCCTCTCCCTCCCTTTCTTTCTCACCTTCGCCACGAGTACCGTTCTCTCCATCCCCAAAATGTTCCTCACTCTCCCCACCGTGGCGGCGCTCGCCGCCATCCTTCAAACCACCTACGCCGCCAAACCATATTCCACGTGGATGTCCGACACCTTCATCACCAAAGCCATCCCCCTCCCTCGCAGCTACCCCCAAGCAGTGCTCTACCGCGGCATCGAAGCCGTCTACAACGTCACAGGCGACGCCAGCTACTTCAACTACCTCCAAACCCCCCTCGACGCCATAGTCGACTCCAAAGGTAATCTCGGCGACGGCTACACCTCCTCCAAGCTCTCCCTCGATGACCTCCGCGTCGGTCCCACCTTATTATATCTCTACCGCGAAACCGGCGACGAGCGCTACAAAACCGCCGCGTCGCAGCTGCGCGCCCAACTTGATATCCAACCCCGCACCCCCTCAGGCGGCTTCTGGCACCGCAAGCCCGCTTACCCTAACCAAATGTGGTTGGATGGGATATACATGGCCCAGCCCTTCTATGCGGAGTGGACGGGCATGTTCGATGCGTCGAATGAGGAGATTTGGGATGATATCGTGCTGCAGTTTGATTTGATCGAGCAGCATTGCAGGAATAAAACCAGTAACCTCCTAGCGCATGGGTATGATGAGAGTAAGGTGGCTTCGTGGGCTGATCCGGTGACGGGCGCGGCGCCGCATGTGTGGGATCGTGCGGTGGGGTGGTATGCCATGGCGCTGGTGGATGTGTTGGACTACCTACCCAAGGAGCACGCGGGGCATGCGAAGCTTGTCGGCTACCTGGATACGCTTGCTGATGGCTTGAAGAGGGCACAGGATAAGAGTGGAGGGTGGTGGTTGGTTATGGATGAGCCGTATCCGGGGATGAAGGGGAATTATATTGAGACTAGTGGGACCGCTATGTTTGCGTATGCCCTACTGAAGGGGGGGAGGTTGGGATATATTGACAGTGCGAAGTATCAGAAAACGGCGACTAAGGCGTATGACCTGTTGAGGAAGAAGTATGTGATTGAGAATTCAAAGGGGGAGCTGGATTGGGAAGGAACGGTTTCAGTGGGCAGTTTGGGGGGTAATGGGAGCTATGAGGTGAGTCGATCTGTTTCTTGGGGCAGATTTGCGATTGCTAACATTGCCGGTAGTATTACATATCCCAGGTACTTACTCAGAATGACCTGAAGGGTGTTGGGACGTTCATATTCTTGAGCGTCGAGAAGGAGGCATTGTAAGCTTGAGTTCGGTAGGCATATGACCCTGGCCGCTTGAGATCTCTGGAATAGGTATGTATGTAGCTAGGTCATAAAATATTGTCATTCTGTCTTTAAGTCTAAGGTAGGAACACATGGGCAGCTTTTAATCTAAATAACTGATACCTCCTCCGCGTGTCCCGCACGCTCATCATCCTCCTTAAGATCCCGTCCCTTATCCACAAATTCGCCATGCGACGAGTTGTTACCAATACGCGCATCCCTAGCCATCTCCCTCGCAATCCTCGGCGGATCAAAAATCGACTTAGACCTCGTAAACACCTCATCGATCTCCTCCAACGTCCTCCCGCTCGTCTCCGGAAAGAGGAAAAACACAAGTGGCAGGATACAAAAGTTCGTCACCGCAAACACAATGTAATACCGGTTTTTGATCGAGCTGAACCCAATCGGCGTCACCTCCGCCAGCAGGAAATTCGTTATCCACACCATCGCCGTCGATACCGAGTTCACCGCCGCGCGCAGCTGCAGTGGTGCGATCTCAGCTGCATACACGAAGGTAACTCCCGCGAACCCAACCGTGAACATGAAGCTGAAGATGAACAAACAGATCACCGCCACGATCAGCGCAGCATCCCCCGCACCCTCCGACGTCGTCCCCGCAAGAATCGCCATCATAACCATCATAACCGCCGCGCCCGCAATCATCAGAACACGCCTTCCAAGACGATCAATAGTCAATGACGCGATATACCCGCCCACCGGCTGCGTGAGCGGCATCGCCGCAGCCAGAATCCGGGATTTCGTCGGGTCGATCCCGAGGTTCTGCTCGAAGATCGTGGTGGCATAGAAGGTAATCGCGTTGATGCCGTTGATCTGCTGGAACATCTGCGCCGCGGACGCGAGCACAGCGCGGTGAAAGAGGCGCTGTGGGCCCATGGTGAACATGTCTTTGATGGAGCCGGTGCCGCATGCGTCGAGCGAGGCTTGGATCTCTGCGATGTTGGTATCGATCGCCTCTGAGTCCTCGGGGATATCCTCTAGCACAGCGAGGATACTCCTCGCCTCCTGCAGGCGACCGACTTTGATGAGCCAGCGCGGCGACTCGGGAAAGAGGAAGACAAAACACAACACCATCAGCGACAGCACGATCTGGAATGCCAGCGGGAACCGCCACGCCACTGCCGTCCCCCCCGGAATGAAGTAAAAGCCCAGATCAATCCATAAAGCTATCGATATTCCCGTTCCGATAAACGTCCCCAGTGTCGCGACGTCGGATCCGCGCTTCGCGGCGCTGGATAACTCGGATTGCCAGACTGGCACTGTGGCGACGTAGCCGCCGGTGCCGAGACCGAGGATCACGCGGGCGACAATGAATTGGGCGAGGGAGAAGGATGAGGCCATGAGGACGGCGCCGAGCAGGGAGACGAGGGTGGCGGCGAAGATGATGCGGCGGCGGCCGTGGACGTCGCCGAGGTGGATGCAGGCTAGAGAACCGAAGATACCGCCGACGGTGTAGAGTGCTACGACGGTGCCTGCGGATGTCAGAATGTCTCTCCATGCCTTGCATTTCTCACTCGTCCTCCACATCCCACGATTTTTGGTTCAAATAGTCCTCATATGAGGAAGGGCAGAGTCAATTGGAAAACAAACCTTGAATATTCGAATTATACAACTGCGCCTCCCCCTTCGTATGCAACGTATCCATCTGCGGAAACGCCCTCACAAACGCATCAAGCGTCAGCAACCCCCCCATAACACCCTGATTATACCCATAGCACAAGAACGCGGGACACGTTACTAGCCAAATAGCAGCAGTATTGAGGCGCGGCCCCTTCAGCCCAAAGTACGGCGCCATAATGTGATTGCGAGCGGGCGACGTCAGGTATATCCACGTGTCGTGGGTATTGAGTTATGACGAGCTATTTGCGGATTGAGGGGGGGCATATGGGGGTGTATAAATGGGCTTGAATTGCACATGGAAGTCCAGCACCCGGATAGCGGCGTATTCCTAGCGTGGGTCCGAAAAGGGGGGCTATTCCAAGCTGGCCCGTCGGGTGCCCTGGGACCCCACAAAACAAGCCGGAAGGCGCATTCTTATCTTGCGCGCGCGGATCATAGCTCCTCTAAACGACGATGCCGCGGTTACAAGGCTAAGCTCCAAACGGTGGTGACGATGGTGCCTGGTGAACGTTTTTTGTTGCTCGGTTGGAGTGTCTGGCGGTTGGGGGGGAGTGGGGTTATTTGTGGAGAATGCGGGGGAGGAGTGCGGGGAAGTGGGGTTGGAGGCGAAGCCCGGTGCTGGCTGTGTCGGTAATGGCCGATAGGGTGGCGGTAGTTGGGGATGTGTCTTAGATGAGGATGTTGATGAGATTTGGGCTGTGTAGGGAAATGGGGATGTTGTTGGTGGCGTTGGGTGGGAATTGGAAGGTCGGATTTGCTACCCGAGGTTGGTTTTGATGGGAAACGCACACATATATAATTAAAAGCTTATATGACGTAGAAAAAGGCGCAGCAGGTTAACAATTGAAAACCTAGCTTATGAAAAACAAATATATGGCTTAGTCTGTCGCGTGGTCCGGTCCGTCCACCTCCCGTTCAATGGCATGGAGTAAAACAGTTTCGTTGAGGTCCGCAGTGGACTAGACCTCTAAACGTTATTTCGAAGCTCCCCATGGGGGTTTCTATTATTCACTCCGAAATGGGGCTATCAGTCAATTAAAACCTGGGGAATCGGAATCCCCGAATTCTCTAAAACGCTGGAATCGGGAAGCGAACGGTGCATAAAAGTTTCCGAGGAAGCTGCAACTGAGCTATTGCTTGGTAATCGTTCCTTCAATATCCATAACGAGGTTGTGTAAATGGAAAGAACGATTACTAATAAAGCCTCAGTCGCAGCTTCCCTTATAACTTTAAAGATATAAATACAGAAGGTATGATTATCAAGCAAGCCTCAAAATCGCAGCTTCCTCGGAATCTCCAAGTCGTAATACGGAAGGTATGATCATAAAGCAAACCTCTATCACAGCTTCCTCAAAAGCTTTCAGTCCCTATATATGGAAAGAACGATTACCAACCAAGTCTCCATCGCAACTTCCTCGAAGCCTTCAACTTATATATATGGAAGGAACGATTACGAAGCAGTGCCTCAGTCCCAGCTTCCTTAGAATCTTCAAGTTATAGATGAGGAAGGTATGACTATCAAGCAAACCTCTATCGCACCTTCCTTGGAAACTACAGTAGAGTCAAGTTAAGTCAAACCAGGCCAAGTCAAACAGGCCAAGTCAAACAGGTCAAGTCGAATCACGTAAGTCACATCAAGTCAAACCAAAAATCTACACGTCAAATCTCAATCAATTCAAGTTCTCAAGTTCTCAAACTATTACCCTACATCCCTAGTATATCCTCCCATCCCACCATATCCGAGCATGTCCCAGCATGTCCCACCCAAACTCCCCTATCCCCCAATCCATCCGTGAACCCATCAATATCCATGCACCTTCCCCCCCAACCAATCCAGACGCCCCTTATAAAAAAGTCAAAACCGCCTCCCAATTCCCACCACTCATCTCACAAATCTCCCCATCCCTCTTAGATACAACTCAAAACCCCCTCGGCGCCCTACCCCTAATCCTCGGCACCGCAGACGCAGTCTCAGACTCAGGCTTCGCTGTATAAATACTACCCATCTGCATAACCATCGTTCGCGTCTCTGTGACTGTCTCCTCGACTATCTCCGTCACTGTGCCCATTCTCTGTCCTGAGGCTGAAGTGGGTGTAGGTGTGGTGGCACTCAAGAATGGCGTGACGACTGGTCGCGATTGGGAGATGCTGGATTGTTGCTGTTGTGCCGATGATGCGCGAGTCTGCGTGTTTTCCGGGGCGTTGGCGGTGACGGTGACGGTTATCATAGTTCCTGGCGCTGTGACTGTGACTGTCACGCCGCCCACGGGTGCAGTGGCGCTTGGATTGCTTGGTGTAGCGGCAACTGATTTGGAATCCGACTCTCCACTGCTCGAACCCCCCGTGCTGCCATCGACAGGAACCATAAACTGCACATCCATCTCCCCCTCAATCGCGGCATTATTGATATCCTGCCCCTTGATATACTCCACACTCCCCTTCGACGATGTCAATTTCGCCGACGCCCCGGTGGAGGCAGAAGAATCGATATCAACATCCATACAACTCGTATAAATCTCCGGCATCGCCGCAGCCCCATTGATCGCCGCCGTCGGCCAATCCCACACCCAGTACAACGTGTACCTCTCACTATCGATACTAGCCGGGAGCTTGACATCGCTCTGACACCACAGATTCACTCCCATCTCCGCATCCGCTTCCTTGGGGAACTCCTTCTGTCGCTCCAACGAGATCGGGTGGCTGTTAACCTGGTAACACTGCCCGTCATCATAATTCCTCGTCGCCAAAAGTACACCGCGGCCATCACCCCCTTTACCATCCGCGGTCCAGACTTTATGGATATCCATGAATTTGTCAGTCACGAGCGGCTTCTCAGTGCCGTAAATGTACACCGTCCCGCGATTCTTCGGCTTCCCCGGGTTCGTCTCGGGAATAGTCACATGTCCATTTTCCTGGTACCTCAGCGCGACATGATCCCCCGCCCCTGCTGTCAGACGCGGCAAGCCGGGTGTATTGAGGCCGGGAACAGATTGCGAGAGCATGCACATAGGGTCGGTAGCGAGGAGTTTATGAGGGGAACGCCCGTTGGGGGGAAGAAGGTGTGTGAGTGCTGTGTCGGAGAATAGGGGGGAGGAGCGGGCCACCATGCCGCGCGGGTAGCCGGGGGTGGGGGTGAATGTGCCGTTGGGGTTGATGAGGCGGAGTTGCTCGATCCAAGTATGTGCTGATGTGCCCGGGAGGAGGAGAGAGAGGAGCGCGAGAAGGGCGGTAGGATGCATGGCTAGGTAGTAAGAGTGTCGTCCTGCGACTTTTTGGTGTGTGTGTGTGTTTGCGGGAGAGATGGCTCTCTATTTTTAGTTGTAGTATTTTGTTTGCGTAACTAGAATGTGCTTTGAGTATTCTGCGATTATAAGATTTTCGAAGAAGTTGCCGAAGATTGAAAGGGCGAGCGATATATAGCGAAGAAATGAATAGCGCTTTCGATGTGTGAATGAACAGCGCGGGCAGTCCAGCTGCTACTGTCCAGCAGGTGATAAAGAAGAGGAGTCAGAGAAGAAGAGGTCTGAATGGGAGTTGTTCGGGACTAAAGCTTTCATCTTGGCATTGTCGCCGGTGGCGCAAATAAGATGGTTGGTTGATGTCCTGAATGATCAATATGAATATTGCTTGTTTGAGGGTGATTGATGGTTTTTCTTTCTTATTGTCGATGATATTGAATTGATGGTACAGATGGCATTGGTGTTCCAGACAAAGGGAACAACAGAAAGCACAATGGGACGACAATGATAGACAATAAGAGTGAATAGGCGGGTATGCCTGGGGCAGAGCGTCTTTATGAGTAGCGACAAAGGACGACGATGGGTGGGTTGGCGCGTGACCAAGCGCGCGCGCGTGTAGGTGTGACAATGAGAAGGGCGTTTGTTTGTTACTCATCAGAGAGGCGAAACACGTAATTATGGAGATTTGTCCCCATAATAGGAGAATAAGCAAGGAAATAGAAGTGGGAATAGGGAAATGGAGAATAGAAGATCATTTTTGGCCGACCCTTAATGTCCAGCCGCCATGATGGGGACGGCGGCGGTCGCAACAACCCCACACCCCGCCGTGCCGCCAAGGGGATGGTCGTCAATCAAGCCCAGACCAAGGCCTGTCACCCAATCAGTTTCGGCGTCTCACAACCGTCTGAATCGCCCCTCAGTCAGGGATTAGGGGATAATTTAGCATCCATGTGGGTACTTGTGTTTAGTACGACATTGTAGTACGAAACACAAGTACCCGCGCGAATTAAACAGCAACCACACCCCTAACAAAACCCCAACAAACCCTGTCAGCCAGCCATTGTCCCTGTCACTCCCGGCGTCTGAGGCGTCGAAGCCACAACTGCCAGCCACTAACAGCCACTGACTGTCCACTGACAGCCATCACCAACCATCACTAAATGGTCCCTCCGTCCACCCCCATCCACCCCCAGCCATCCCCAGCCAGTCACTCCCCCGGCACTCGTCTGGTACCTGACTTACACCCTTGTTGCACCCTACCTTATCCGTCTTATCCGTCATCGACGTCGCATGCACCACCCCACAACCACACACGTCAGCGTCTACAGGCCTGCGAACGCATTTACCAGCGACAGGTCTGGGACAGCCTTGTGCTTCATGATGGGAGGGGTGGAAGGAGGGGTTGGAGGGGCGAGAGGGTGTTGTGGGAAGGGGGGTTCATCGCATTCTGGATGAGCAGCTGCCACGGAGGGAAGTGGACGGGAGATAGTCGGCGCACGACACGGGGTCAGGGCCAATCAAAGATGCTTGCGCGGCGACAAGGAGGTTGATCGCGAAACGGCGGGACTCGTACACGGAAAAGAGGAGAGAGGGATGGGATTTGATGGTTGGTGGAAACTGATCGTTCATGGCCGTAGGTTTGTTTAGGAGGGGCGGGTTTAGCGTATTCGTGCCACAGTAGGCGCGGACATGGTAAATGAAGGGATGGGGATAGTTGAGGAGGGAGAGTTGGATGTTGGATGGTTGGTGAGAGGAGGACAGGCAATGGTCGCCGATCACGTGGTTGGGTGGTTTTTGTTGACAAGTGTTGGAAGTGTTGGTTTGTTGGCTATGAAGGCAACACGAGGGCTGAAACGACAAAGACCATCACCATGAAGATGGACACTGACGAGCTGAGCGTCTATACCCAACACGCAAACACATCATATCACGTGTTGCGCTCTTTCTCATTCGTTGAAACGAGGAAGGTGCGACAACTAGGGAAGCGACGACCAGCCCAGTCGCCCCTTCCCAACCAAGCGCCTCATATTTCCTATGTTCCTTCCCTCTCTTCTCCTTCTCCCTCGTTCCTTTCCTCCTCTCCCACTTGTCCATCGTACCTTCCCTCCTTCCCTCGCTCCTTCATTTTCCCAGTTCCTCCCTTCCCTTGCTCTTTCCTTCTCCCAGTTCCTTCCTTCTCCTCGCTCGCTCTTTCTTCGCTGCTATGATCTTACTAACAGAATCTCACCACTACCAATGACTTTGCAGGGACGGCAGATATCTCAGCACTATATATCCAGCCGCTCGATATAATATACAATTTGCAGGTCCAGTCTGGTGTTTCTCGTAAGGCTGAGTGATCCCGATCCTGAAGGAAGCTTGGTACTCTACACTGAGAGATCCCGATCATGAAGGAAGCTTGGTACTATACGTGGCAAGCTACTCTGAGAGATCCCGATCACGAAGGAAGCGGGGTGCGTGGGATACGTGGGATGCCAAGCTCAACATACTGAGCATCCAATACTTCTCGTAATATACTGAATCCTACTGCTGCATGTCAAATTCAGCCCTACGTATATAAAAGCCGATCACCCGTGACCGATCACCCCCCTTTCAATTCTAGCTTTAGTATCGCCACTACCATCAACACCCTCACCCCCAATTCCACTCCCACCTACCAAAATGAAACTTACCACCACCCCCCTCTTCCTCACCCTCCTCGCCCTATCCATCCACCCCTCATCCGCAGCACCAGCAGCGGATTTCGAGTGGGAATGGGCCCTAGGCAACCCGTGCAAGACACCTGGTCAAGTGTGTTGCAGCGATTACCACTCCAAACTGTGCGTAACTGACCACTTTCCCCATCTTACAGAGTTACAGAAGGCTGATTATCTCCGGCGGGATAGGCTGAATCAAGACATGTATGTTTGTGCTGGAAGCCCACCAAGATGGACGCTTCAGGCGACTTGTGGTCCGAAAACGTGGTGTTATGTCGATTATGGGAAGAATTGGGCTTGGTGTGGGTAGATGTTGAGATGATGGGAGGGGGGAGGTCTTGAAGGATGCGAAGGATGCGAGGTGCGTGGATGACAGGTTCAACAGAGATATAGTAATTCCAAAGCTTCCCGTCATTGTATCACGTCCTTCTGCTTCTCGTCAAACGCAGCCTTGGGTATAAAGATAGTCAGTCAACCGTAGTCAATTAGCACTTTTTGGATCATTCCTTTTTGGATTCCAGCTCTAAGACCACCATCACCATCATCGTCGATAACCTCACTCCTCCCTCCCTCCCTCACCTCCCAAAAATGAAGCTCACCACCACCTCCCTCCTCCTAACCATCCTAACCATCTCCACTCCATCTGCCAGCCAATGGATAACCGAGGGCAGTCTCTGCTCCCCCGCTGCTAAAGTTGCATACAGCTACTTAAATGCGTGCGTAATCCCCTACCATGTTGTTTCTACCTCCTACAGCAGATGACTTATTCCTAGCTGGATAGACCTCAATCGCAGATATATGTTTGTGCTGGAAGTCCCACGGTGTGGCAGTTCCAGGCTGATTGCCCGGGTGGAAAGGAGTGTTATTTGGATGAGAGCAAGAACTGGGCTTGGTGTGCTTAATGGTGAGGTGGTGGAGGGGGCGGGGGGGCGGGGAGGCTGAAAATGTAGGATAAGCGGTATGTGGTGTGGGGGCTTGAAAGATATGTCGTGAAATGAGGATGCCGGAATGCCACTCGGGCTATAGTCATGCTGTATCTTCCGCTCTACTTCATTTTATTCTATGATACTACATTCTATCGTATTGCGCTCTACACTAATATATGTCTCATATGATATGGTATTAGACTCTACTATAATACATATTATCTAACATGATCCTGTATTTGGGCTTCTCACATTCTGTCCGGAGCATAAATAATCAGTCATCTTCTCTCTAATTCCGAAGATCCCCATCATCACCATCAGCCTCTACTCGAATATAACATCAATCGTTCCATAAACCACTCATCACGTAAGTCCAATTCAACGAACAAAATAAAGCCCATTGCCGCCTCCTTATTCCTCACCATAGCCAGTCTAGCTACCGCCGCACCAGGGCCATTAGCTCCACCAGCCATGGGCGAGCGATGCCCCAAATATAAAGACGTTACATGCGGCGTTAGTAATGAGTCTGTATTCCTAGATCCTCTTGTGATGTGACAGGTGGCCAATTACAAGGTGTATAGTGGCTTCGACCAAGTATATGTCTGCTCTGGAAATCCCCGGGTATGGAAATTTAGGGAGCATTGCTATCGGGGCATGGTGTGCAAATATGATGCTAGTATGAACCGTGCTTGGGGTGAGTAGTGTTGAGGTGAAAACGAAGGGGGGTTGATCTTGTGAGATGTAGCGTATCTGCAATAATTAGTTAGACGGAGTTATCATATCCTACTCTGATACATGTCTTGAATCCTACTGTATTATATTGCACGTTTTGCATTCTACTCTAATAGGTCTCAGATCCTATTATAATACATGTCCTCTTGTCCTACTACATCGTATTCTACAGTAATTCATGTCTCTCGTCCCCCTATATTACTATAGCTTGGAACTCTGCTCAGAGTATAAAGTACAAGTATAAAGAATGGACCATTCCCTCTTCGATTTAGCTTAAGATCACCATTATTATAATTATCATATTAGTCCCAAACCAAACACAACAGCCAATCGTTATACATTATCAATTACTTAACCCCCATTCCACCAACACAATGAAACTCACCATCGCCTCCATACTCCTTACTCTCTACGGCATAGCTCTCGGCGCACCACAGCCGAAAAACATAGATGGTTCGCCAGGCGTAGGAGACTGGTGTCCTATGACTAATAGAATTACTTGTGGCTTTGACGCAATGTCCGTAATCCCATACTCCCTTGTGACGGAACAGATCGCTGACTATTAGGTGGGATAGAACCGAGAACGACGTATGGGTCTGTGCTGGAAACCCCCGAGTATGGACGTATCAGACTAGCTGTCCCAAAGGCACAACGTGCCAGTGGGACTTTTTTAAAAATTGGGCTTGGTGTGCTTAGGTTTATGGAGATTTGCTGGAGAAGTTGGCTGGGATGGAGTGGGATGGTCCTATTCTGGGTAGCTGTGAGCAGGACTTACGGGAGCTAACTACGAGGGAATAAATTGCAGATGGAGTAGAGTATGGTGTAGACGTTAGGTCTATTATCTATAACGTACGGCGTGTAGATGGCACATGACAAACACATTCGTTTATAAAAAGCCAAAGATCTAATTTCTAAAACAAAATGCATGCCTTCTATTGAACCCCTAATCCGTCTATATATTTATACTTCATTCCCAAAAGATCGCCCGTGATAAAAATAAAACAAAGGAAACACACAACTTACCCGCAATATCCTTGATATATCCTTGATAACAAAAGAAAAAGCACTCACTTACCACGGTCCTTGCTAATTCGCACTCGGTACGGATAGCGGCCTAACTTTTTGGCCAAATAACTCATGCTTGGTTGCCACCTCCTTGATTGCCACCTCCTCGGCCGGTGCTCTGCGAATTATACGGATAGGTTGTTTTTGGCCTGTTCGTTACTGTTCTAATCGGTAGCCCTCCATGGTGTTGACCCCCTTGCTGTTGACCTCCTTGCTGTGGACCTCCTTGCTGTGGACCTCCTTGCCGTTGACCTCCTAGCACACCTCCTGGTATAAGCGGTATCCCGCCTATATGCGGTACGCCAGGCGATGGCGGTGACGCAGGCGGAATATAAGGCGGAGATAGCGTCTCGCCCGGGTCACTTAGACTGCTCGAACTACCCTCTCTCTCATCCACAAACGTCGGAATGCCCCTTAACACATACATCCGCCTGCAAAAAGGGCAATTGCGATTATACAGCCACATCAAAATACACCCATAATGGAACAGATGACCACATGGTAGGCGACGGACATCCTCACCCTCGTCGCCCTCCGCGCCGAAGTCTATCATACAGATGGAGCACGAGGCTCCCACAGGTACTGGACCCGCGCGCACTAGCAGACCCGTCTCATCGCCCGGAACATCGGGGACGTAGTACAATGCTGGCCTGTGCCCCAGCTCGCGTGCCCTATTGTTGCGCCAGGCGAGCCGAGCAAACCACTGTGCGCGCGTAAGTGTTGAGTATCCCCGCGGGAGACGCGCGACCCAACCTTCGAACCCACCACCGTCCCTTTCATCAACATCGAACTCGACTCTATCATCGTCATCATCAGGGAGGGGGGGTAGGACGGGAGGGGGTCCGGGATCCTCGTCTTCGTCTTCGTCTTCATCTTCATCTTCATCTTCATCTTCATCTTCCTCTTCGTCTGAGAAGGGCATTTCGTCCATTTCAGCAGCGGCCATCTCAGCGAGGATCTCCTGGCCTAGTATGTCGGGGTTTTCGAATAGCTCCTCTGGGTCCTCGAGCTCCTGCAGAGCCAAGTTGCCATCCTGACCCGCATCGCTGACGAGCTGGAAAAAATTGTCACGACTCGAGTTCGCGCGAGCACCCCATTCGCTATTGCTGCGATTGAGCTCATCTTCGGTAGGGGGCGGTTCAGCGCGGCCGCGGCGCTGACAGTCCGGACATAGATATTCGGTGTAGACGACATACTCAGGCGGGTAGCGGCACGCTCCAGGGTTGCAGACGCCGGTTGGATTCATCGGATGGTGGCAGCGATTAAAATTGACGATGTGCGTGCAGAGGGCATAGTATATTCGGCGCTGTTCGCACCAGCGAAAGATGGGAGCGACTTCCTCGACGAAGGCTATGTGAGTCAGGAAGGGGGCAAAAGGGGAGATGAATCTCTCATCTGGGGACGTCTGGTAGGGACCGTCTGGAACAGAAGCGGGATCCGACCCAGAAGAGGGATCAGCCATCTTGGACAGGGATGTTTGTTGTCTTACCTATGTTATTTGCTTCGCTGTTGTTGTTGGTGGTGTTGTGGACTGCTCTTGTGTCCACGAATAGACAGTTGCGAGGATGCTTGTGATCTGAAGAGCAATTATCCAGGTCCTGCATGTGCATTATATACTCATAGAGTGGATAATAGTCAAGGGATCTATTCATCGCTCGGGGAGCTGAAACGGATATTAGTCTCTGATGTCTTTCCATTGTTGTTCATTGTTCCTCAAATAATTCGAGTCACTGAACAAAGGCTTCATTGTTTCAGGAGTACTGCGGACTAGACGGGTAGTGGCGAGGACCGTGGCTGAGCTCCATATTGTTTGTGATACGGACAATGGCTCTAAGACTCAATGGTTTGGGATTGAAGTCGTGACAAGGAGCTTAGAATGGGGAAAATGAATGGGTGTTTTGAATGTGAATTGCCTTTGTTGGGATTTCTTGATGGGAGTTTCAAAGGAAGGGTGAATGTATTGAAGCTTTGTTTGCTTCCTTTGATATTTCCGATGCTGTCAGTTATACTACACATAAGACGATAGCACACACAAAGAGTCACATGAAACCAGCACATATCTGTCCATGGTGCATCCCCGGTGGGATATAGCACACACAAAAATGAATTTAAGCAAAAAGAATATACTCCACTCATTACAAGGCCGTATATTGTTATGGCTTGTCCATCCATACCTTGCCTAGGAAGTCTTCCATCTGAGTGAACTTATATTCTGGCAGGATTCGATTAAACTCATCTGACACATCCCATGCTCCCTTTGCACCGCTCAGGAGCGTACTTATGAGAACAGATTTTAAAGCTTCTGCAGCTTGGTCCTCGGAGACGCTTGGGTGCCTTGTTTCAAGTGTCCATGAGGTTTTAAGCTTCCCAGCTTCGAGGTCTTCAAGTTTCACGGTGTCGATGGCAAAGGGGCGGCCTGTTAACTTCAGTCAGTGACCAATTAATATTTTCCGATGTAAGAAAATTAAAGCGTACCTCGAACTCTTTCGCCAATCTTGAGAATCTGTGAGACGGTAACTCTGTTGCCACTAACGCCACCAATAACAGGCCATTCGCCAACGTAATCGACGGCCTCAGTAACAACTGTGGCAAGGTCCTGTACTGTGGTGAAGGTCATGACAAAATCATGGCCCTCAACAACAATTGCACGCTGTTTCTCAAAGTCGAACATCGTATTGAGCGGAACCACGTGTTTGGCGGTTCTGTGTGGAAATGCCAGATAGTTCAGGAAAAGGCCGGGTTGAGAGGCAATATTCGAGAACCTACAGAGGCAGCGTCAGAAAAAACAATAGCGGGTGGCGTAGATGCTTACTTTTCCATTCTCGTTCACTTTTCGTAGATATTCCCTTATCTCCCCCTTTGATGCCCAAAAAGGGATGTCTTTAATCTCTGCGCTTAGGAGTTGTTAGATGTCGCCCCTACACTATTTATCCCCAGCTTACTCACCTCCCCCACTCGCTCGGCGCAAAACGTTTGACTCCGGCGAGGATGGAAGCGTCTATCAGATTCTTCTGAGAGTTGTTTTCCGGATCTGAAAGGAGCTGGATAAACGATAAGACGGTATGGACCCCACGCAGTGCCTCAGCCAGGTCAGGTTTGTCATCGTAATTCACAGCACGCACTGTTACTCCAGGTGCGCTGCTTAGGGCAGAGACCTGATAATATATGTTAGTAATAGAAGGACTTGACATGATCTCGGAAGAGCATTACATTGCGGCTTAGGATGAATATATCATGCTTCTTCACTGCTACTAAGGCGGCTATGATTTCCTGGGCAACTTCTGTAGGTAAATGTCAGCGGGATTTGCAAATGAAATTTGGATATGGTGGAATGCACGCCCTGTGCCACCAGCGACTGCAATTTTAACCATGTTGATTTGTGGTTGTATTTGTTTTTAATTTCTGAAATGTAGTATTTTTTTGAATTTAGATGTTGAAAAACGACAATTTAAAACTCCATGGCGTTGATATTTATACTTATTTATTTGTATGACTCCCATATACGAAATTACAGCAATCTGTTATTTATGTCCGGGATCACTGCAATCCCTCATCGCGGTTTCCTTGTAGTGAACGTTATATTCTGGATGGTCGATCGGATAGTACGCTAACGCGGAGGGTCATCTCACCCTCCGAAAATCTCGGACGTCCGACCAAGACGGAATACTCCCCAGTTCCAGCTCCTTGGATATGCCTATTACTCCCAAAAATCTTGTTCCACTGATTCGACCAGCATAGTAGCTTTGTAACCATGGCAGCGACTCCTACTTTTGCGAATGCACCCCTCGTGTCGCCACCGTCGATTTCGAGGGTAGAACGTAGAGAGCGCTCCCGGTCTCAGCATAGTCTTCGCCGAGACAAACCTCAACTCTCTTGTAATTTGTGTAGAAAGCGAAAGTAAGTATAGAATAAAGACACCCATATCCAACCACTCGGCGTCATGATATCGGACTAATTGTCAATGCCGCAGAGTGCGATGTGACCGCCAGATCCCATGCTCCACGTGTTCCAGAAGAGGCCTTTCTCGGTCTTGTATGTACAGCGGCGACGCACAAGAAAATATCGTTCCACAGTTAACAGGGACTATGCATGAGCGAATTCACCAGCTTGAGAGCCTTGTAATTAGTCTCATGCGGCAGGATGCAACGATCCCAGCATCTACACAAGTTGGTGCATCGATATCCGACCCCCCGAACGGCTCTCCGCATACCAATCATACTAGATCCGAGGGATCTAGATCACCTTCACCGCTACCAGTTTCAGTCTCGGGAGCAACTCCGAGTACGTTCACTATCTCCACCATCAGTGCGAAAGAAAATGCAAATACCTCATCAGTACCATTAGATGGCGGTTATATGAAGTATAATAATATAGGCGCGGGAAACTATGTTGGTAGCTCCCATTGGGCAGCAGTTCTCAACTCGATTTCAGAGCTAAAGGGGAATGTTGAGGAAGAAGACATCCGTAGTATTGAGACACATCCACAAAATCCAGACTCTTCGAGTTCGCCAGGGCTTCTGTATGGCTGTCAACGGGCCACAAAAGCTGAGATACTATCTAGAATTCCTCCTCGACGAGCAGCAGACAGGCTTGTATCCAGGTATTTGACTCTAGATATCCCATCTGGTAGGTTTACTATTCTGAAATTTGAGATTTATGAAGCCGCCGTTACAGATAGGTGATTACTAACGGCACCTATAGGGATTTTTCATCGTGGCCAGTTTCTTACTGAAGTATGCTGCTTTTCCTTTGAAAACGTATGCCATAGTTGACACCGAATTGTAGTATGATAATTTCTGGAAAGATCCATCTGGCACTCCAATTATGTGGATTTGTCTACTGTTCACCATCCTGTGTCTTGGGGAGCTCCATCAACACTCTCAAACGCCCACGAGCAACACCCCTCAAATACCAACGTTCGACAGCAGTCCTACTAGTTCTATGAACGTATTCAGAGAGAAAATTGTCCAGTGTCTCATGTTGGGTAAATATACCAAAGGAGGGCCCTACGTGATTGAGAGTTTGATACAGTACTCCATGATCGAACATTTCCTTCGCCGGGATGCGCAGTTCGAAATTTGGATCTTGCTTGGGATGCTTATTCCCATCGCTCTTCGCATGGGACTACACAGGGATCCCAAGCATTTTGGTGAGATACCTGTCTTTGCAGGTGAGATGCGGCGAAGAGTTTGGGCAACAATTTTTCAAATTGACGTTGGTTTCTCGGCGCTAGCCGGATTGCCTCGTATGATCAAACCACAACAGTGTGATACGGAGGAACCCCGTAATCTGCTGGACTCCGACTTTGACGAGAAAACTTTGGAGCTTCCGAAGTCACGGCCGGAGTCAGAATCTACGCCAGTTTTGTTCCTTCTGGCGAAGAACAGAATAATCTCTGTTGGGGGCCTTATTAGTGACTTAGCACATGATATACGGCCTTATCCTTATACCGAACTGATGAGATTTGAGGAGTTGCTTCAGAATACTCGAGACTCCCTTCCGGAGAGTCTGCGATGGCAGCCGCTATCACAGTCGATTACAGAAAGCCCGCAGACTATTATGCAAAGGGTATACCTTGATATGTTTTTCTACAAAATGCAGATTATCTTGTACAAGAGATATTTATCGGCCTCAATGACGCAGCCTCAATATACCCATGCGCGAGAAGTTTGCTTGGATTCAGCAATAAAGATTTTGGAGTATCAACACCTGGTTGATGAGGAGACGCAACTAGATGGTCGACTGTCCTCAATTGGATGGACATATTCTTTAATCCTCAACAACAACTTTATGCTTGCCGCCAGCGTTCTATGCTTCTATATTAAGCAATACAGCGGATATGACAAGGATATTATTGATGAGGAGACATTTCAGAAGATCCAAGCACTTTTGAGAAAGTCGCATGACATCTGGCTCCGCTCTAGCTCTGTATCGAATGAAGCCCAGAAGGCGGTTAAATCACTGGGTATAATTCTTGGAATTTGCTCTAGCGAGGATGGAGAAATTGCCAACCAATTGTTTGGAGACTCAGAAGACTTTTTTGCCCAATCAACAATCCAGCTGGTTGGCCTGTCTATCAAGGTGAGAAATCCGTCATCACTCTACCAAAATAGACTTCTGCTTATATGTTTAAGAACTTAACTCACCGCAGATTATTTACCATGCTCCAACCTGGCCGTCTTTTACAACGATTGAATAAGGGGCTCATATCATCCTTTCAAACACCAAATATAACAAACTCAGCTCACGCATTGTAACAAAAATTATATTTCTTAATAATTCTACTATAAGTATAGAGAAAACGACAACCATTCATATTGGACGACAACGCCCCAGTTCAAAATGCCTGGCTCGTTTCATTTCCCCTATTTCTTTTCATCCGAAATTCCAGCCGTCTCTAGCCATACCTTGATCTCGCACCCGATCAAATGAGGGTGGTCCTCCTGTAAGTAGTGCTTTTCGTGGCCCACTGGTACACTCTTGACATTCTTCAGATTCTCCGAATAGTACTTAGACAACTCCAGTGGTATGATTTTGCCAGGATCTGCCCAGAAGAAAAACTTTGGAATTTCATTCTCAAGCAGCCAGGAATTATAATTCTCCACAGCTTGGTAGACCTCTGCAGGGTTACCAGCAACGGGGAATATCTTGGCCATCTCGTAAATAGACTCGCGGTTTGCGGGATCAAGGAACGGCTTCCGATAATGGTCCAATTGTGCGGGAGACAGAGTGCGGATGACTTGATCTTGCATAAAGAGCTCTATAAAGACGTTGTCGTCGATGATGGCTTTGCGGAGGTTAAGCTGTCAAACATATACTGTGCGCGCGTTTCCACCGCGAGCTTGTCTGTCATGTCATGGCGTGGGTGGGGGATGGACAGCGGAAGCTTTTTTAGTACACGAGCTTCTTTGCGACAGCGAACCGGGCCGACGACGCTAACAGGGTTATCCTCTATTTTTGACAGCCGGAAGGATCACTATGTGTCACTATCACGTCCAATTGCCTTAAATGAGCCAATAGAAATGGAAAGCGAACAGCAAAGTCCAGATCCTCCCGAGGAGATCCTCCAGCTGAGGGAACAATTTCAATTCTCTCGTATTGTACCTGCCCAAGCCGAAAGGCTGGTTTCGCTGTGCTCTCCTATTTCTACCACGCCAGACCCTTCGAGGCTGATAACCATGTTCTTTATGGACGAATGTCGCCGTCGCCAAAGAGCAATCAGTCAATATGCTGTGCGATAGAGGTCTCCTACTCTCGGTGATCCTCGCCTACTTCCCATTAGCCATATCACAGACATGCGTGTGGCAGGATGGCTCCACGGCCACAGGTTATGCCCCATGCATATCGGGAGCAACATCAGGCACATGCTGCCACTCCGGTGAAGCCTGTCTCGCATCTGGACTATGCTATGGCGCGCCTGGATTGATGTACCGCGGCGCCTGCGTCGACAGCTGGGACACACCCGACTGCCTGACGTTTTGCAAAGAGTGTAAGCAAGCGCATCTTGCGAACTTCCCCGAAACAACGCTGACTGGCGCGCCGCGATAGACCTGCCGTACTGGGCCAACATCTACCCGTGCACCGATGGGGTTGGAGCGGACAACCCCAAAAATTTCTGGTGCGGCAGTCCTCTGCTGAAAACATGTAGTGCGGACGAGGGCAAGCTCTTCAAGATCAGCCCCGGCGTGGCCGTGAAAATATTACCCAGATCCTCGACAACTACGGAGTCATCCTCGCAGACCACGTCGTCCTTGCCAACCTCGACCCCCTCGGCGTCCGACACGGGGTCATCGCCGGACCCTACATCATCCGACCCAGGAGCTACAACTCCCACCGATGGGGTTTGCTCAGACAAGACCACCTCAGATAAGACCCAGTGCTCGGGCGCCACAGAAGCCGAGAAAATCCACTTCGCCAACTCTATCACAGCGGTGGGAGCCGGCGTAGGAGTCCCGCTCGGCGTCCTCGCCCTAGCGTTTTTGGGGCTTTTCATGAACGAGCGACGCCTGCGCAAGAAACTGACGAAGCCCGCCGATGTGGGCGGCGCGAGCGTTGCATATGGGCCGGTTAATAACACATACCAAGGCCCAGATTACGGCGGCCAGGGACAGGGCCAGGGACAGGGCCATGTACAAAGTCAAGAACAAGTGCAATATATATATAAATCCGAGAACGAGATGTCTGCGAACCCAGATCCGGCACATGAGATGACAGGGGGTCATCACCGTCCTGTTCATGAGCTTGGGGGTCAAAATTACCCAATGTAGTTTTGTGTTGATATATAGCCTATTAATTAGTGTTAATTATTAGTTTGAATGGCCATCCTGATACAGTCCGATGTTCTCATGCCGCCCAAAATCCGAATTTAGACTATCTGTTGGAAATAATACCAGGATATAAGCTTACTAGAATAATTATTTTTACTATTTTTGAGTAAAACCCTTAGACAACCGCTCTAGAGGGCGGTTGTGAACATAAGCATTAATAGGCCAGCTTACTAAATTCAACCTCCGTATCCTATGTGACAGGGGGCACTACTACACAACAACTTCCACCTACTCTTAGCCAGAAGACACTCACACGCCAACCTCGCCCTCCCCATCAACAGAGCACCGAAAACAAAACCCCCTCCCACATTTATATCCGCTCTCCCCGCACCTCCTCCACGCCCCACCTGGCGTCTGCATCAGGTCTCCATCCTCACTCTTCACTTCATTACTCCCTCCTACTCTGCCTCGCCGGGACGGTGTCCCCATCACTGACGTACCCGCGCCATCAACCTTAGGAGTCGAAAGATTTGACATCCCATCCCCTAATCCCCTACTGCGCCGAGACAAAATGTGGGTAACATCCTCAACCCCGTCTTCATCCTCACCCTCATCATCATCAAGCCGCAAAGGTGACCGCACTGCCAGCCTTGAAAGCGGCGTCATAGACCCTCGCGAGCGCACCGATCCTTTCCCCGACCGAGACACGAAGCGGGGTCTACTCGTGGATCTCTCCATCCGATTCCGTTGGGAAGTGGGCGTAACTGATAACCTTAGCAAAGACGCCTGGCTGCGTCGCGGCGTTGATTCATGCACTACGCTCCGTTTCGGGGTAGCTTTTGAGGCGGAGGAGATAGTGAGGGTGTTTGGCGGGGTAGGGGTGCGAGCGGCTGGGGAAGTGAGAGGTGAGGAGCTGTCGGGTTGTGTGATTACGACGCGAAGGCCGCTGCCGGATGTAGCTGGTTGTGGTGGTGTAGGAAGGCGTGGTGGGCTGCGTGGGAGAGAGTAGATATCACCTAAGCCACAGCCAATCTCTGGTTCGTCTTTAATTTCCACAGAAGTCGTGACAGCATCGAGCTGTTCGGCAGGTGATGTCTTTGCGGGAGCGTCTTGAGGTGGGACATCCGGCTCTTGTGATGGTGGTGTTATCAAAGGTGCCTGGTCGCTCAGGGGTTGAGGCTGGGGAGACTCGGCTGTCGCAGAAGAGGCCTGGGGATTCGGCGCGTCGGTCCGTGGAACTACAGGCGCAGCTTCATCCTCTTCGTCGGAGAACATATAAGAAGGATCAAGAGCATCAGGACTCAACGGTACCATTGGCTCCATAACTTGATCCTGCTTCGCCTGGCTCGTACTTGGTGACATCAGATCTTGAGACGACTGAGAATTTGGGATTACCCTCGAGCGGAGAAATCGACCAGCGTGGATAATTTCCGGGTTGTGGTTCTGTTCGCTTCTATTCTCGGGAAGCTCAACCATTTGGTCTTCTCCCTCCACGGTTGTTGTCGAGTTCGGCGAGATATAATCCGATGCACCCTGGAGAAGTTTTGAGAAGTCGAAGGAATCCCCTGCCTCAGAAAGAGGACCAGTGACATTGTTACTTTCGTCATCCCCTGCCTCGGAAAGGGGACCAGTGCCATTGTTACTTTGGTCATCATCCTCTCGCTCAAAAAGAGGATCACTGTCATCATTACCTTGGTCGTTGCCCATTCCATCCTGACTTTGTTCGGTCTCATCATGATCCAGCTCTAGCAATTGACCCGTCGTCTCTAGATGCTTTATTCGCCTCTCCCTCCACTCTATGCTCCGTGCCTCGATCTTATTGATCTGGTCGGGGTCTGGCGTTGGTAATGAAACTCCTTGCTCTTCCACCGTTCTCAATTGGCTGTTTTTCTTTCGCTCTTTTCCTTGCAGCTTCTTACATGCTTCCCAGTACGTCATCCCCGCATACTCTGGCTCTTGCCACCAATGCCCGATCTTTTTGAACCTCCAGATCCTAAATTGGTGCCTATACTGCCAATTACTAAGCAAGGTTAGAGTGGCGCTTTCGGGGGTGCTATAAATTGGATGCTATTTACTTCTCTGTGAACTTGTGTTGAAGTTCCATAATACCCATCACTTTGGCTAGGGGGTATCCGTCTACTACGTATAGCTTATGGAGAATTTCTTTGAATGGCGCAAAGCGTGCCGCTGTACCAGAACGGGACTTTAGGGCAGCTTCTTTCGATTTCGGCGTACCTTCGACAGAACTCCCATCTCCCAGAGGTTTAGACTGTTTCTTCAGAGGACCGGATCTGTTCTGGAACGCCCACATAGTTTTAGCAAAGTTATGCTCACTGAATGGCGGACCCCCAGTAGTTCGGTCCAATCTAAGCGCGCGAATGGTTGCGCCACTGTCTGTTGGAGGATCTGACTCTACGGTCGAATCTTTCGGCGCGTCTTGGCCAGCCATCCCCGGCTCAAGAAATGGGTGCTGGCCCCCATTTCGGTCATACAACCTGCGGTAACGCTGCCTGTAAGCCGTGCCACTATGTCTGGGGTTCTGAAAACACGATTAGCAAATTAACCTCGATTTAGGCAACAAAACCGACCTTTTTGCTGAGCAACTCCCAGTGCTCTTCGGCCCAGAGAGGATACTCCGTCTCGGTGTGGACCTTCTTGCACCATTCCACAATCTGTTCGTCTTCTTCCTTTGTGTACTTGTTCCTCGGGAGAACCATTTCACTTAATCCGGGCCTTTTGTTCTTCCGTTTTACTAGTATAGAATAACGAGAAATTCCGACCTCAGAATCTCTAGCATCACCAGAGTTACCAGGCTCATTGTCGATGAACGGGTGATCATCTGCATTCTGGCCTTCACTCTCAGATACCAAATCCTGCTGTGGGTTCTGTGGCGCATCAACCTGGGCACTCTTTGGTGGGAGAGCTGCTTGTGCAGACACACTCGATCTCGTAATCTTCTCCTTCGAAATAACCGTTCTATCTCGCACAACCGTCTCGCTTTCCCCAGCTGGCTCCTTATTTATCATCTCAGCCTTGCGCCTTCTACGCCGTCGCTTCTTCTCGGGAGCCCACAGCGAGTCTTCATTTGGCGAGGGCGAGCGTTCGGTGTCTGGTTGCAGGATCATGGATTTGAGAATTGGCCTTTTTCCTGCCGTTGCTGCTGGTAGGGCTGGGGTGCGCCATTTCGGATCAATGCTTCCTTCGTCGACAGATTTTTGCCTCGACACGTATTCGACGATTCGCGGGCCAAGCTCCTGGCCAAACTGCGAAACGATGTCTGGTTCTAATGTGTCGGCGGCGCCAGTGCTCCATAGTCGTTGTCTTGGAAGGGGTTTCGGCGTGTGGAACCTAGACTGTGGTTTCTGTTGAGATGGCTTGTGAAGGGGTGGCCTGGGAGGCGGTGCCATCGACTTCGCAGGGATAACGCCACTGTTTTGGTATAGTATATCATCATCATCGCTCTCATCTTCATCAATAGGAATCAGCTTGCTCGTATCCCCATCATACTCGTTCTCGTCCTCTTCCGTGCCAGCTTCTTGTCCAAACTCTGGTTCCTGGGTGAAAGCTCGCAGCATTTGTCTTCCGCGCACATGATAGTCCGTGTCTGTATCTTCGTCGCCCTCATCCGTAGCGTTAGAATCCTCTACATCCTCCTGCGGGAGCCGTGCGTGCTCAGGCTCCTCAGTGAATGCCCTCAACATCCCCCTCCCCCTGACTTCACCAGCATCAGTCTCAGCATGCATTTCCGCGACATGCCCGTTATCCACTATGATCTCGCCAGTGCGCAAATCGATTTCGTCTCCGACTCCAGTAAAATCCTTGCCGTACTTCTCAAATATGGCCTCGAATGTCGATTTCAGCTTGTTATCGAGCTTCTGCCTCGTCGCTTGTAGGTCGGCTTCTGGCGCTTCCTCTTCGTAGTATTCCTCTCCAGACTCTTCGTCGTCGTCAAACTGATCGTCTCCAAAGTTGGCAGGGCCTTGTCGCGCATTAACTGCCCCGTATAACTTGGTGGAGTCATTATTGCGGTTGTAAGTCGCGCCATTGCTCGGATTGAGAGGTTGTCGCAAGGTGGCGGGGTCGTAGGATCTGCTAAGGCCATCATAACCCGGGCTGTGTCGCTGCAGTCCTCGCGTCTCCGATATCCTTTGTCTCTTGAAGGAAGGCTCCATTATGTTGGTCCATTGAATTAGTTCTATATCGGAATGGCGTATCGTGTTCTGTTGGAGCACATACGTTGGCGCTTTGTTCGGTTGGGAGACGCGATTTTGAAAGTGTCCAAGCTCCCCACGCGTAAAGTGCAACGCGCATAACTCGCATAAATAAGCTAGCCACCCCCCACATTAAAGACAGCTGCATAACATTCGAGTGGTCCCTGATCCACAAATTCCTCAAGGTTTACAGTATCCAACCTCACCAAAACTACTACCATTTACTATAATATTATAAATATAATTAACCTAGTGTTTTATAGTAGGGAAATAGTAGAGAACAAGAGAGGAGAACAGAGAGGGAGGATTTTAAAGAGCGTATTAGTTACAGCTAGAGGGGCTGGAGGCTATTAAAGGGACATGAGAGACCAAGGGGCATTAAAGGCGCATTGTAAAACGGCGCAAAGTATATGATGAAACTATAGGGGTATATATCTAAGCAGAATGTGAACCTTGCGGGTTCGAATTAGGTGGTACAATAGGCGCCCACATCTCCTGCATCTGTGGTTGGAACTGCCACTGCCCTTGAATGTGTTGCGGAGGTGGTGCCGATGAGGGAGCTTCTGAGAGCTCTGGGACCCTGTGTTGGCTGTGCAACTGAGATATTGCTTGGTTTTGAAGCTCTAGTGGGCCCTGTGCTACCGTCTGCCCTTGAAGTTCGGGTGGGCCTTGTACGATTGCTTGATTTTGAAGCTCTAGTGGGCCTTGTGCAACTGCCTGGCCTTGAAGTTCAGGTGGTCCTTGTATAATTGCCTGATTTTGAAGCTCGGATGGACCGTGTACGATTGCTTGGTTTTGAAGCTCGGGTGGTCTATATCCGAGCAGTGGCTGAATGACGCCTTTGTCGGGTATGCCACCTAGAATAGGACCAGCTCCTCCGCCATTGTTGTATGGACCAGATTGTTGGGGGTTGTATGGGGGTAGAGGGGGGTTGTTTCGTCTCTGGTTGCGGGCGCGGATGACCATCCATATCGCAAAGGCTGCGATGATGCATAGTAGGGCCAAACCGCCAATTACTCCCCCGACAATGGCACCAACTGGGGTAGAAGAGCTAGACGATGATGAAGTATCTGAAGACGTCTGGGCTGGGTTGGAATTGGTCTCTGTTGGCGGCTGGGTGCCCGTTGGCGAGGCGCTGTTTGTCTCTGTAGTCGACGTGGCCGTCGGAATCACCTCGTTCGCCCTGATACGAACTTGAATCGGATATACAGCTTGCCAGGACGATGGAAGCCCCGAAGCTGGCGTCCACGAGGAGGTGGAGAGAGTCTTTTGGTCGAATATGTTATCAACCACTATCACGGTTGTTGGTGTCGAGAGGAGACTCTGACAATACTGAAAGAAGCCGCCTTCACCCACAGTATTTGGGCAGTTATAGTCTGTACGACTGAGTGAGCAGCCATATTTAGATTTGCCAGTCGGGGACTCAGATGCACTTACTGGTTGGACAGCAGAAAGCAATGGTCTCGCCAGGAGCAGAGCTCAGGGCTGATGGGGCCGGTGGACCACTACATGAGCGGTATTGCGATGGACATACGCCCGGGGAGTAGTAGCTCGTCATCCACGCCCATGGCTCGGTGTAGACATTGCCAGATGGGCAACAGGTTTTTGCAGCGCAGCCTTGTGTCATCTGCGTCCATGGCATCCCCAGGCCAGGTGTATTGAAGTTCCAGAAGTTATTGAGGCAATCGCTTGGAAAGGCAGTAGTAGGCAGTGGGCCTAGATTTGTCGAGGTCGTCCATGAGGGGATGGTGATCTTGTTTCCACCAGCGGTGATGGTTGTCATTGTTTGCGTCTCCTGATGGCCCTTAGGCCAACCCCTAAATAGCTGCGAAGGTATTCAGCGTAGATGCTTGTAATCAAATTATCATTCCAAATATTTCTCCGCTTCAATACTAGATGCTGTTAGAGCGCGTTCTTTATCGTGGTGTCGCGCGGTCGATATATCTTCGCCAGAACGAGGAAAAGGAGGATCGCTCCACGAAGTGAGTGTTTGATTGGCGCGCAATTTCGATCTGCATGGCTTATGGGCTCTAAAACTGGTCACTGCATCGCTCACATAACTCTCATATAACGCAGCTGCTTCACGCACATTCGCAAATGTTCACTAGTATATACTTTCACTATAATGCACACAGCTATATCCGCTGTCTTACAAGTGCGTCTCTTATACCACGTTTATCCCAACTGAGGGAGCAGCGAGAGACAAAAAACGAGGGTCGCCGACTTTCAGGGTCGATTGGGGGGGAGATGTTTGTAATTGGGTGGGGAAGGACAAGGCTCCGGCAGTGACGCGCCAAGACCTCTCAGACAGCAAGGCTGCATAACACGCCACTAGTCCTGATCCATAAATTCCTCAAGGTTACGACATCCAACCTCACCTTCAGCCACCTCCACCTCTCACCTTCTGCTATGATGTTATGAAGCTACCAACAAACTCAACCATCTCCATCTCACGATGAACTGCCAAAAATGCCGGGCCCCGCTGAAGCTCGACAGCTCGCTGGAGAGCCTCAACCCCGCCGCCTTCAACCTGCTCGTCGGTATGTCTCCCCTCCATCCCCCACCTCTCCATCTTCCACTAACCCCCCCAGGCTCAGCCCACGAACCCCCCAAAGCCCTCCCACCATCTAGACCCGCCTACCCCCCGGAGCGCAAAGCCCTCTACGACGCCGCCTCCCGCTCCGACGCCCCCGCAACCTACAAACGCACCACCCCCACCAACCCGGGAATGTCCTTCGTCCTCCTCTCCTCCTCGGAAGCCGCCCCCCCCGCCCTCTCCCCTCCCTCCACCAAACGTTCTTCCTCCCCCACCTCCCCAACCACGCCCCCTACAAGCACCTCCCACGAAACCGAGCGCGCAAACCGGCTCTTCGCCCTCCTCTCCGCCCGCTCCGACATCGACCACCCCATCTGCACAGAATGCACCTCCCTCCTCCTCAGCTCGCTCTCCGCGCGCCTCTCCGCCTCCCTCCGCGAGCGCGACGCTTACACCGCATTCCTCACGCACCTGCACCAAACAGCACCCACGCCCTCCTCCCTCGCCGCAGCCGAAACCTCCCTCTCCTCCGCCCGCGACGCCGAAGAAGCAGCCACCTCCTCTCTACTGTCTCTCGAACGCACACAAACCGTTCTAGCGGCCGAACTCGCCTCGCTCTCTGAATCCGCTGCGAGTCTAGACGCTGCTGAAGCGGAGTTCTGGCACTCGCATAATACTTTCTCTACCAACCTCGCCGCGGCGCAGGGAACGCACGCTTCGCTCTCCGCGGCTGCTACACATGATGCGCGTCTCCTAGACCTCTTGCAGCGCACAAACGTGCATAACGACTCCTTCCCCATCTCTCACGACGGGACGTTCGGGACGATAGCGGGGTTACGGCTCGGTCGCCTCGCGGCGCATCCGGTGGATTGGCCGGAGATCAACGCAGCGTGGGGACATACGCTGCTTCTTCTTGCGACGGTGGCGAAGGCGCTGGATGTCAAGGTTCAGGGGTATGAGATGCAGCCTCTCGGTTCTACGTCGAGGATTGTGGCTATGAGGGGGGGGAGGAAGGTTGTGCTGGAGCTGTATACGAGTGGAGATTTGCCGCTGGGATTGACGTTTTTGCATCGGCGGTTTGATGCGGCGATGGTGGCGTTTTTGGCGTGTTTGAAGCAGGTTGGGGAGGGGGTGGGGGGGAGGGCGATGCCGTATAAGATTGACGGGGATAAGATTGGGGGGGAGTGTATTAGGCTTGGGGTGGCGCAGGATGATGGGTGGAGTAGTGCGTGTAAGTATGTGCTTACTTGTTGTAAGTTTTTGTTGGCACATGTTAGTAATGCTGGGTTGGGGAGGAGGTAGGGAGAGGCTGTTGGGGGAGTGGTTATGATTTTGGGGTTGGAGGTTGGCGTTGGGGGAGGGGGGGGTTGGTTATTAGAAGTGCATACGTCTGTTCTAGAGCGTCGTGAGCATTGAGTAAACGCATTACTTGCAGCAGAGAAACCACATGCGACGTGCCTCCATAGATAGCGTGGCTCCTCCTCTAGTAGCAGATGCGTTCAGTTCGGAGCCTGTCCAAAATTGACCTAGTCAGACTTTAGACACGACGACGGTTATCTGCTCGGTATACTCATTCGTAACCCAAATGCAGGGTACAATTCCATGGCCTGCTCGTAACACTGCCCCGAAGAATCCCTGGACAACGTGTCGGCACCAAGTCGGCTATAACAATATTATTCGGGCTAGACAACATCCTCTCTAGCAGACTCGTCGATATTCGGCCAACTGTAGAGCGTTTTTAGCCACTCCTCGTACTTCTACGGATCAGGCACCGTCTCGCCGGCATAGGTTCGCGGGTGAAGAGTGAATGGTATCTCTATAACGTCAAAGCGAACAGGAGTAAGTTGCCGACGAGGCGGCCCATAATTCCGCACTCGTCCGCACGCAATATAGAACGTCAGATCCTCTAGAGTCGATCTTGGTACTTCGCCACGTCGAATCGTTCTAGAGCTTTCCACGTGTCGGAGATTTATGATGGTTTCTGCACAATAAAAACGAGAGATTCATAAATAGCTTCGTAAACAGGAACACTACCTGGCTAGGAGAAATCCTGGCCTTTAGCCTCACCTTATCTGTTTCGCCCATAAAACATAGGTTGGCTGTTCTTCTACGACTCAAAAGAGACGGTGCCTTTTGTATGACGAAGGTGACATTTGCATCAGGCGTTCTGACCGGCAGAAACTTGGAGCTCTCAACAGGTTTCTGCAACTCGATCATGTCGAGCGGTATTTTAATTGGTGATGGCCTTAACTCTCTTTCGATCAAGATCGCAACCTCAAGCTCTGGTAATGTTTCGCCACTTCCCTTCTCAGCGATATCGCCTATTGAATCGAAGGCAGCCGGGACCCGCTACTATAGAACGAAATACGGTAATTGGTAAACAGCAAACCGGTATCAGTGGTTTAGTGGTATTAATCTATCGATGTCAGCTCGCCTTAAAACCCCCCAATGGCGGTGTACACTTTCCTGATTTTTTCCATTCTAAAATCTTAGAAAAGCAGCAACAAAGTCGAGCTGCATATCGAGTTGCATATCAAGATGGGGGAGACGTGATTGAAGCCCAAAAGTTAGTATAGAATTTCAGATATTAGTGCTCCTAACCGCTTACTTTATCCAAACTAAACGTAGCTTACACTCTACAATAGGTTGTCAACCCATTGACGTCACATCCGCTTCTTTCTCAACTAGTAATTTCTTCGCGGCTCTCAACAGAAAGTCCAGCACAGCTTCTTGCCCTGTAAAAGATGGAGCCAATACCGCCGGACCTTCGAACATGCTCCCCAATTTAATTTTCGCCTCAATGTCCGCCCCATTCTTAAGCAGTATCTGCGCCGCAGCCTCGTCCCCAGTTGTAGCCGCCACGTATAGCGCTGTCACTCTAAGCCCGTCCCCTACTTCCATTGTCGTGTTAATATCTACCCCATTCCTAAGCAATAATTGTACTGCAGCCTCATTCTGAGCACGAGCTGCTACAAATAGCGCTATTGTTCCAGGCGCAACCTTCCTGTTAATATTCGCTCTAATGTTCGCCTCATTCTTTAGCAGTAGCTGTACTACAGCTTCATGCCCATTTAAAGCTGCCGCTATTAGCGCAGTTTTTTGAAAAGGTCCATTATTTTGGATTCCTGCCTCTGCATATGCCCCTTTCTGAAGTAGTAGCCGCACCATATCCTCGTTCCCATTTGAAGCTGCTGAGTATAGCGCTGTCACCTTAGATCCATCTTTAAGTTAAGTCGCTCTGTTAATATCTGCTCCATTTTCAAGTAGCACCTGTACAATAGCCCTGTTCCTAGCCTCAATTGCCACAGATAGCGCAGTCGCTGAAAACCCACTTCGAATTTCAATCTTCGTCAATTTTCGCCCCCTTCCTCAGTAGCAGCTGCACTATAGCCACGTTTCCACCAATAGCTGCCATCATGAGCATTGTAAGTGTGAGCCCATCGAACTCGCACTTTGCCTGCCAATTTGCTTTGTTCTCAATTAGCAGCAGCGCAACATCTTTGTCCCCTTTTCCAACGGCCCAGACCAGCGCTGTCCCTCTAAAGTAGCCTAGTGTCTCGCTCTCGTCGTGAACATTCGCACCTTTCTTAAGCAGCAGCTGTAAAACAGCTATGTGCCCCCTCGCAGCTGCGCAGAATAGCGCAGTCACTCTAGAACCTCTCTCTAGCTCACCCGTCAAGTTAATCTCGGCTCCATTTTCAAGCAGTAGACGCACTAAAGACTCGTGGCCCTGTGAAGCCGCAGCCCAAAGCGCTGTCCTTCCATAACTATCTCTTTTATTTATTCCACCCCAATTTTTAAAAATAAATGACAGCTTTTGAGTGTCGAATAGACCCTTCTTAGAAAGAATATTTTCGGCAAGTGACAGAATACCGAACCACGAAGCTAGGTGCAATGGCGTAAATAAGTTAGGTGGTTCTCCTTTTCCTATAGCAACCCAGTATGTCCCTAACCAAGATTTAAAAGTTTGCGACTTTTCATTGTAGAAGGGATGAAGCGGATTAACAACGTATTCCGAACGAGCTAAGGATTTTGCATGATGTTGCCAATATAACACAGCATATGAAAGCAAGGGAAAGGCTTTCAAATGTAAAGAATTTGAAGCAAGATCAACTTTGTCACCTATAAGAGCGCCGTTTTGTAGATCAGTGTTGCCCGAGTAGTACTCGCCGTGGATACTACTCGCCGAATACCCCGAGTACTACTCTACTCGGGTGATATTTTCGAGTACTGCCAAGCCCTTGGCAAAGAGGGGTAATAGATCGTAGAATAGAATAGATAATTGAAGCTTTTTTCCACTTGAGCGTTCTGTATTACTTCCTGTAATGAGTGACTCTTCGCTGTTGCTAGTGCTAGCTAAGTATTAATCTAATACTTTAGAGCTGCCGCCCCTTATTCTGATGCCCCTTATTTTAATGCTGCAAATTCCTATATAGCTTCAATTACCTAATACTACTTTAATACTCTTTTCTAAAGGACTATTCTACTATACTATATTAGATATAGTGCCTATTAGAATCTAATAATAATGCCTTTAAATTAATTATAGATATATGCTAAGCTAGCCCCTAAAGAACTAGACGACGAGCAATCTATAGAAGCATCTTAGGAATTAGCACCCATTAGTATACGTAGAATATGATAGAATATCTTTAACTTAAAGCTCATTAACACCCTCTACTTCTACTTTCTTCTAGCCCTACTAAGCACCTAGTAACGCACTAAGTTTGTTAGAATATAGAGAGCTTGTTCTCTCTTTTATAGTATCAAATAACCTATTTAGTGTTAGTGGTAATATTATCATAAAGAAACGGAACTAATTATCACCTTCTACACTTAGATATCTACTCTGCCTACAGAATTAGGGTGTTTTATCATAAGGCGACGACGAAGACAGCAGCGGCGATGTAGATAATGTGAGTTAGAATAGTATATATATAGTGATATTTTAATTCCTACTCTATTTCTATTTATATGCGAGTACTACTTGGGTATTCGAATACCAGTACTCGGATACCAGTATTCGAGCTTCAATTTTGAGTACTCTACTCCAGGATCCTCGAGTAGTACTCGGAGCGGTATTCGGGCAACACTGTTGTAGATAGTCAAAACACTTTTGAGCTATCTCTGAGTTTCTAACCTCTTCTTTGAGACGAAAAAATTCCAACTTAGCATTTAAGTCAGGGGTTTTCCGAAGAAGGTAGTCCTTCGCTAATCGATGTATAAGGCGTACTTTGTCATTTGTGACTGTTAGGAAGTATCCGCAATGCGAGACTTTGTCTCTCATGACTTCCTCGCGGCTAAACGACGCAGAAGGTTCAACCACAATATCAATTGCAGTACTGAGCTCTAAGAGAGATAATAGTCGAAAAGTCATAGTAACCCAAAGCAATATCTTAGCAGCGGTTTTTCGTCGATCCATTCTAATCTGAAGTAGCATACGTGCGTACAATTCTTCTAGCCCTAGTGGAAAATGGTTTTTTAACGCCTCTTCGACTTCTGACCATGTGTATTTTGTCAACTGGTCTGCTACAATCCCTACCTAGAGGAATGTGCCGTTCGCGCGGGTTGCAAATATTTCTTCCACATGTGTACGGATTAAGCTAGGATAAAAAAAAATTGCAGAGAGATCATCAACTTTGACTTTGATGAAATGTCAAACATCAAAGTCTACTACCTTAGATGCATAGGTATCTAGATGTATGCATTAGAAGTTTGATAGTATCTCTGATATAAATTCCGGATGATCGCGGGTAACAACAAGTAACTTAAGCCAGTGGGCTGAGGATAAATCCCTTGAAAAAAGAGCCTCAAGCTTCTTTAACAGAACTAATAGTGAGCTTTCTTCACATTCGTCAAGACCGTCCAGTATGCAATACACAGTACTACGCATAGCATCGCAAATCATAGCCTCAAAGATTTTCCAGAGTGTTTCCAGTGTAAATAGAGATGACTTTTCGACTTCGAAGCGTGGTAGAATGTAGTCGATTAACTTTGGTTGCAGCTGTAAAAGTTGGAAGAGTAGTCCTCTAAGAATCGCAACACCTGTATTACACTCATCCCTCCTGCTATCGCAGAAATATTGGAGGAAGTAGGTGTCTGGTATATCTGTCGTAGCTCGCTCAAGCTCTTCGGCGAGGAAGATTGAGATCATGGTTTTGCATCACCGAGGCAGCAGCACATGTTGCATTGATAGCTGTGCAAACCAGACGAAATCTCGACGTGCAATTTTGTTGGAAATTTGGGGAGGACCGTGGGATTCTGGGTTTTAGCCTGGCTTGGCAAGAATCCCCAACTGATTCCACGGGCTCCCATACGCCACGGTTGGCGTACGGCTAGCTGGGCTGATACCCAACTGTAACACAGTCAAGGCACTGAAGGTTTCGGCGGTGCTCTTAGAATTCCCATATATAGCTACGTAGGCCCATTAGATAGTGTAGTAATTCAATTGATCTATATACTCTATATACCGTATTTACTGTTTGAAGCCTTCTGTTCTGTTGCGCCAAAGTGAAGAGTTCCGGCCACCGGAGACACCATACAATTCGTGTGTAGTCCCGGTATTCCCTTCCTTTCTCCAACACATTTTGTTCTGCCAAGCTTCACCGTGCCGACCCCGCGAACACGGTGTTTGCGCACTCCGTTCCCCGCGAACTTCCTGGAGCAGTCAATTGGCCAACATGGAAATGCTTGCTTGATTCATCAAGTATCCTTGTATGGGCTGTGAAATGGACTAGAGACGTCATAGTTATTCAACATCACACGTCCTCGATCCACAGGATAAGATCGTGTCTCGCTACTACATAATCTTCTACATGGCTACTACCTCTAAACTTATAAGAACCATGTCAAATATAACCAAATACGACGCAATAATTATCGGCTCCGGGCAAGCAGGCACTCCGCTTGCAGGAGCCTTCGCCAAAACCGGCCAAAAGACTGCACTTATAGAACGCACTCACATTGGTGGTTGCTGCATCAATGAAGGCTGTACGCCTACAAAGACTATGGTGGCGAGTGGCCGTTCAGCGTATCTAGCACGGCGCGGTCAAGATTATGGTATCCATACAAATGGGACTTTGAAACGACCCAATGAAATCAAGGTAGATATGCTGAAAGTGAGACAAAGGAAAAGGGATATCGTGGATAGCTTTCGACAAGGTAGCGAGAATCGGACGAAGGATGCGGGCGTGGATATTGTAATTGGCGAGGCTAAATTTGTTGATGAAAGGACGATCGAGGTTAAGATGGGTGATGGGAGTGAGAAGAGGGTTATGGGGGAAAAAATATTCATTAACACAGGAGCGAGACCTGTGCCTCCGAAGCTTAAGGGCCTGGAGAATATCGATCCAACGAAAGTTTTGGACTCTACCAGCGTTCAGGAATTGGATGTTGTACCAGCTCACTTGGTGGTAATCGGTGGTGGCTATGTTGGGGTCGAGTTTGCGCAGCTGTTCAGACGATTGGGCGCTAAAGTTACCATTCTACAGCGTGGAGAACAGCTATTGCAGCGAGAAGATAAGGAAGTTGCCGATGCACTCCTGGAGATTTTGAAGGAAGATGGATTGACAATTAATTTGTACAGCAGTGCGTCTTCTATCTCCACCTCCTCAACTGGGTCGTTTGATCTCAACGTGCAGACCGAAGATGGCGAGAAAGCCATCAACGGAACCCATATCCTTTTTGCAGCTGGTAGAATCCCTAATACAGATGCATTGAATTTACCAGCTGCGGGTATCACCACGAATGCCAGAGGTTACATTGTCTCAAACGATTTTCTTGAGACTTCGGCCAAGAATATTTACGTCCTTGGAGATGTGAAAGGGCCTCCTGCATTCACGCATGTCTCATATGACGATTTCCGCGTCATCAAAGCAAATGTACTCAACTCATCCGGAACCTCAACCAAACTCAGCATCAAGGACCGTCTCGTGCCTTACGTTGTGTACACTGATCCTCAGCTGGGACACATTGGCCTCCATGAGCATGAAGCTCGAGCAAAGTATCCTGAGCGGAAGATCAAGACTGCGAAGATGCCAATGTCTTATGTTGCGAGAGCGCTGGAAACAGACGAGTCGAGAGGCATGATGAAAGCGGTTGTCGACGGAGAAAGTGGGCAAATTTTAGGATTCACATGTTTGGGCATCGAGGGTGGAGAAATCATGAGTATTGTTCAGATGGCTATGATAGGTAATGTGAGTTATGAAAAACTGAGGGATGCCGTGTGGGCTCACCCAGCGTTGGCTGAGAGCCTGAACAATATTTGGGGGTTCTTAGAATGATTGTTGTTGTACGATTTGTTAGTATCATTCGACTTGGAATTTTGCAATTGAAAAGGAGACAAAATGGATTATAATGAACTTAATTGATTGTATTTACGCTATTTCCAAACTTGGTACAGAGTGGGGTGTGAGAAATTTGTGGCCCACAACCGCGGGGATGCGGTTGCAATGACCTGGAAGCCAGCTAGCTTGGCGAGCTGGATGGCGTAGAGACCTGTGGCGGTCGAACCAGCATAGATCAGGATTGAGGAGTCTTGCCGCCTTGGTTCGATGCTACCATCTATCCAGGGAACAGCTAGACGGGTATTTAGGGCAAGCACGGCTGTAACAGCGGAAGGCGTGATTCATCTATTGAGACTAGAATTCTTGAAGAGTTGACTAATATTAATGACGATATTTGACGATTTGGTGCGGACGGCATTCAGAGAGCGCCTAGCGGCAGAACGAAAAAACGAGGAGCAAGAGTTGAAAAGGAGCCCAAAAAGGAAAGGTCAGCAAAAAGCAAACGAAGAATCTCGACCTAAAGTACAAGTCGGCAGTAAAGACAATTAAGGCTTCTTGTGGTATATGTTCCTAATGAAGGAGAGGACGATTATACTCTATTAGATTTTGCACTAGAGGTGGACAACGATTCTGACACTGCATTACTCATGTTAGGTGTTAACTATCAACTGCATGTTAATGAGCGTAGAAATGGTAAGAACGGCTAATCTAAAAAGGAACCGCTGCTAAAACAGATCTATGAAATCCGTTCTATAAAGGAAAATGATAGGAAAGACAGAAGGGAAGATAGGGGAATGAAGGAAAGAGAAGGAGCAGGTGTGTGTAGACACTAAACTAGGGGGGCATGCACTAACATAATGTCTATAGTGTTATGCACATAGAAAGCTAAATCCTAGAATTAGAAACCTATAGTCTAGGATGTAGAAACTAGAAACGGAATGTTATGTTAGATAGTACAGAAGTAGGGAAACGGGAAACGAGAAACGGGCAGCTGCTTTTGCAAAGTCGCGAAAAGCATGGTGATAAAAGTAGCTAGGCCTACTAACATAGAACGGAATATGGTAATTAGTTAACAGCAATCCAGCATCAGTTGTTTAGTAGTGTTAATCCATTGATGCTAGCTCATGTAGAGGGCCCTCTAATGCCAGTTTACCATTTCCTGATTCCCCTTTCTTAAATCCTAGAAAAGCAGCGACATATTAGCGCTCTGTTGCCTAGAAAAGAGTTAGATGCTAACATAGGGATATGTGGTTCGAGCCTAATAATTAGTTCGGAGCATCCAGGTCCCTACTAGTAGGTTGCAGTTGCATTAGCCAATGCCCGCGCATTACTGACACCGCCTAAAGACAGCCATCTGTGCATATTGTGGATGCAGTATAACTGCAACCCGCCACTCTAGGTTCGTGGAGAGACCAAGTTTCCGGGCAACAAGAAACTATTTTCCAGCTAAGATCATACAACCTAGGTTCGGTTTCTACCACAGCTTTCATAAATTCAGTCTGAAGGTCGGCCGAAGCCCCGACGCCTTTTCCCTTTAACGCTCGAGCCCTCCGTATTCAATAATCTCCATATCGGGCTGACCCTTGAAGACAGCAGTTAATCATTCATGATAAAACACCTCCTCGTAGCCATGGTAAATACAGACTACACCACAGCCCTCCCTCCTGTTCCATAGAGAAAATGTGCCTGTTACAGGACTTTGACTGTTTGTGTATGGCCCCAAGGGGGGGGGGAGGTTATCCTGTATCGTCTACCACGCATTATCTGGAGTCAATGATAAACAATAGAAGCCATTTATTTATTATTCACACTTAGTTCTCAGTCCCTCGCCGTCCCACCAAGTAATTCCCTAGTGATTCGGCGTTGGCTGTAGGTTTTTTGCGCATTTCTTCGCCCAGACAGCAAGTTTTGCGCAGATTCCCTTCATCCGTTTAATAAATGTTTAAATCCAGTCTAAACTGTCTCAACGCTGCTCCAATAAGTAAGCACCATTCATTCATTGCGCATATCTATTAATCCCCCCTTTACAACCTCCCCCCATTCCCCTCCAAACCCCCTAAAGCTCCCCACACATCGCAACCCCAACCTCCAAATCCGGCACCCCCTCCCCCCTCCTCCCCACCCCCGTCCTCCCCAACATCCTCAACCCCTCCAACCCCCCCTCCCCAAACACCCTCCCAATCGGCTCCCCCCTCGCCCCCCCCAACGAAATCACATACGCATTCCCCTCTCCCCCCCCTCCTCTCCCCCCTCCCGGCCCCCCCGCACCCGCCCACGCCAACTCCCCTTCTTCCAGAACTCTCCCCGTCGTCCCTGGCCCAGCGAACTGCTGAGGTGCGTGGGCAGGGGCGGCAGAGTCGGAACCGCCGTAGATCCCGATGCCGGGCATGATGCGCGTGATGCGGCTGTTTTTGTAGCCGGGGGGGGCGGAGACGCATTGGAGATGGAAGGGGGGGGAGGTGGGGGTGGGGTAGAGCTCGAGGGGGAGGCGGGTTAGGGGTTGTCCGCCTATTGTTATGTCGAGGAAGACGCTGGAGGGGTGTTAGTTGGGTGAAAAGGGAGGGGGGAAGGAGGGACGTACAGCGGGTTGCCTGAGGGTGGGAGGACTGTAGGCATTTTTGCTGGGGTTGGGGTGTGTATCGTGGGTGATGGTTTGATAGTAACAAGTCTCGTCTCGTGACGATGCTTCAACCTCTGTTTCTCCGTTCTCGATATCCTCAAAAAACCCGTGACTTCTGCGCGACCTCTCTCTCTCTCTGACCCCACAAAAAATATCCCTCCGGATCTCAAATCTCCAAAAACCCGTGACTCCACAATAACCCCCTTGTCTTTATCCTTCTTGCCCGTGCGTAGTGTCCTCGTAGTCTTCTTCCCCCTGTCTCTTCCCTACCCTTCTCAGCCTTCTTTTCCCGTCTCGTGACTATATGACGCCGCCTAAGTACAGGTACGTGCACAGTGGGTTCAAGAGGCGCTTTTTTTTCAGCCTGGGCGATGCTGCGCTGTCACTCTGGTTTTTTTTTCAGCTTGGTGGGGATCAGGGTCGTCCGTGGCGTCGGTGGGGTATTTGTTTTTGGACTGAATGGGCTTGGCTGGGTCGTTGGCTGGACTGGGCTGGATTTGTGGTGTTTGCCAGCAGACGGCTGTTGTTATTGAGTACACAGGTGAACTGCCCATCAGGTGTTACCTAAAAATGCTCCACTTTTATGACTAAACCCTGCACGTTAGTCAGCCATGCTTGCGTAGCATCACCTAATATAGTCAGGTAAGGTAAAGAACAGTATATAATAGTACCCTAATTTCCTACTAAATTAAATTCTATAGGAAATAGTAACAATAACAGTAGTAATTCATTACTAATGCATTATTTATAATAGATGAGATTATTTTACTACTTTAACTTAATCTATAGCCTAATACTATTACTATTAATAGTAATCTTTAATTTAAAGATAATAGATACTAGGAAGAACACCTTATTATAGAAGGAGGAGAGGAGGAGGTAAGAGCTACTTAATATATACCTAATGTATTACTAATATATTAAGCTTAAAATAACTATAGTTATTTTAAGTAATGTTAGTAATAAAGTAATAAGGGTAATAAAGGTAAACTATATAATGTATTTTATAAGTAAGTAGGCTATATAAGTAAGTAGGCTACTAAAATACTAAAATCTAACTATTATAACTACTACTATACTACTAGCCTATATAATAACCCTTATTTAATTATAATTAATTCCTAGTACCTCTTATATATATAGGCATTATACTCTATAGTATAGATTTAAGTAAGAGAGAACACTCTATAGCTTATATAGAACTAGCCTTATAGCTTAGAATCTACTCTTAATATTCTACTCTATAAATATAGCTTTAAATACTTCCTTAAATATAGAGAGAAACTTAAGCTTTATAATATAATTTAGCTTATTCTATTGTAACGCTGGGTCTTAAAC